TTTTCTCGTTGTTGGGTTCATTATTTGGTTTGTCTTTTCTTATCGCAACGTTCAAATATTTTACAATTATTAATATTCTGTTACCCATTAAATAATCACCAAACCATCTTGTTTCAACTGGTTTCACAATTCGAAGTGGTGATTTACCATCAATTGTTTGTGCTTCTTCAAGCCAATTTTTCATTTGTATACTTTTGCTAAAAAGATTAACTACTCTATGGAGCTTTACTAGAAGTAAGTTGTATCTTTTTACTTCTCTTGTGGATCTCTCTGCTATTAGACTAAATGTATGACAAGAACAACCAATAGATGTCTTTCCTGAATCTTTGACTGCTTTAATTTGATTGGCAGCGTTATCAGTAATAACAACAAAATTATCTTTTAAATTCCAAGTTTCGAAGAACACTTCCAAATTGTGTTGGATGTTTGCAGATGTTTTGTCTCCTTCAATTTGTGCTATTTCTAACAAGACGTTATTTAAGGTGTAATATTTGTCAACATAATGCAAAGTTAGAGACATAAACTCTTCTTCACACATATATGTGCTCCAACCATCACTTGTTGTACAAAAGAATAGTGCTTCATTACGCCTGTTTTTGACATTAAGTTTGGCAGCATCAAATAATTTTGGAATTACTGTCCGTGCTAATTTGTCTGGTGTAAGTTTTGGTTCATTTAAGTTTGTATGGTACATCAATTCCAAAAAAGAACGACTTGTTGTGTGTTCGTATGGCAAGTTTGAGTTAATGATATATTCTGCAATAATAACATCATTATTACTTGGTTTGCGTTTGTTTGGTTCGTATGTCACAATTTTGCAAACATAATTCATTTCTTTGTGTGTTGAAACAATATGTCGTTTCATGTTTGAAACCGAACCACTTGACAAATCATATTCGTGTATTTTCTACACTTGTCGCATACAAGCCAATATACACAATTTTTATTTATTTTAAATGACGGTTTTATGCTGGGTGGATCGTGTTTTGGGATAAGCCTTTTTATACATGTGTTTATTTTTCAACTTCATACAAAGATGCATGTTCCCAAACATCAGAAGCTTTAATTTCAATGTTTTGGTGTATGTATTGTATTTGAAATGATGTAGTGGACATATTAATCTGGATTTACATTTGAAAAAGTCGCTTTTATATATTATATTACAAATGAAAATAAATTGATTCATTTGTTTTCAGAATATTAACAATTTAAATTTTTATCAAATTGTTCAAAATATATTATTTGGAAAAATACTTTAGTTAAGTTTGATGAATGTTTATTGTTAATACATTATAATTATTATATCATTGAACAAATTATTTATTTTCTTATTGAAAACAATAGAATAAAAACATCTATGTTATTATTTCAGACTCAATCTTTGGGTATACTTTCAGAATACTTGAATGATAAATTCAATTTTAGTTAAAAGTGATGCATTAATTTTTATTTGTATCACAATTATTAATACATATTAAGTGTTCAAAATGTTGTTTATAAAAACAAAAATAAAATATATAAAATACATTATAAAAATATGCGCGACTTTATTCATAAAAATTATAATTTAATTACTCTTTTTACTTTATGTAATCAATTGAATAAAAAATAGTTTAAAATGCTTAATAACCAATTCAAATGTTTGGTGTTTTTGTGATTTACTTATTACTTGTTACATTATAAAATAAAAGTCATATAATGTTTACTAAATTTAGTTTTTGAATAATTATATATGTTTCATTAACTCAAACACAACAATTATTTTTAAATTTCATGAACAATGACGAGTGAATTAATGAATAATATTGCTTTTAATTTGAAACAATTGACATTTGAATAAAAAACAAATTTGAAATACGTTTATATTTTTTGATAATAATTATGTTTTATTGTATGTTTTGTTTGAAATGCATTTTAGTTTTTAGGTGCACACGTTGACTTTTTCTTGTTAATCAAAATAAAGTAGCAAATACATATTTATTGTAATAACTTTTATTTTTTTATATGAAATATAAAGTATAAATAAATCGAAGTTTTTTATTTTTTGTAAAAAAAATAATTTTCTTCTTGTTTCTAACAGTAAGTATTTTACCTATTAACGGGTTAAAATATTCAGTTGAAAAACCGCGAACCTCTAAGATACTGTAAATAAATAAATAAACCGATTTTGCTATTACAGTTTTAGACAAAACCCGTGCAACTTTTGCAAAAATGGGGTGACTGAGTAAAAAAAACAAGGAATCCTAAAAATAAAACTATTTTTTTTTCTTCATGGTGCAACTCTTTTATATTTTTTTGTTTTTTCTTTGTACATTTTTTATTTTTTTTGGACAATCTCAATAGTTTTTTTGGTAAAAAATATTATTAAAAACTAGTTTTAAAAATAACACGAAAATCACAAGTTTATTCATTTTCAAACCATAAGTTTCAAATAGTGAACAAAGAAGACGGTCGATTTTATAAAAAGATTCTTTTTCGATAAAACAAAAACTTTTTCGATGCACCTTTCTCTCATTTTTCACAATATCGCGGAATCAATAACAAATGTTTTTTTTTGGTGCAAACTTTAAAAAATCAAAAGTATTTTTTATTGCAATTTTTAAATGGTCAATATACAACAACAATATATTTCTTCAATATTACACTCGACAACTATTTTTTTGTTTTGAACAAATGTCAAAGTTAAAAGTAATTTTTACTTTTAAAATATAATAAATTTTTTTCTAGTTGTATTACAATGATAATTTTTATATGTGCTTGTATAAAAAACACAGGTTTTTCTTTTTGATCAAACAAATAAATGGCTTCCGAATATCACGAAAAAATGAAGGGATTGGATTTCAAAGAAATGGAAGATAACATAGAGCAAAGAACACTTGGCGACCCCATGTCTGATAAATATGAAGATTTTTTCGAAGCGGCATCATTTATTCAATCCAAATTTTTGCTTGAAGAAATAATAAAAAGGTATCCAGACCTCGAGAATAAAAATCGGACATACCAAATTGGTATATGTATTGAGGTGTTCAAATCCCTAAAACTTTGGGAAAACACGGTTTGTGAATTGTTCAACATCGGCAAACACACTCTTTCGAAAGAAAAAATGAAATTTCCCGCGATTGTGCACAAAATGGTACTTGAGCCGGGAATGCCAAGTGAAATTAGAAGCAACCGCGAATCAATTGTAAACTGTTTTTCAAAAGTCGGTACTGTCATATTTTTAGAACTTCCTAAAGTCCCATTTTTTATTTTTGTTTTTTCCTAAAAAAACAAAAAACAAAAAATCGAAAGTACCGACTTTATTTTGAAAAAAATACCAATCCCGTTCAATTATTTTCGTACAAATTCGGGAAAATATCGGAATATTAGCCATCTTTTTCCAAAAACCTTGATCCCGTTATTTGATTTGACCATAACTCGATACTTCACAACATATACACAGCATTGTTGACCTAAAAGCACAACAATTAACGTTTGAGTGAATTGGTGTTGTTTGTGTCGAGTTTTAACTGATAATTACTTTCGTTAAAAAATATTTTCAATTAAAAACAAACTGTGGTTATCTTCTCTGAATAAAAAATAATGAAATAAAGAGTTCCAAAAACACCAAAAAATAATTAGAGCAATTGTTTGATAATTTTGACAGGCATAAGTCAAAATTGTCAAAGGGCAACACTAGAAAAATAATACAAAATAACAATATTGTTTTGTTATTGGATATTTTAAAAAAGATGTTCTCACTGAAATGCTCAAAAAGAATGTCGACTTTATAAAACCCAACAAAGATAAGTTATCAAATCATTTTGTTATTTTTATTGTTTTTGTGACAACACTACTAAGCATACTAATCTTCGAACTAAGCTTTTGTTTTGTGAATATTTCATTAATTAATGAAATGTTTGATAATGAAAAAGATTGACATTAAGTTTATTTGCTTTTGTACTAAAATGCACTTTTGGGATCATTCGTGTGTTTTTCTGAAACAAAAATCCCGTTACTTCAAATTTTATATGGATTTTTTTAATGCTTAAAGAATCTTCAAGTAAAAAATATTTTTTGAAGACCGTTTTTCTCTTTTTAACTTGGAAAAAATAAGCGAATTTATTACAAAAAACGATTCCCAAAAATAATAAACAAAATAAATGCAAAAAATCGGGACACCTCAGTACCGACTTTTGAAAAACAGTTTAAAATACATTTTTGATCACAGGAAAGTCGGTTTAGCAGTAACAAGTCTTAATGTATTCTAATTTTGCACCAATGAATTGCAAATGATGGTGTCAAAATCAAATCTCCATAGATACATAATGGGATTGAAACTGTTTGAATACGTTTTAGGAATACCCGACGAAAATTTCAGAGTGAAGGTGGAAGAAAAAGATATTAAAGAATTTTACAATGTTACATTACAAAAAATAGTTGGTCTTCATCCAGCACTTGTTTTAAATGAAGATGAGATGGGAACACAACCATTCGCAGACAGAAAAGCCGTGAAAGTGTACGTCAACAAGGGAGAACAAAGAATGCACGGAACACTTAAAATTGGACTAAGCAGAGCAGGGAGAAGAACAACACTGATAGGATGCATAGCGTTGAGTGGTGATGTGTTGACTCCAGGAACTGTTGTGCCAAACAAAACAGTGAATGTTGTATTATATGACAACAGATATGACGACTCTTCGATAAAAATATACAACACGAAGAATGGATTTATAAGCACTGATATATTTTTGGTGTGGTTTTGAGATGTCGCTCTAACTTACATAATCAAAAAACGTTATGAACTCCGTCAAACAATTGGTGACTTTAATGAAAAAGCGGCTTTTATCATAGATGGATGCAGTTGTCACGTCAACGAAGACCTAAGAGTATTATGCGAGGAAAATAACATTGAGTTAATCTTTCTTGTTCCTCACTCAAGCCATATGACGCAAAGTCTTGACGTGGGTGTCTTTGGTTCTTGTAAGAACCAACTAAGACGGTACTGTGAGTATGTTACTCAAGTAGTCAAAGATGAAGATGACATTGAAAACAAAAGCACTGAAAATGTATTTGAGGAACAACTTGATATGGAGGAAGTGGTGGAGGAGGAGGAAGTTGATGAAGTGGAAGGAGAAACCATTACAAAGAATGTAAGAGATAAAAGAGGAACTTTTCTCATGAATAGACTCATCTCAATGTTGTCTGCATTTCAGGCGGCAACAACGAGACAAAACGTTGTCTCTGCTTTTCAGCAATGTGGTATCACTTACAAGACCGACATAAACTGTCCATCAAAAAAGAGTCAATCATTGTCCCACAAAAGGCGAGAATTGTGTGTCAGACATATCCAGGAATTTTTGGGTCTCCGGTTGCAGAAGAGGATGTAAACAGATGTGTTTTGATTCCAATGGTGGAGCACATATCTCATCCTGTATTCGGACCAGAACGTAATCCAATTAGAAGCGAAAATGTGAGATTCAATGAAATGAAGCGAGTTCAACAACGTCCACCAGAACGGAGACGACAAAAGAGAGAAAACCAATTGTTCGTAACATCCAGAACATTTCTAACAGCCAAAGATTGTTAAGTCAAGAAGATAGAGATTTGATAATTTCAAGACTTATCTAGATAATAGGACTTTTGCTTTATTTTTTTGTTTAACTCATAAATTTTTACAATAACACTAAGATGAAAATTGTTTTGTCATTTTATTTTTTACTCACCTCTCTATAATATTTTTTGTGAGCTCGATTGTCAATCTATATTATGTTGAAATTTACTATAACAGAACATTATTTCCAATTATTGATTCGGACCAACGTGATAAGTCTTTCATTATTTGTTTATTTGAACTACAAATCACTTTTAAAGTGTTGGTTAATCAACACTTCGAATACTAAAATACTAAAAAACCAACCAAACAAATTAATTAATTAAAATTTGTGGTATTTTTATTATTAAGTGTTAGTAAAAAAGATGGTATCATTTTGGCGAAAGAAATGACAATTAAGTTTTTCGATAAAAAGTAAACACATCAAAGCTATTTTTGAGGTTTTTTCTTGTTTTGTTCAAATTATGGCTTTTAAATTTTTAATTGATATAAGATGGTCTTCCCAAAACAACATTTTTACCTTTATAAATGATTGATATTATGCATTTTTTAAAAAAATCATTTTTTATTAATCATAAACAAGAAGGAAATAACATGCAAAAAACAGGATTAAAAAGTTACAAACAATTGAACTATACAAATGAAAAAAAGGTGCACGAAAACTAGGTTTTTAAAGTCTGACATTCCACAAGAAAAACTGGGTTATTTAAGAATTTTTTATCTTCAAAATCATTCCAGCTTCACCTAAAACCTTAGTCGTCGGGTTGAATGAATTATTTTTCGTTAATAGCCACACACTTGTCCGCTGACCTTTCTATTCAATTCATAACATAGAAATTGTTCAATGAACACATACACATAGTAGTACTTTTATTTTTCGGACTTTTAATTCCAAACCCACGCCTTTGCTGTCAGTAACAATTTTGGACTAACCCCAAATGTTCCGAGTTCAACAATATCACGATTGCGTTTTTTAATTTGTAAATGGATAGCTTTGTTATTTCTTTTATGTTTTTAATTCTTCTTTTATAATAAATAAAACAATAAAACAATAACATAATTAATGTAAGTTTTTTAATAATTTTATTATTAATCTTAAAACATTTTAGAAATAATGTTATTCTTCTTTTTTTAGAATTATTTAACTCAGTAACCCCATTTTTGCTTAAGTTGCACTGGTTTTTATCATAACTGTATATATAAGGGGATATATATATATTTTTTTGTTATAACTAATTGATATAAAAATATATAAAAAAAGAAATTTCTTTTTTATTTTTCCAAAAACTATAAAATAACTACAATTAACTATTTCGTTTCTATATTTAAAAAGTGTAAAATAATATATGTTTGATATTATTTTAGTTTTTAAAACAATAATTATTACCACTCATAATTACATTTCAAATAATTTAATTTATATCAAATTGGGTAAACCTTGTTTTATTAAATACTTTTCCCATTTTTTAGAAGTTTAATTTGTATAATACTTTACACAGCCCAAAAAACACACACACACCAATAAATGATAAATATTGCAATAAACAGATCAACCAAAAAAACTTTGGAGTTTATTTAAAAATAGAAAAAAAACTTCGAAGACAAGTATTATTTTGTAGAAAAAGTTGAATTTTACTCACAAAAAAAACAATAATAGATAATACTTTAACTATAAAATATATTATATTGTATTTTAAGAATTAAACAAAACTGTTTTGGTAGTACAACAGCTATAATAATGTTTAATGACCGGGAAAACATCGCAATTATTGTAAAGAAAAGTTACAAAGAACTTCAAAGAAAGTTTTGAATTCAACAGTTTACAAAACAAGGTGTATAAAGAGATATTTCCCGACATTGTATACCACAACCAACGCAATTCAAAGCAAAAAATTTCAAGGGCGAAAGGAAGTTACGACAACATCAAAGAACATATATCATTCGATTCTACAAACAGGTTTAGAACCGAAAAAATTAGAACACGGGCTCCTCCACAAGAACAACTCCATCTTTGAAAAGTATAGCAAACGATGGACGCACAAAACCCAATCATTACATACCGACCCGTGCCTTTAGCTTCACAACACGTCGCTGTGAACTATTTATCTAACTTCTCACCAGCGAATAACTCATTCAACTCACCTCTCACATCGTCTATGCCAACCTTCTGCCACGAATTTTCACCGTTGCTAGTTGTGACGCCAATGCACACTCCAATGGTGTTGGAAGAGCAAGAAAATGAAGAAGAAACACATCAAAGTGTTGATCAACAAGAAGACGGTGTTTTTGATTTGGACGAAGACATAGGTGACGATGACTTTGAAGAAGAAGAGAGTGTCGATAGTGAGGAACAAGACGCTATAAACGAAATAATGCAAAGAGTTGACCAACTAAAAAAAGATGGGGACAAGCGAAATAAAATGCTTGGGGAAATGATCAAGAAAAATTCAACAACCAACGCTCTGTATTAATTTTGTTTTTAGTCTTTTTTGTTGCCAAACAACGTAAATAGTAATAACAAGTAAATGACTTTTAAGAGGTGAGTAATTCAAATTTGATCAAATTTGGGGGTTCATTTGTGATAGAATCATATATCATATTATATAGTATTTGTAGTGTGGTGTAGTCTTCATCGAACAAAATTAAGTTACTTGATATAATAGAATCATCAATGTGTTTAATAGTGATACAACATTCTACTTATAAGTTGAAAATTGAGATGAAATTGTAAGTACAATATTATATATTATTAAATATAACAAACGTCTCCCTATTTCCATGCTCTTAATAGAAGTATATAATATTACATATGTTGGGCCATTTGTTGAAGATAATATCAAATCACGTGATGGGTAAACTAAAAGAGCTTTTCGTCCAAGAACCACCACACATTCTTTGTTTACCTTATTCTTCAAATAGAAAAGTTTTTCATGTATTTTTTCCATATGTTTATTTCAAAGTTCTTTTATAGTTATTTTTTGATGTCATATATATGATATTATATAATTTAATAATTTAATAACTAGTTTTTTTTTTATTAGAAAAAATATTAATTAATAAACTATATTAATAATTATAGATTTTGTTTAGTTATTGCTATTTAATTTTTTTTAATTTGAGGAATTATTGAATAGGGTTGCCATATTTTAAATATTTTGAATAATTAAATACTTTTCTATAAAAAAAACTATTATTCATAACAATTTAATAATTTATAAAATATTAATATATTTATAGTATTATTAAAATGAATAAAAAATGATATTTTTTTATAAATAACAATTTTATTTAAGAAAAATCTACCAAAAGTGCATTTTTTTAGTCCAAATAGTTTTTAATACGATTTCCCACTTTTTCCGCATTTTTTTCTTATTGATAAAAATGATTTTAATTTTGTGTTTTTGACGATCTATAAGTAGCAGAGAATCGAATATTTCACGAAAATATCCCGGAGTAGTTCGCATGAGACGGCCGTTATAAAACCAACAGTATTTACCGCTCAAAATAAAGCATGGCAAAATCACGTTTTAGTCACCAAACTATTCTTTGACTTCCTTCAATTTGAAGAGTATTTTTGGTATCATAAAATCCCGTAAAACAAACAAATAACCGTGAAATAAATTAGACTGAAATCAGATGAAAATCAAATAAAAACAGACCCCCAAATTGAAAAAAAGGAACCACTAAAAAGTGGATGGAGCAAATGGTGTTTTTTTTCAATACAATTCAACGGTTTTTGCCGAATTAAAAAGGTCGAGTCGTGCCGCGCATCGCCACGAGGTCCCACGTTTTCTTTGCAACGACAAAAACCCGAATGAACTAAAAAGTTCAAACATGTGTGCGCAAGAGGCGATAGCATCAGCTAAGCCGATTCGACCCATCAGCGCTTTTGTCCCATCTTCACAAAAGGCAACTGTATTAGAGAAAAAGCGACGAATAACACCTGAGTTTCAAGACATTTGTCGAGTGTTAAGAGAAAAGCAAACTTCCTTACCAGCACCGGACCTCTCTATAGCAACTCCTTTCATGCGTCCACAGATGGTTGACTGGCTTTTTAGAACGTGCGACTACTTCAAATTTTCTGCAAAAATCGAGTTTCAAGCGTTGTGCTACGTCGACTTGTATTCGTCCCGGCGCGTCGTCAACTCGGACGAACTTGGGTTACTCTTTCTCACTTCCTTAATCTTAGCAGCACGGTACCAGGACATCGAAATTGGGAATGAAGCCGCTCTCAAAATGTGCGATGGAAAATACTCAACTGAATCAATTAAAGCTATGGAGTATAAACTCACCAACACGGGGTTTTTCCACCCCGACCACCCCACTGTATTTGACTTTTTGTCTTTACTGTGGCAAGCCGCGGGATACCCTCCTTATGCTCAGGATAGGAGAAATCACCCTATTGTAGAGGCGAGTCTTATTTTTATGTCGGTAATGGCCATCGATCCGGTGTTCACTACTAATGCGTCGAGTGGTATTGCGTCCGCTGCGTTCTTCTTTGCGAGGGATATCTGTCATTTCGTCAATTTGTGGGACGGAAGGTACCAAAAGTGTATCCTGATGAGAAAAGAAGACGTGAAAGAGGTTGCGCTGGACTTTATACCAAAGATGCAGTTTTGTTTACTTAGCAAGACCGTGCCGTCGTTCTTGGTCTGCCAAAGGTTTGTCCACTTAATCGTTGCCCACCGGCAGAAACACGAACACGTTTCAAAAAATATACAATCGAAAAATACGAAGGCGCAATGTTTCTGGGATAATGGGGATGTTAAAAACTTCGACTGAATGTATTATAACTGTGTTATTCTGTTGTTTTTGTATCAATTCGAAGAACCCACTATTTACTATTAATAATAGTTAAATTTATTATATCAAATAATAAAATATTTGATATTGTATTATTTGATTTTTGTAGGGTTTTAAATTTATTGATAATTAAAGGTGTTATATAATATTAGTTTATTTTTTATTATGAAAAAGAGATTTATTAACTATATAACAATTTACAACAAAATTAAATTTGTTTAATTTGGAAACTGTCGAGGTTTTTAAAATAAAAAAATTGGAAATAATCGAGGTCTTATTGTATTTAAAATTTATAAATTATTATTAATATAAAAAAACAGTTTGAGATGATGCGTCAAAGTTTCTATCGCAATGTGGTCTTCTGATTATGACAAATTGTGAAATGGTGAGATGTGTCAAAAGTAATTGAAATGTAATTATTGTGGAGAACACAAAAAGCCAATCACACACATGTAACAATTAAAACCAAAAGTTACACAAAACTACTCAAAGAAGTTGTATGATATTGATAACCAAATAAATACTATATTATCTATTTACAATTAAAATGCAATTTATCTTTTCAAAAATACAATTACATTCTGGACACGTGAAGTGGAATGAGTCATTGTACTCTGTGTCGGTGACACGTTACCCACTCTATAAACAGCCAACTGAAAGCAAAGACAAACATTTCACGTGTGAGAAAGAGTGTCCAGCAAAGAAGGCGTATGAAGACTTTCTGAGAATTGTGCCAAAAGTGCAAGTTGGCGAAGAAGCGCCAGAGATCAAAGCGCAGTGCCTTTGTCCGTGTGGTGCAATCAAGGACTTTGACATGTCTGAGTACAAGGGCAAGTTCATTGTGTTGTTGTTCTACCCACTCGACTGGACTTTTGTCTGCCCAACAGAGATGATGGGATACTCCAAACTTGCAGAGGAGATGAATGATGTCCAGTTTGTTGGCATCTCAGTCGACTCCGTCTTCTGCCACAAGGCGTGGACCGAGGCACCAAAGGAGCACGGCGGTGTTGGAAAGCTTTCGTTCCCACTTGTTTCTGATATCAAGAAGTGCATCAGCATGAGATACAACATGTACAATGTGGCTGACGGCATTGCACGACGTGGGTATGTCATTGTCGACACAAAGGGGATTGTCAGATACATGCAAGTCAACGACAACGGAATTGGAAGAAACACAGACGAGACAAAGAGAATCATCGAAGCAATCAAGTTCTCGGACGAACATGGCGATGTCTGCCCACTCAACTGGAAACCAGGAAAAGACACAATGAAACCAACACCAGAAGGCGTTGCTGCTTATCTCACAAAACACTAATTGACTTGATTCTTCACATTGAAGTCTTTACACACCCACAAGTCAATTTCAATATGAGTATCAAGAAAGCACTAATGGTCTAAGGGCAGAATTTCACCCTCCCAAGGTGGAGATCCGGGTTCAAGTCCCGGTTAGTGCATTTTTTATATTTATTATTTATAGTTAAGTTATTAGAAATTATTATAAAAATACCATGAAATAGAGAAAAATAATTTTAAATAATTATTTTTTTTTTCTGTTTTTTAAATGAATTATTTGAAAAGTTGACAAATCAAGTTTTCAATGAAAAATTTGTCTATTTAAACAATTTATTAATGATAATGAAATGTTTACATGTATCAAATATAATGATTATTATTATCATTCTTTGTTTTTAAAACATTAACCAAAAATTAATCAAGAAGCAATTAATTATGTCATTTAATGGTTGTTGGCCACTCAGAAAAGTGCTTTAACTATCACGGATAATCAAACATGTTTTTCATCATTGTGGCGATTAGATGACAAATTTTTTTGTTTTTATACCCAACCTTTGTTTTTGACAACAATATTTTTAATTGTTCTAATACTATTTAAACTATACACATTATGAAAATACCAACTAAAAACAAACTGATAAAATTTATAAATACTTTTTTTCCTATTTCTATTTTATAAAAAAGACAATTCTAGTTGTTATAATAATTTTATTATAAAATAACTACAGTCAATAATGTATATTTGTGGTACAATGAATAGATAACTGGTTTGTCCTTCATTTAAAAATATATTCTTGAATTTAAATTGTTTGTGGAATTAAAATATAATTTATTTTAAATAACTTTCGATATTAAAAAAACAATTTCGCATTCTACTTTACAAAAAATAGATGTGTTTTTTATTTGATTACGTTAAAAAAGACACTTTTTGACTGGTATTGTTGATTTACTACAATGTGTTGCAATTCATTTTCATTTCATTGTATTATAATTAATTAGTTATGTTATTATTAAATAGACAATATTTGAGAATTAAAATAGATTTCTTAATTACTTTTGACTGGAATTGTCTAAGGTCTTTGTGAATGCTAACCTTCTTTCCTCTGATAAAAAAGGTGAGTTTGTGGTTCGTTTTTGTCGACCGCAAAAAGAGTTGTTCTTCCTTTTCCATCACCTTTTAAATTATTTGTATTTGTTTATTTCATTTATTAAATTTTAAAGTCCATTACATGTTTAATTATACACTTCTCCTTCCTTTTAACAGTGTGAGCAAAATATAATACACTTATTGAATCGATGTACGTTGTTTACAAACTAATGCTATGAATGAATTATTCCCCGATGATTTCTAACTGGTCTTTCACTTCTTTGATTTGTTTGTCAATATCGTCAAAAAGTACATCATCTGTGCAAGCACATGGTGTCACCAACATCAATTCCTTTCCCTGTTCCGTCGATTTCACATTATGAATTCCGTTTTTCTCTCCGCATTTGGACACAACGACAGTTTGTGTGACGACATCTCCTTGTGAATAAGTGTATAAGTCGTTCTTTCCCGCAGCCCCTCGAAATAGTCCAATGACCTTTCCAGAGTTTGTTATATTCTCTCCAATACACATTTTGTAAGTAGAGTATGTGTAACACTGTTCGTAATACCCAAGAACACAAAAATGGTTTTCATTCTTCGCTGATTGGAAAGCAAAGTTCCTCGCAAAGGCCCGATCGTTGTCTGAAATAAAAGATCGGATCTGTGATAATTTTTGACGTATCAAACAATAGGTCTTGTCGTTGATGCCTTCGGGATTGCTGTCAGATAGAACATTCAGAAAGTCGTATTTTTTAAACCATAATATAACATCTTCTTTCAATCCAAACGGGATAACCTCACTCACAAAATAGTTTTTTGCTTCTTCTATTTGCTTTTCTCGTTGTTGTGTAAGTGTCCCATCCGCTCTTTCCTCCTCAAAAATCTCAACAAGTCGTGCCTTTCTCTCATTTTCAAGAACTTGTTCTGTTTGCCTCATCTTTTCAATTTCGTCAGAGGCCTTATATCCCAATTGAATCACTTTTTCAACAATCTCGACACCTCTTCGAGTCATAGTGTCTCTCTCGTTTGAGATTAAACTTTTCTTTTCCCGTTTCTCTTGAAGTTTATGGAGATTTTCTTTAACTTTAGTTTTTACTATATCGTCACAAAAGCCATACCTCTCGTCCGTTCCGTCATCACAATCACATACCTTGTCATTCACTCGATTGTAGTGAATCTTCTGCAGACTAACACCATGATTTTTGCACTCAAAATAATTTTTGTTATTCGAAGTTGAACAACCGCCAGTTGTGGGTTCATCGTTCAGTTCTGGACAATCACAGTATCCGTCATCAATCATATTATCAGTTATATTTACTCCGCTCGGCCCACATAAAAAAGAGAGTGAGCTATAGACAAAAAGAAAGATCATCGTTTTGAGTTTTTTTCAAAATTGATAATTTTTTTAATCCAAAAAAATATTTGCTGTGTTTGTATACAAAAAATTATTATAACTTAATAGTAAATTAAATTATTCTTTATAATAATATATAGTTAACAATAAATTTATAATTTAATTAATAATGTTATATTAATATTTGAATGGTTTTTGAATCAAAATAAAAAATCATTTGTTTTTATTGCTCAATTGGCTTCGAAACTCTCTTCTCGAAACGAAAAGAAAGAGTTTTTTTGTGTGTAAATATGTTAAAAAAAGAAGGAAAAAAGGAACACAAATTTATTATAATAAATTGATTGGTATATGAATCAAAGAAATATAGTTTATTCAAGAAGCAGGGAATAAAAGTCAAGAAAAGACAGAAAAAAAGTTGAAATGAAGATTACGAGAGTCGGAAAGATTGAGCGGAAAAGGCGAAAATACCGAAGAAAAAATACGTAATATCAATTACAGTGAATTAGTTTACATTACTTCCGTGCATTGATGAGGTAGGGATTTATCGAGAGGAGTCTTCGCTCTGACATACAGTCGAAGAGCCATTGGTGTGTAAGGACGGGGACACCCCATCTCATTGCGTGCTTAGTCTTGTCGCTCATAGGGTTTTTAGACAGAAGGTAAGTCACGTTGCGGCTTTCCATGTCTTCCATATACATCCCACCACAGAAGTCGATCATGTTTTTCAGTAAGAGTCGTTCGTCGTTGGAGTAACCACTCACACAGACCACATAGTTCTGAAGGAAGCTGACTGGGCTCTTCTCATCCTGACTCATCATGTCTTGCATCTCTGTTTGTTTTTTTCAGTTTTTCTTGACTTTTATATGTGAAGCTCCACATGGCGTTTTTTAGTGCGAATAGTTAAGCGCTTTGTTGCTAAACAACGGGCTCTTCCCTTTGTTTGATCTATTTTTAGTTATTGGAAAAGAACCTCCCCAGCAACTAAACGCCTGAAAAAAAGGGAAATTGTTGGTAAAATCAAGAATAAAAGGTTCGTTATAAAACATAACCCAACGCCATTAGCCATTCTATTTTAGAACCAAGACTTCAGAGCATCTTTTTGTGGACACGTGGCTGTTTTTATTTGTTGTATAGTAAATTTATAGTTCATTGTCCCAGAAAAGCTAATTATTGTATATTTGGATCAAAAAACAGAAATAAGCCAAGACACATGAGTTTTACAAGTCTTTGAACACCCCTATGACGTCAACACCCACAATGTTTCTCACAAAGCAAATCAATTACTCGCGCAAATTAGAGAGGCTAAACTTGGTCAACTTCGATTTGTCTTCGGCCTCATATCCTCGCTTTTATTCTTTTTCCAACTTAGTAATCAAATGCATTTGTGTGTAGTTTGCTCTTCTTTTTCTCATGCAAAAATTTTAAGCCGAGACACTATCTAATGTACATCCATATTAATTATTTCCAATACTATAATACATACTCTAATGGAAATACACCATCAAAACCCTTCTTTGTTTTTATTTCCTTTTCTCTTCTTGACATCTTTTCTTCCATCCATCTGCCGTTTATATGTCTTTCCTTCCAATTTACTTTCACTTTTTTCCCAACAAGTTCTTTTCAACATTTCAAATTAATAATCAAATTAATAATTTTATTATTAATTCTTATTAATTACAAATTGCAACTAACATACACTAGTTTTCTTTACTATTTATATAGTACGTAATTTATTCTATTTTTCATTAATAAAATATCAATAAAAAAAACAAAAATAATCTCAAGACTCATTCATGTCTCAACCAATACAACACAATGACGTTCCAATTTTTATATCCGATCAATCCCTCTCTGCCAATGCTTTTGAGGTAGCCAGTGAGTTATTTCAAATGTGGGAATTACAGCCGTTTTATTTAGACGAAGACAAGCCTCTTCACCAATTGACCCTCAAACACGACCCCTCCTTCTTTCGTCAATATCTTCGTATTCCCTCATCACTTCTTCCACCGGAGCTCTCCGAAGATTCCACTGCTCATCCTCCCAAACGGTACACTTCCATTCTTAAAGCTCCCACAAAGGGGGGTTTAGACCTTGAAGGTAAAAAAGAAGCCAAAAAGATGTTAGCTGAAGAGGATGCCAACCAAGTCTTTGATGATGAAGATTTCGATGATTACAATGCCAACAAATTCGAAGATTACGATCAAGAAAACGATGATTCAGGCGCTGCCTCTGACGATTGAATTGACTTCCTCTATTTCTTGTTATCTCTAAAAAACATGTGAAACCCTAAAATGATAAAAAACACGAAATGTACACACCTTCACCTTCTTTGCTGTCTTCTCCTTCACACAACCGACTCCTCTTCACTATTTAATACAACTCAAACACGGGTTGTTCAGTTGAGGTTTGGTTGTTTATAGTCACTCCTACATAAAGGGTATTGCGCCGTCATTCTGTAATCGCGCGACGTTATAACCCGTGGCGGGGATATAATGCTATCATCCAAGTCAGAGTACCTCACACAGAACTTGTCAAGGTGGATGCCGTACGTCGTGATTGACATGAACAGAGAAAACCCTACAAGATATTCCGGCAGCGGTCTCTTCGAGTAGTCCAAGTTCGTCATCAGCACATACATCCGTGCAATCTGTTCATTCGGGAACATCTTCGTGATGATTGGGTCGTCCAGTTCAAATTTGAATTGCTACACGTCACTCTATTTCTATTAATAACGAAAAGTATAGTATCGAAACTATACAAGAATAGTATCCTTCTCCCTCATTAGAAGTGGAGAAGTAGAGGAACAAACATATGTCGGAAATGTCATCTTCGTCGTCATCTCAAACAAGCAAATACCTAAAGAGAACACATCTGCAAGTGGGGAAGTCGACCCACGAAAGACTTCAGGCGCACAGTATCTTCCGTCCCCGGTTTCCGAGATCGGGACATTGGACCCGATTCTTCGTGTTGTTCCAAAGTCTCCCAACTTCACTTTCCCATTATAGTCGACTAGCATATTGTCGGGTTTAACGTCCAAGTGAACGTATCCAATTCGGTTCAAATAGGCAAGACCATTTGCTACACTTGATATGGCATATAAAGACTCTTCAATCGAAAGTCCTCTGTTCTCCATCACGTCCAACACAGAACATTTGTATAACTCCATGACGGAATAGAAGACAAATTTTTGTTGGTCGTAGACGATATCGATCAATTTGGCTAAGTACGTCGTGTCTGCGATATTCGGATTCACTTCCATCTCCCTCTTATAACTATTTGGTAACAATCCCTTGTTGGAGACCCTTAATACACATTTGTTGCTCGGGTCTTGTGTGTCTTCAGCTTCATAGATGTCCCAATAGGACCCACGCGCTAGTCTCCTCCCAACCTTTTGATATCGTTTTAAGAGCGCTTTGACTTGCATGTCGTTCTCCTTGCTATAGGGCGGGAAATTCCTTGATGGCTTATGCATCATTGGGGTCTCAGTCCCACGAACTTGTCTTCTAAAGGGCGCAAAATAGTCTCCGACACTTTCCTGGGTCAAGGGATGGTGTTTGTGACGGGGCTTTGATAAGCTTGGCAGGTGAGGGACGTATGTGTATCGTTGGGCCTGCATCTCTTGTGGTTTTTCAGTTTCCGTCGTTCGTTTTTGGGTAAGTAGTATCTTGAACTATAAATATAGTATAGAACAACTATATTTTGAGGTTGAAAAGTGTTGGAAAGTGCCGTTTTGAGAAAAGCAGAGGAAAATAAATGAAAATTTTTATTTCGGCGGAGTGGAAATATTGTGGGAAAACTATAGTTCTACGAGAATTTTACTATTTTTTTGGTTACACGAGTGGGTCCTTTTTTCTGCAATCAAGTCAAACAAAGATTATTTTTAATACCCCTCAAATTAGAATAGATAGTTATTTTACTATCGAAATACTAATCATTTTGAAGGAAATATTGACAATAGTTTTTATCAAAACAGTTTTCTCTTTTTGGAAACTCAAAATAACCCTTTCCCTGATTATCCCGATATAATTTGGTAATTCTATTTCTAAACTGAAATAATTTGCCGGTTGTTCAATTTGATAGAAATCAGTGCGTTTTAAAACGATTGTTAGTTTTTTACTTATAATTAAACTATAATAAATTATTACATTATTATACACGTTTGCTATGTGTCTTTAAAAGTCGTTTTGTTGAAAAAATTATAAGACTAAATTATATTTTTACTATCAATGTATAGTACATTCGTTTTTTGAAAAAAAATAAAATTAGATAGAGATTTAATTTTTTAAAAAAGAGTTGCGAAACTGACCAATCATACGGGATTGATGTGCAGAAATCAAGATAGCTAAACGGGTTAATCTTGTTATGACAACTTGATCAATGGATAACACTATAGAATCTTCTCGAAACTAATAAAGTTCTTTTTTTTTATTTTTGTTGAGATCTTTTTCTTTTGAAAAAATTGGCATTTTTTCGGCAGAGTTTCTAGTGGTAATTTATATATTATTATTTTAATTAGACAGATTTTTTTTAAAAGCTTTTATTTTTTTTTATTATAATGAATTATAAATAATAATAATTATTATTATAAATTAATTATTTTAACCATTCGACTATTGTTATTTCAAAGTAGAATAAAATATAATTTAAATAAAATTATTTCATTAAAAAAATTATAAAGACTTTTTTAAATTTCAAAAAAAATAATAAATATTAAAACAATTTTTTTAATTAATTACTTAATAAAAAAAAAATTGATAGTAAATTTTTGATTACCCAAACCAATTACAATAGTAAATTATCCTCGAATTGTACTTCATTGACATCCTCCTTCCAATTAAACAATTTAAAAGCCTTATTCTTTTCGTCTTGACTAAGATTGAACCCTTCTTTTAGAGGGAGATTGAAATCGATTTGTTGTTCTTTACTTTTTAATAAAATGTTATTCCACACTCTTTCCAGCAGTGGATTACTTTCTTTCTTTTCGACTCGGGTAGGTAAACTGTCGACGTATTTCTCCATCCAATTCTTCTGTTCTTCGTCGCACTCACTTGCCACAGACAATCCGTCCGCAATCACGCATTCCCCCCATGGCATTTCGATACCAACCAACCCTCTTTCTGTCGATACAATACACATATTCCTCACATTATAACTTTTCATCAACACAAACTCCGCTACGCCTACAACGCCCTTTTCTCGCATCATCTCACTTAACGATTTGTATAACTGCGATGACGTGTCATCCATCGGAACTATCTCCCACTGTATCCCTAACGAACAAATAGTCGGGATCTTTGCTCGATGGACAAAGTACTTGATCACAAAGTGCCGCTCAAGTGCAGCTACTTTCTCTCCCCGACACGTCGTGACGCCATCCTGTAAATTGTACGTCTCCGGAGTTCCACTCATTAAAATATCTTTGCCATATCGAAGAGCCATCACTGTATCCTCTCTACCAAATTCGATGTCACCAGGATCGTTTTTTAAGACGTAATACTTCTTACGCTCACCAACGGGAAGGACTGGATCTGGTGCTTTGCGTATTTTTGAGATCTTTGACATTGGGGGAAATTTCTCTGGGCAATACGTCTTATACATCGCTACGTTTAATGTCACTTTTCTGATTATAGTCATCGTGTAATTGTATGAAGAACGAGTTGGACTCGTTTTTTGAAACGGGGGATTCGGGTTGTTTAAATCAAGGTTGATCCCACTCATTACGGATTTATTAATCTCGAGTTCTCTCTGTTTTTATTTACTATTTTAGTTTTTAATTTTTATGGTTTATTTTATTATTTTATCATTTGTATTTTTAGTTATTCAACCAACATTTGTATAAGATTTGATTAGAATTTATTCTATATAATATTCTTATTAAAAAAAAAGAAATTGAAAAAAAACAAATGAGTGATAGTGATTCAATCTCCCTGTCGCTTGACGAAAATGATGCGTTTTATAAGAAGAAAACTATAGCCAAAATTACAGCACCCAGTGACGTGTTGCATGACGTCATTAATTCAGACGACGAGAAAGACAACACAAACGATATCTCAAATAAACTTATTACTGACAAAACAATAGCATCTCGAGAAGATGAGTATCACTCGAGATGGCGAAAACGGAACGTTTCTCCTGTTAAAGAAATAAAAAGTTATAAAGAACGAATAAACCAACATTTTAAAGAGCTTGAAAAAGATAAAGAAGAAAAAGAGCGTAAACGTCAACGCGACGACAGGGACAGTTCTTACCGAAAGGACAGATCAGACCGAGATCATCACAGAAGCCGGAGTAGTAGTCGAGAACATCGACGACACTCTCCCCATCATTAATTTATTATACCATATTTAACTATTTTATTTTCTCACCTTTTTAATTCAACTATTTACTATAAATATAGTAATTATTTCCTTATACCTTATTTATAACAATATAATATTTAAAATTAAAACAAAACTATATTATTGATCGACAATAAACCATACAAAATAGTAAATAAAATTATACGAAACCATTAGACAAGTTATAGAGTAACCCTAGAATGTGGTATCGAAGAAACTATAAAATTTGACGTGATGGTTTGTTTAAAAGTCCCCAAAATGCGTGTATTAACAAATAGGCCTTTGTGACCCAAGAGTCGGACTTCCAGCACATGCTTCGTGTATGCAACACCAATCTTGATGGTAAGAAAAAGGTCCCATATGCGTTGACTGGGATTAAAGGATGTGGCAGACGTTTTGCCTTTCTTGTTTGTAAACGCGCTGGCATCGACGTCAACAGACGTGCCGGTCTTTTAAAGGCCGACGAAGTCGACAAAGTCGTTGACATCTTGACCAACCCATTGAACTACAAAATCCCCGTCTGGTTCTTGAACAGACAAAAAGATATTAAGGACGGAAAGAACTGTCAACTCATTGCTAACGCCGTCGAAACTAGACTTAGAGAAGATATTGAGGCTCTTAAGAAGATGAGAGCTCACAGAGGTCTTAGACATTACTGGGGATTGAGAGTCAGAGGTCAACACACCAAGACCACTGGAAGAAGAGGAAGAACCGTCGGTGTCTCCAGAACCAAAGCGCCATCAGCTTAATTTTGATTCGTCCGTTATCGTTTCTCATTCTTTTGACTCAATCCATTACAGAAGAGCGCTTTCTGTATTATAAATGTAACTATTTATTATTATTAATATATGGTACGGGAAATAACTTTACTCACTCGGGTAATTTATTCGCGACTTTCATTTTGTAAGTCTGAATCAGATCCTTCGTCACTCGATAAGCCGTCACGACGTTTGGTGTTTTGGGCGCTAAGGGAGTCTTTATATATTCTTCTATTCTGGAAATCACAATCTCGAGCCTCTCAACGACTTGATCGGAAATAACATTTTGAACAACATTTTCAAACGCATCGCCAATTTCGACAATTAATTCCACTAAAACCACATTTGTTTTTGACGCGAAAGTGAGTGAGATGAGATTGAGAATGTCCAAAAGATCGCTAGTATTAAGCGTTCTGGAATCGAACATCTTAGGGTTGCCAATAAAAGCTTTGGCGACTAACTCGACGTTTTTGGTCTCGATCACTTTCTTGACAATCGTTGCAGTCTTCTGCTCAAGCGAAACCTTCGCTAATACATACCCCAATTCCTCGTTTAATAACATTTGTTGGGTCTTTAAATCCTCCGACTTCGTTGCGACAATCTCCATTGTGTTTTTGATTTCCCGTAACGCTTTGACGATCTGCTCGACGCGCTCTTTCATTGCCTTCATCTCGTCGAAGTTCAACTTTTTCGCAGTGGTCTCGACTAACTCCTTCACTTCCCGATTGCGCGTGTTGAATTGTTCCGTCGACGCCGACATTTTCTTCTGAATGTCTTGTAATTTCTCGTTTATCGCCAGCTGCCCGACTTCCTTTGAAAATGTGGTGTTGTTTTCTCTTCTTGTGTCTTCAAGAAGTTTCAAATAGCCTTCTTGCATTGCGCTGGTTGTTGCTCGATACTTCACAATTTCTTCAGACATCGATTTGATGGCTTCTTTGTATTTCGCAGAAAACTGCTTTTGATTCTCTAAATGCTCTTTCACCATTTGGTCCAAGTGGCAATTGAAATCATTCATTTGTTGGAGGATGTAGGTGTCGTCGTTGTATGGAGAATCCTGTCGCTTTCTTCAGGTCATTTTCTTCTTCACTTTTTCATGAAAATGTTATTAAAATGTTATTGTTGTGAAACAAAACAAACATCTCAATGTCGTCCGGGCTACTCATGTCACTTTTGAGATTCTTTTTGTGTTTTTTATTATTTTCTTAAGTTATTTGTATAATAATGATATGGTAATAAGTATTATTAAAGTAATTGTAAAAATGTTTAAAAAAAATAACTTGATCATTCAATGGACCCCAATGTGGAAAGACAAGTCGAAGAGATGACATGTGCTAATTTACAAGTTTGTGATTTTCGTTAGAACGAAACGATTAGAAATGACTTTAAGAAAAAAATCGCACAATTACAAAACAACTATTCCATTAAGTATAATGAATATAATGATTTAAATTATACACAATGTAAACTGGAAGAACAAATAAATACACTGAAAAAAGAAAGAGAATGTTACCTAGAGTCTGCTCAACAGTTTAATCAACTTTATGAACAAACAAAAGTTGATATTTCCCAACTCACTACAGATGTTGCAAATTTATCAAAATGATTTTTATTTTATTTAGTTTTTAATAGTTTAAAATATAAGAAAAAAACATTAGTTTATTAATATTATTTTTACTATATTATTTATTAAATTTAAAAATTATAATTTTTTTAATGAAATAATTAAAAACAAATTATTGTTTTTTTCACAAAGAATAATTGTTTTTCATTTTAAATTATAAAATAAATAACATTTTGAATAACAATTAAATAATTCAAAATAAATTTTTTATTATTATGAATATAAATGTAATTTGTTTTATGATTTTAGTTTTAATAAAAGACCTTTGTTACACATATTATAGAAATAACCAAAAAAAAAGAAACTTCAAAATTTGGACTAAAAAATCAAAACTCGAACTAAAAATGATCCCAAACATGTCAGACAACTATGACACGTTTTCCCATATGGGAAGTGACCTCCACACGTTCAACGTTTGTTTTCTATCCCTTATATATTTCAGCATATAACAGAAATAATTTTCAGCGTTATGGTTCTCCGATCCATGATGAAAAAGAAATTCCAGACTTCATCACACAACTTTTAGACGAACAGCCCGACCCAGACCCACAGCCCAGGGTCTCGTTCACAGCTCCACAAACCCCAAATCCCCAACTTTTTCAAGGAGAGTTGGAGCCGAGAACCGAGCCTATTACCCCTTTCAAACAACTTTCATGCAATTTTATCCCAAAGCAACGGATCTGTAAATTTTATCAAACTGGAAATTGTCGCTATGGGGAAAACTGCAAGTTTCTCCACGTCAAGAGTACAGAACCCTTTGAAAAGTTTTCGAAGAGTAGTTACCAGCCCTTTTCGAGTTTTCAAACCTTTTCACCACAAAGTTTCCAGAACCCCGAGAATTTCCCGAAGATGTGTCGCGACCAAGTCGGGTGTCGTTTTTTACAACAACAACTTGAGGAAGGTAACACAGGTACGTTGGAGTATATTTATCAGCAAATAGTGCCGTTGCTTGACAGTTTGATGATTGACCCGTTTGGCAATTATTTGTGTCAAAAGCTCATTGAGGTTGTCAAACCCGACCAACGAGTCGAGATCATCGAGGAAATTGGTGACAAAATCCACACAATTTCAAGGAATATATATGGCACTCGTTCCGTCCAAAAACTCATCAACTCAGCTTCAAGTAAAAATGAAGTCAATCTCATTAGAAAATACTTGGAACCTTACGTCATCAATCTCATTTTTGATATCAACGGAAATCACGTCATTCAAGAATGTCTCAAAGTATTTGACAAACCCGAAAATTCGTTTATTTTTGATGCGATTTTGGAAAACGGAAATTTAGTCCGCGTTTCCAGTCACAAACACGGGTTTGTTTAATTTATAATTATGATATAAAAGTTATAAACAATAGTAACTCAATTGTTCTGATGAAGTGAGAAGTGTGGAACGTAAAAACAAAATGAATAACAAAAAGGTGTTGTGTTGTGCAAAGATGTATAGACAATGGGAATGAAGAGCAACTTTCGAGTTTAGTAAATGATATAGTAAAATATAGTTTAGCACTCGTTAAAGATGCGTTTGGGAATTATGTTGTTCAATACGTTTTGGGGATCGAAGGCGTTTCGGTTCGCGTCACAAATTGCATCATTGAAAATCTCATAGAACTTTCCATGCAGAAATTTTCGTCGAATGTTATTGAAAAACTTGTTGCCACTGGAAATTGTAAAGTCAAGGAAATCATTTTCGAACAATTTTTGAAATTCAAAGATGTTGCCATTTTACTCCAAGACTCATTTGCTAATTATGTTATACAAACATGCCTTGACAAATCTTGTTTGTTCTTTTTACTATTAAGAATAGTACATTTATTATTACTGGTTATCAATTATACAATTAATTAATTTAATACTATAAATATAGAATTTGTCTTGACTGCTAGGGGGAGAATATAAGTTACGACTTTCTAACTGGATTATTCCACATGTGGGCATTATCAAAAATACCCCATATTATAAAAAGATCCAGGGGAAGCTTGTGGGCGTTGGGAATACCCGCGTTCTTTCCAACTCTGTAAATTAAAAGGGAAATGAAAATCACATGTGTTTTAAGAAACGAAGACAAATTCTATAATTTAATTTGTTTTACTAGAATATTTATAATTTTATTTTTTAGTAGAAATAATTAATATTATAATTAAATAGTTACTTGAATAGTTACTTCGAGATGAATTATTAAAAAGAAAAAGAACTATAAAATGAATTAGTTGTTGAATGTCAAACGACCCGAATTCTCCATTTCTGGACTTTGACAATGCTTTAGATCACCTTTCGAATCCATCTGAATTTCCATCGAATTACTTGACACGTGTTTTGGAGAACACGACCAAAAAGTATTATGCGATTAGTCCATCATATGTTGCAGCGATAAGTTGCCAAGCTTTGAAGTACAAAAGTCTGATACCTTATAGAGAAGGAAATACATTTGCTAATGATTTAATAACACAAGAAGGACCACTTCCTTCAACTCTTATTTTACAAGAACTCACCGATGCGTGTGGGAACTTAAAAAGTGAATTCCAAGAGAACATTGACTTCATTCTCATATCTAAAAAGAACCAAAAAATGATCAAAACAATTATCGACTTCTTCGAAGAGGATGGCGAATTCCCAAAACTCCCAAAAGTCTTTGTCCGAAACGAAGACGGAAAATTTATTAAAGACACTACACCGATTATGGTCACTTTTAAGTTGACACTAAAATCCCTCAATAACGCCGATAATGAGGTGTTGAGAAATTGCGAAGTATACAGAACACAGACCGTCGAAAGAGTCTTGTCAAGACTCAAAGTACTCTACGCATCAGAACTCATATTTACAAGCTACGATATCCAAATTATTAGTTCCGATTCAACTACCGCATCTCTGTCAGACACTATTGGAAAGTTACTCGACACCACTGAAACACCAAACACAATTTCCATCATTATTAAAGAACTGAAACTCCACAACCAATGGCTTTCTAATAATAATTATAGTTACTCAAATTACAACAATAGTTCCTCGATGTATGGTTATAATTATGGTTCGAGATACTATGACGGATATGACAACGATGAAATGAAGCGCGGGACGAAAGGGGTATGTGGGCTGCAAAACTTGGGGAACACTTGTTTTATGAATTCCTCAATACAATGCATCGTCCACGTCATGCCACTTGTCAAGTACTTTGAACGTGGGATGTGGAAAAACGAAGTAAACACAACTAACCCGCTTGGGACACAAGGAAAGCTTGCTTCGGCTTGGGCGGACTTGGTCAACAAGTATTGGGGAGGACATTCTTATATCTCACCAAAATCCTTTAAAACGGCCATCGGTGAGTTTGCGCCACAATTCAGTGGGTACCAACAACATGATTCACAGGAACTCATGTCATTTTTGATTGACGGAATCCACGAAGACCTCAATCGAGTTGTCAAAAAGGTGTATGTTCAATCTCCAGATTACAATGGCGAAACGGAAAGTGAGTGGGCCAAAAAAGAGTGGGAAAGATACAAAATCCGAAATGATTCGATTATAACGGACCTTTTTACTGGACAGTTTAAATCGAAGGTTGTGTGCGATGTGTGCGGAAAAGTCAATCTTAAATTTGATTCGTACATTTTCTGGTCTCTTACAATCCCGAACAAAACGAAATTGGTTAAGTTCACTGTGTTTGACAAAAGTTACCAACATGTTGAAAAGGTTAGCATTGATGTTGAGAATAAAAGTCGGAACGAGATTGTGGAGGAGTGTTTGAAAAACACTAATATTTTTGGAGATTGCGAGGATTTTGTTGTTGTCAAATACTCATGTGGTGAAAAGGTGGAACGACTGGTTGAGATAAAGGACAAAATTGAGACACAGTACGAATATGCTGTTGTTCAAATACAAGACAAAATCAAAGAAGAGAGGAAAACCGATGAAAGTGAACACCCAAAACAAAACAATAACGAAGAGAAAGTCGTTGAAGTCGAGGATATTCAAGAAACTATGAATGAAATTGGAAAAGAAGAAGAAGCGAATCAACAGGTTGTTCCACATATTGTGATTTATGACATGTTGTTCAAATATACTGATTATAGCACTTACAGAGTTCCATTTGCGTTCCATTCTGATGATTCTTTGGATGGAATTGACGCGAGAATGTATTTGTTATTTAAAGAGGAATTTTCGACTTACTCGTATTACTACAACACAAGCGAACAAAAAGAAGAAAAGCAAAAAGAAGAGGCTGAGACGGAAAAACACTTCATATACAATGATCAATCTAGTGACGTAATTGAAGGAGAAACAAAAGAAGTTTCTAAATTCAGGTACTTCTCTGTGCGTTCCAGTTACAGCAGAGATGAAGGTGATCCGGTCTCTTTGGAGGAGTGCATCGAAGCGTTCCAAGAAGAAGAAAAGCTCGACGGGGATAATAAAGCATATTGCTCGGGATGCAAACAACACCAACCGGCTCACAAGAAGATGGACTTGTGGTGTGCAAACAAGGTCTTGGTTATTCATTTGAAACGGTTTGGGAATGCTTCAGGAAGTTTCAGGGATAAAGTGAACACGTTAGTAAATTTCCCGATAGAGGGGCTAGACTTGACGAAATACATCAAAGCCGACCAAAAAGAGAGGAAGATCTATGACTTGGTTGCGGTCTCAAACCACTCAGGATCACTTGCGGGTGGACACTATGTTGCATCTGCTAAAGTTGGAAATGAGTGGTACGATTTTAACGATTCTTCCACGTCCAGAATAGAAGGGACTGAAAGAGACATTGTCTCGTCGGGAGCGTATGTTCTTTTCTATATTAGACGAGACGACGAAGAGTACTCAAGTTCATTGAGAAGCGACGCAAGCGACAACGCTGAAGAAGAAGAGGAAACAGGTGAGAAGTTGGAAAATATATCGAAAGATAGCGATGTGGAAAGCGACAGAAAAGAAAGTGATAAGTCGAGTTTCTTTTCACGTGAATAATCAGACAACTTTTTTTGTATCATTTTTAAAGGAGTGAAAAATGACTCTATAACCATCCAAATAATTAATGCATTTGATAAAACTTAAAAAACCTATCAAACACTTATTTGCTGTCGTATCGTTATTTACTTTTTTATTTATATTTAAAATTCACCAAACTATACATTTGTTAATTAATTCATTAAATACAATAACAAATACAACCATTTATTGAGTATTTAAAGTGAATAGTATTATTTATAATAAATATTAAATTAATAGGCAATAAATAAATCAATATAATAAATAAATTAAATAAGAATAAATTCTAAGGACGATACATTTGAGAAGGGTTAAGTGAACTATTAAGTTTTGTTGCGAGAATGGCAGAACAGACAGAGAGAGCTTTCCAGAAACCGTTCCATGAGTACCATAACCGCGACGCCAAAGGCCGCATCGATTACAACAGCCCAAAGAGATGGTACAAGAACATTGGGTTAGGGTTTGTGACTCCAGACGAAGCGATCAACGGCAATTACATCGACAACAAATGCCCGTTCACCTCGAAGATCTCCATCAGAGGAAGAATTCTTTCTGGTATTGTCAAGTCGTGCAAAATGAAGAGAACCATTATAGTCAGAAGAGACTATTTCCACTACATCCCAAAATATAACCGATATGAAAAAAGACATAGAAACATCGCTGTCCACTGCTCACCAGCTTTCAGACAACTTAAGGAAGGTGACTTCGTCGTCTTCGGCCAATGCAGACCACTTTCTAAGACTGTTAGATTCAACGTGTTGAAGTACACTTCCAGAGGTTCTGCTGACAAGAAACAGTTCGCTATCTTCTAAGCAAGTTTTTTTTGTTATTCATTTTGTTATTAGCCGTTTCTCTGTTATTACTATTTAATTATTATACTTGATACTAATATATTAGTATCTAGTTTACTAATTAAGTATTAGATTAAAACTATAATTCAATGGAATTGGATTAAAAGGTTGAATGGTTGTGGCCCCAGTTTGACCCCGTCATCTCGGTGAAGTTCAAGTAAATGTTCTCACCAGATATCCCAGCTTTCTCAGTGAGTAATGTGCAGAAACTGTCCGACAACGCTTCTTGTTTTCCTTTTAACCCACCAATACTCTTTATATCAACAAAAGCACTGTTCACTACTTTACCACCAAATCCTCCAACAGATAATACTACTTGCGACGAACAATAACTGATCGGCTTCTTAATAACTTCTGATAAGATCTTCATGGCTCCCTCAGCAATAGCCTTTTGGACTTCTTTTGATACATCGGCGCCTAAAGTGATTAAAGCGTGTGGCATTTTTTATTCAATTTCCAGTTTTTGGTCTGATAATTATTAAGTTGTTCAATTCAAATTAATAACATTTAAATAACAAATTAAATAACAAATTAAATAACAAATTAAATAACAAATTAAATAACAAATTAAATAACATTAAAAAATATTTTGAAAAACAATTTGAAAAACAAAATTAAAAAACATTTTGAACTCATCACTAAAGTTAAACTCAAAAGTGCCAATGAGACTACTTTTCCTCGTGCTCCCCTTTTTGGCGTTGTCTATTGAACAACCCAAATTAAATCAAGCGGTTGTAGTTAATTTAAGTAGATATTGGTTAAATTATAGACACAGCTCAAGTGCTATGTTGGTATACAACACACTGAAAAGACTGGGATATTCGGACGACCAACTGTTGTTCTTTATGGCGGACGACCACGCGTGTCATCCACGAAATATATACCCTGGAGAACTTCGCCAAGACACAAACATGCCGAATGTCTACACGGACGTGATCATTGATTACAAAGGTCGTGATGTGTCGATCGACAAGTTCATGCGCGGGATGTTGGGACGTGACCGTGTTGGGACACCTGATGCCTTACGTGTGATGAAAGGTCAACGGATGTTTGTGTACCTGATTGGACACGGCGGAGAGGGTTTCATGAAGTTTCAAAATCGTGATGAGATCACGTCATGGGATATCGCTTACTTATTCAAAGAAATGGAAATCATGAATCGGTATAAGGAAATGCTTTTTGTCGTCGACACGTGTCAAGCTTCAAGTCTTAGTGATCGTATCACAGCAAAGAACGTTATTACCGTTGGAAGTTCTATAACAGGCTTAAGTAGTTATTCGGGTCGAATTTCAAGTGAAATAGGAGCAATCACTTCAGACTTGTGGGATGAAAATCAAGACATTTTGTTCACTGAAAGACTTGACAAAGACTCAAATATGACGGTGAGAGATTACTTGAAGTATTTCACTTATCCAATGCTTAAGACACAACACGGATGGCGTGAAGATTTATTTAATCGACCTATGGAGGACGTCAAAATGATCGATTTCTTGGGATATGTACCAAAGAAGGTAACTATTGATTTGAAAAGTATCCCATGGGATAGCAACATATTTTAATACTATTAAGTTACATTAGACATTTTTTAATAATTGTTAATAAATATTATATAATAAATATAATAAAAAATATATATTACTGTATTATAGATATGATATAATTCAATATAATATAATATTATATAATATTATATATATTGTATTATTATTAGCTAATTGTAAAAACTTGATTTATTTAATTAATAAATAATAGATATAAGTAACATAATATTATAATCGATATAATTAATATATAGAATGTTATAAGAACTCAAATAAACTACAAAAAGTGGTATTGATGGAACAAGCAAAGAGTTATTGCATATTTTGTTACGCCCCTCTTGATGACGAAGTCCCATTGTGTCAAACGTGTTTAGTAATGCAACTAAAAATGAAGGAAGTTATTTGTGAAAGTTTACAGAGTGCGTGTGTTTCATCGGTGATGGAGATTCAGACATTAAGTCTTGAGCAAAAGAGTATAAACGAGTTGATTCGAAAAGAGGAAGAAGCTGTGACCAAACTTGAGACAGAAATTAAGAAACTACAAAATACGAATGATGCGCTCAACTGTTCTTTTGAGTTTTTAAAAGTTGCCAATAGAAAACAATACTCAACAGAAGACCTGTTATTCGATATTATCAGTGAACTTGCTGCGGGCTCTTATACATGTTTGGATAACTATAATAATAGTATAACTAAGTTAGTCTATAGATATGACTTAGACTATGGCGTTTGACTTGACAGACTAGTTCAACGTAGTAAGTATTCTGTAACTTTTGAATTATAGTTTCCAAATACTAAATACTTCTATTAGCTTCTAGTATATATATATAATTAAAATATCTATTTATTATAAATCATTTTTGATACTATAATTAATTATATTTTCATTAATAACATATCAACTAAAAAAAGAAGTGTTAAATTGATGAAAGTTGAGGTGTATGTTGTTGGAAATGGGACTTCAGAAATTGGCCCTTCCTTTTTGCTTTCAATAGATAAAATGAAGTATATTTTTAATACCCCCGAGTCATTTCAAAGAGGCTGTTTTGAACAAAAATTAAAGCCGAGTTCTAGTAATTATATCTTCTTTACTTCTGCAAAGTGGGCATGTGTTGGGGAGTATCCTCTTCTTAAGGCAAATCCATTTGACTCATCATTTCCAGGGATTAAAGTCCATGGACCAAAAGAATGCTTAGAAGTGTTTGAATCTTCTTCTAAATTTCAAACGGACTTTCCTTTGTCGCAGCAAATATCATTCACATCAGACAATGAAAGATGTGAAAACTCGGGGTCGACTTTTTCTCCATATAGAATCAAAGGAATTCAAAGCGACACTTTATGTTACTTTATAGACCTTCCAAAGATACCTGGCAGGTTTGATCCAAAGAAAGCAGATTCTTTTGATCTTACTGGAGAAGAAAAGAATCAAATCATGACCAATGGTTATTGTTTCATTAATAAAACACAAAAAGTAACACGAGAAGATGTTTGTACTGAGTCGAAAGAGACTGGAAAAATAATAATAGCACACATCATCGATTTATGTTCACTCACAAATTTTCTTGGTGTTTTTTCAGTGCAGATTCCTCAAGACACTATTAATAAGATCGTGAGTTTTGTACTCATAACGACAGACTATTTACTCGAAACTCAAGAGTTAACAAATTTTCTGAGTCATTTGAAGTGTAAAATAGTCACACTTCGCGATAACTCATTCGACGACGCAATTTGCTTGTCTGAGACGTCATTTAAGAAGTACTCTGTATTTCACAAGGAGTTGAAGAAAGTACTTCCCGACTATGTTACAAGTGAATTTTTTACTTTAAAAACATCAAAAAAGTATTCTCCACTCACATATAAAATTACAGTCTATCCAAAGTACTTAGAGACTTATAATGAAACACTCAAACAAGTGGACTTTCCACTCACTGTGAAGAAAATTGAGAAGAAAGAACAAGACAATTTCAAAGTACTCTTGTTAAGTACCGGCGGGTCATTCCCTTCAGTGATTCGCGACTGCTCTTGTAATTTAGTCGAAGTCAATGGAATGACTTTACTCATCGACTGTGGCGAAAATGCAGCAAACAAAGTAGTGAAGGCGGGGTATGATATCAACCAACTTAATTGTATTTACTTCACACATGGACATGTCGACCATGTGTATGGGATCACCAGTCTACTTTTGAAGAGAACACGCCCGATAACAATTATATGTCCCCATACCGTTGCAACATACATTTGTGATGTCCTCAAAGTACTTCAGAAACGTCTTGACATCTTCTTTATTGAAAATTGGGAATTTAGTGATGAGAAGAAGACGCAAAAGGCACAAAGTATAGAGCACAATTTAGGCGTAATTCTCACAACTAAATTATTGAAACACACTCTAGTCAATTATGGCATCAAAATTCAATTCCACAATTTCGCTCTTGTTGTGACGGGGGACACATCGCCATGTCAAGAAGTTGCTGATTTCTGTGATAGAAGTGATGTTGTTATTCACGAGTGCAACAATGAAGTTGGTCAAGAAGAATATGCACTAGAACATGGGCACTCTACTCCACTCACCATTTCTGAATGTCTGAAGGCCTGCAAAATAAAGACTTTAATATTCAACCATCTAACTCCTCGTATTAACAAAAGCAAAATTGATGACATTCATTTTCAATGTGTTACATTCGATGCAGTTGATGGCTTTGTCATTCAGAAAAGCATTACGGAAGATGCACTCGACATCAAAAACAATTTCAAAGAGATCTTCGACTTCTTGGATAAGTAAGTGTTGGGTGGATTTCATTATTGAAGAGAACAATAATCAAAGCTAAATATTCACTTCCGTTTCAGATGGGAAAGAAGAAATTCTTTCATTAAAGGAATATCTCTGTCATAACACTGATAACTATACGGCCCTTGAACTAAATACAGTTTGGGGATGTTCGAGGCGCGTTGTGTACTACAGAAAGTTTTGTATAAATAGCAATTGAGTTCGACTATATCAACAGATGGCACTTCCTTTGAAAGGGTGACTAAGTCGTTGCGAAGAACTTTGCACCAGTGACACCCCGGTGACCAATAAAAGACTAGATGTGAGACGGTTTTGTCTTTTGTAAATGAAACGTAATCGTCTGGAGTGATTTGTCGAAATGGGTCTGCATCGGCAAATATCAGTTGAAGAAGTGTTATCAGCACTAACATGGGGTTTGATTTTTTTGTTCTGGTAGTTGATCTTAATAGATTGTAATAGTTTAATTAGTTAACTTTTAATAAGTTAATAATAATGTAATGAAGTGATAAACAGTGTTGATTAAAGTGTTCAATAATTAACATCGACAGTGTCTCACTATATAAATAAGTAGTTTCGAAATAATATAGAAAAAATTTTGGTATTAAAAATGTTATTACTTGGTGTGTGTTTCTATATTCTAATTATATACTAATATATATTAAAAATTAGGAGTAAAATTTATATTATTTAAATACAGTATAATCCGGGTTTAATTCACTTAAAATATTTTGGAACTATCGGGTTTAATTCCACTTTTTTCAAGAAAATTATTTTAAAAGATTTTTAAATCAAAAATAATTGATGGAATTAACTTTCGGTAGTTTTATAGTTATAATTATTTAATAATTATTTGTTTCAATCAAAAACAAATGATGATGGTAAAGGCTTTTTCATCGTCTCTAAAAATAAAGTTTTTTTAAACAATTTAATATAATATTTTAATTAAAATTATAGTAAATGGGAGCTTAAGATAATATTTGGTCTGGTTCCCGAATTAAAAATGTGTCACCTCGAAACAGTGGAAACCGAGTGCGACGATTATCAAAAAGAAGGCACAGGCGGTCTGTTTGTGCACCATTCCACACACTTTCAATGTTATTCTTGGCGCGGATCCCCCCGCAAGCGTTGGGGAACCACATCAGCGTTTAAACAGTACGGAGGAGGAAAGTGGTAACATGGGGACGCACAAACAGTGACTTAAAGATGGACTTCCTTTAAAAAATACTCGCGGCAAATACTTTGTTAAGGTGGTGGTGAAACAAGTCTGTTTAAATAAATAAAAACGAATAAAAACTCGAGTTCATTATGTTCTTTTTTATTTATTCATTATTTTATAATAAGTAATTTATAATGTAATAGTACCGAAAAATAGTTCAAGAAACAAAAATAATGCATTTTTATTCAAAAACAAATATTCTGATTAATTTAGGTGAAACCCAATTATTTCACGTAAATTTAAATCAAAAAACAAGACTATGATAATATAACTCAAAAGTGTTGTTATTATTATTTTTTCTTACTTCGGGTTTAATTATTTTCTAATGAATTAAACCCGATTATTTAATTAAACCCGGACTGGAATTAAACCCGGATTATACTTTAATTTTATTTATTTAAATTAATAATTTATATATTATTTTAATTTAAAAATTACATAATTAATTAATAAGTTATTATTTTTATTAATTTGACTCAATTATTAATAAAAAAAAACATGTTATTATCAAGTAATGATTGGTGTTTTTTTTGAAGAACAATTTTTTGAATTTTCTTTAATAATCAACCCGATTTTTAATAATTAATTATATCTAAAATATTATTAGTAATTTACATGGAAAAGTTATGTAAAAACCATAAGAAAGTTTGATAAGTCTTGATTTTTCTCACTGACAAAGATCTTCAAATTATATTTTGTCTGCTGAACTTAATATTTTATGTTCCAATGAATCGGGAATTATTCCTAAATGTTAATTATTTTTGAATAATAAAATCATTTTTTATTTTACGCAAACTAATGGCTATTTTTTTGATTGTTTTTTTTATGAAAAATTTGTTTGAGAAATTCCCACAATTCAACTAGAAATAACCGTAAAAATACCATTAAAACCCAAAAAAAAACAAAAAAATTAAAATAGTGTGAAAGAAGGAAACAGAATAACAATTTTAAATTCTAAAGACTCGTTTAAAATAAGAAACTATAATAAATCCATAAACTAGTCAAACAAGAGTTATTTAATTTACGCACACACGAAAGAAAAGAAAAAGATCCCAAAAGTACTTTTGATTCTGACGACTATAAAAAGACTTTTTTCTCTCGAAATTCACAATGCTCTTGTTGCTTCTGACTGTTGCTTTGTCAGTGGAAGTGAATGTGATGCTTCCGCTTGATGTAGTAGGTTCCAGTGGACTTACCAACAGTGCACAATTAAAAAATGATTTCACCAAGTTAAAAAGTGGAGGAGTAGCTGGTGTGATGACTGATGTATGGTGGGGCTTAGTAGAGACCTCAGCGAAGTCGTACAACTGGGCTGGGTATACGGACATGGCCAAACTCGCCAAGGACGCCGGTTTGAAGTTACAAGTAGTGATGTCATTCCACAAGTGTGGCGGTAATGTAGGGGATACATGCAACATTCCAATTCCATCATGGGCTCGTTCTTCTAGCAGTGCTGCGTTCAAGGATCCACAAGGAAATACAAACGACGAATACATTTCCTTTGGCGCCGACTCCTTGGCTGTTTTTGGAGGAAGAACTCCTTTACAAATTTATAAAGACTTCATGTCTGCTTTTAAGACCAAGTTCGCGAGTTACATTTCAGATGGAACAATTAATGAGGTTCAGGTAGGTATGGGCCCATGTGGTGAGACTAGATACCCAGCTTATCCACTTTCAAGATGGACTTATTGTGGTGTTGGTGAGTTCCAATGCTCTGACTCGAACTCGTTGTCTCAATTGCAATCAGCTGCAACAGCTGCTGGTCATAGTGAATGGGGTAAAGCATCTCCATCAAACGCAGGTACCTATAACTCGAAGCCCCCATCATCGACTGGGTTCTTCGGGAGTGGAAGTGATAACTACAAATCGGAGTATGGAAAATTCTTCTTGAATTGGTATCATCAACAATTAATTAAACACGCCGAGAACATTCTTTCGTCCGCTAAGAGTGTCTTTGGGTCTTTGGCAATTGCAGGTAAAGTTGCTGGTATCCATTGGTGGTACAACGATAATAGCCACGCTGCGGAGCTCACAGCAGGGTATTATAACACTAATAGTCAAGACGCTTATTCAAACATTGCAAAAGCTTTCAAGAAGTATGGCGCTCGATTTGATTTCACATGCCTTGAAATGACTGGCACAGATTCAAACTGCGGAAGTACTCCAGCTAATCTTGTAAATCAAGCATACACTGCTGCTGGTAGCGCTGGTGCTGTTAAATGTGGAGAGAATGCCCTTGAATTGTGTGGATATGGTGGATGCAATACTTCAGGGTTCAACCAAATTGTTTCTCAAGCTAAAAAGTATGGACTCACTGCTTTCACTTATCTGAGACTTACTAGAGCTTTGCTTGATGACGGGACTGCTTGGAGCCAGTTCAAAAGTTTCGTTAACAACATGAAATAAATTCGTTTATTATTCTTTCGATGTTTATATTGTTAAATAAGTATCGCATACTACATGAAGAGAACAAATAATAAATAATCAATGTAGGAATTAATGTTAACGTAATTTTCATCAATTTTGGCAAATAGACTTGACATAAAAACATGGTGTGTAAACAATATGATGGTCTTTGGTTTTGGTGGAAGATGTATCATTAAAATAACGTAGAATGTATTTATTTTTACTAATAAAATGTTCGTAATACATATTTAAAACAGACAAAAAAAATTAACAACAAAAAGGTCAACAACGTCATTGTTGGTACAAAATATTTGCAAAGAAAAAACAAACAACACAAGAGCTCTCAGATATTCTAAAACTTTTTGTAAAAAATGTTATTATTTATTTTTTCAAGAACACCAAACTATAAATTTGATTTTTTTACCAACAGTTGTTTTATTAATTTTTACAATGTAACAAAAAATAACAAATATTTTTTTCGTTAATGAGTGATTCCATTTTTAATACAGGAGAGACAAAAGATGCAATTCGTTTTAATTCAGTTATAAAAGGTTTTTGTTACCATATTTATTAAACTAGAATTTTTTTTTAATAAATATTATGTTTTGTTCTTTAATTTACTTTTTTTCGATACAAATCGCACTTTAAAACATTTTATTTTTGTTGTTATTTTTTACATTATTGATTTTTTTGATATAATTAGACCATTCAATTGGTTTAACTAAATATATATAATAGTTTTATTATTAGTGTATAAATATACTGGTTTGAATTGACTCTTTCAAATGTTTTGCCCACTATTTTTTTTAATAAATAAATCAAGGAGCTATAAATTAATAAAAAATAAACCATAATATTATAGTTTGTATATCTTGATTATCAAAAATCGTTTTCAGTACCACTGTTTAAAATAAAAGTAAATTATTTCTTAAAATAATACACCATTTCATCTTTTGATATTATTTTTATAATACAATTTGATATAATTATTAGTATTAAATGCAAATGTGGGAGGATATCAATTTTTAGTAGAAGTGCAAATTAAACTAAATAGTACACAAGTTATAAATTATATTATTAATTAATAAACGTGGTTTCTTCAAAACAAAAAAGCTAGTGGTGGTAATAAAAAAAGATGGAAAACCAAGAAAAATAGTTTTTGAAGTTCTTTAAATAGAAGTTGTTGTTCTTTTCTTTTGAAAATGATTGTCCAAAGTTTCTTCGAAACCAATTTATATTCGAGGAATAAAACACAGGAAACATCACGATATCCGATTAATTTAGTAAGCAAAGTTATAAACTCAACAAAAAAATTGTTTAGTTGCATACGAATGACGTATTTCCGACTTGGTCCAACTTGCTTTAAAATGTAATATTGCTCCACCACTTCAGGGAAAAGGAGACAACAGAAAGAACTAAAAAGGAAAATCTACAAAATTTGAGGTAATGACCCTAGAAGTTAAAAAGCGGGCATACAAACGGATGGACAAGAGCATAAAGCAGTCTCACGAGAATGCAATTAAGCTGCAAACCGACCTTGAATGTTTTCTATTGTCATTATTATCTCAACGATACGGTCTTACTGTTACACAACCACAAAAGAAGACAAAAGATACCAAACAATTCATCAAGATTAAAGAGATTATTGAGGTTTTCGAGAATGGAGATGAATTCAATTTCCAGTTTCAGAAATTTTTGAAGGTACGGTCCAGTGAGTACATCACACAAGAAGTTAAAAAAGGAGTTTCACGAACAACAGCACAACGACGGATGCAAGATTTGAAGCACATCGAGTCGACTCATTTCTTTGAAGATTTGCTTGGTGATAATTGGATCATAGAAGCAAAAAATGAAGATAGAGATGGCATTCATGGCGACATTGCAATTTACTACAACTCGTTGCTTGTTGCAGACACTAAAACTGTGAAAACAATTGGAAGTGCTGTATATAATTATATCATGAACTCACTCGGAATGAAAAACGAAAGGTATTTCGTCATAGGCGAACTCTCTATTATCCCTTTGTAAATCCACAACTATTCGCATGTTTGCGTGTAAGTCATTTCATTGTACACATTTAGTCGTTGAAATTTTTTTGGAAAGTTTTAACACTCTCTTTATATAACAAATAAATAATTATAACATTTAATTATAATTATACAGATTAAATATTTTGTTCATTTATTGTAAATGGCTTATCATTTTACTATAAAGTTATTAATCCAATATAAGTAGAAACTTTATAATTATATTAATTATTATATTAAATGAGTAAGAGTATTTAATAACTATAAAATACGATAAAAAGAGTTATAAATAAATTAAAAGGAAATAACATAATTTTCTTTCGATAAAAAAGGAAAATGTATTAAATAATATAGTTGATTTAATTATTTTATATAATACCAGAGTTTGCCATGTACAGAATATGGAAATTGAAAAAAGAAACAAAATTGGACAACACAAAATAGCAAACACGAACTGAAAAGACAACACAATGTATAGCAAGAACAGTGAGTCGATGAGTTTTGAAGGAGAAGAATGGGAAGGAAAAGAAGTTAAAGTGCAAAACAAGATTAAACGAATCACGGTCTGTGAATGTAACCCAATATTTGTTGGTATTGAATTCATCGAAGAGTTATACCTTCTCGGCTGTAATTGCGACATGCTCGGCGTTTCACAAAATCTTACCACCCTTTCTGTTTCGGATTTGCTTATCACACATCTCGTTCTACCACCAACACTCAAAAATCTCGAGATTGAGAACCTGAGTGGGTTGAACGAAATAGACTTTGGAGTTGACTCAAAATTGACACACTTTACTATTTCGAAGGCTGGGCTCAACCAATTGGACCTCCCCAGTTCTCTCAAAGAACTTGAAATTGGCGAGTGCTTCAGATTATCTTCACTTGACATTTCCAGTTTAACAAAATTGTATTTGTTCGAATGCACAAAACTGACTTTCCTTCAAAATTCGTCAACAATGGAATCACTTTCTCTCTTTGACTGTCCTTTAGCGACATTCCCCGAATTTTCCAATCTCAAAACTCTATTTCTCCAGAACGTTTCGTCGCCCCAAATCAATCTCCCTCACTCATTAACTCAATTAGAAGCAGTAGATTGTCCTTTCACTCGTCTTGAGTCTATTGAGAATTGTAACTTAGTTTCACTCGACCTTTTTGACTGTAAAGTAGGAAAAATCCGTGTTCCCACCACAATCACCTCTTTGAAAATTCAGTATTGTTCAAATATTGAGATAGTCAACATGAACGAACTCAGACCAAATCATACACTATTCTCGTAATTTTATTATTTATTAATATGTGTTATAAAAAAGATATTTCGGATTTTGTGAACGCCTCAAATGTACGAACATGAGAGGTTTGCTTGAAAACCCAACGTCTACCAACCGATAATGGCATTAAACATAAGTTCTCTGCTGCAGGGCTGGAATACTTATTATCAAGATAACCCTTCCCTTTTATATGCCGTTTCAGGTCATTGTCATTTTTTTAGATATTAGTAGTAATAGTAAATTTACTATTCTTCCAACGTTGAGATTATTTTTTATTTTTATTGTTTCTTTATTATTACTTATATTATAATTGTTTCAACCATAAAAATTTAATAATAACTGTAGTAATTATTATAATAAAATATAGTTGAAACTAATTAGAGAAAGATGATTTCCAATAGAACATTTTTTTAAGTATTCAAAAACAAAACAGAAATTAATCACTTGATTTTCCCGAAAATTTGCGATAAAACCAACACCACCAAATGACTTAGAACCCCATTTTTTACTTGGATTTGTCTTTGGAACTGTAAATAACAAAGGAATTGATGCAACTCTCATCTACCCTCAAGATTTGTTTAGTTGGTGACATGAGTTTGTTTCTCCAAATTTAAACAACTCTTTTCATATTCACAAAAAGGTGTCGGCAAAACTTGTGTTGTGAATAGATTGGTCAAGGACAAATTCACTGAAGAAGAAAAAGCAACAATTGCAGCGTCATTTGTTACTACCACTCTTACCAACAATGTCACAAACAAAAAAGTTGACGTTTCCATTTGGGTTTGTCTTTAACATCTAACTCGATGAAATCCTTATTGACATCTAGGACACTGTTTGTCAGGACATTTTCTATTTGTTTTAGTTCTTTTATTCATATTTGACTAGTCTAATTAATATACTATTCTTAATGATAAACTGTAGTATTCATTTTGATACAATAAATTGGAATATTATTCAATTCACCAATTTTGTTATATCACCAAAATAGTACAAAATCATGTGTTTTACATTCAAAAATTAACAACAGCATTATGTTTGTTTTTAATTAACGTTTTTAGGCGGGACAGGAAAAGTATCGATCCATGGTGAACATGTATTACCGGGGGTCGAGTGGCGGAGTAATAGTTTTCGACCTGACATCAAAGAACAGTTTTCTCCATGTCAGGAGTTGGTATAAAGACTTGAAAGAAGCGGTTCCTGATGTTGCAGTTGCACTCATCGGAAATAAATCCGACGCCTCCAATTTCAGGGTCATCCAGTATGACGAGGCAAAAGCACTTGCAGAAGAACTTAAGATCGACATATTCTATGAAGTGTCTGCAAAAACAGGAGACAGTTTGCTTTTACTATATCTTATAATTGTTTTACAAATAATTAATGGTTTTATCACTTTGTATTTATACTTTTAGTTTATTTGTTATACTTGTTTAGTTTGAGTATTAATGTACTATAATGTATAGTTACATTGTTATTTATTTGTAGATATCAAAGTTGTATTTGAAGATTTACTCAAAAATATGAAACCACGAGAAAAGAACGAGGCGAACTATCTTGAGCACCACCAATTGGAAGATAAACAAGATCAGGGCTGTTGCTGATCCAACGACTTTCGTAAATACTGTGCCATTTTCTTATTTACCGTTTCAACTTCATTTCCACCTTAACTCTTACTAATTACTATAACAATAACTATAATAATAATAAATTATTAATAATATTATAATATATAAATTAATAATTATAATAAAATAGAACATAACCCAAAGTAATTAGAATCTGCAAAGTACAATTCCGATATTATCAGGGATCTGTGTCTGCACACACGACACATACGCAGTATCTCTTAAAAGCGACACCAATTCACTTGTTTTTTGAATTCTTCTGTTTCTCTGTAAAATGTCCAATAATAAGGAATTTGAAACTTCATCCCAGACGCCATCAGTAGCCACTACTAAATACTGCTCGTCATCTCGTCTGTCACATACTGTTATGTCAGGCTTATGAGTGATGATGGGCTTGTTCTTGATATCTCCAACGGATCGAGCGACTAATAAGCCACATACTCGAGAACTTTGATCAACAAAGCCACCTTCACTTCTAATACGTACTTGTTCATGTCTGTCTGAAGTCTTGTGCTCCGGAGCCAATTGATGAATCCCGGACTTAGTTATGTAAACCCCTCTACAATCACCACATTGAGCTGTGTATATCTTCTTTGGTGTCACAAACACTACAGTGACGACGGCACCGTCTTTGATATCGTTGTCAACAAACTCCTCTTCGATTTTATCAAAAGATTTGAGGAGACAGTCTTCGATGGAGTCTTGTTGGTTATTCTCTTTAAATTGCTCATATAAGATCTTTGGGAAATTTTGGGTGAAGGAATAAGACGCTTGGAACCCCGAGTGCCCATCGACTGCGGCAAATAAGAAATGGTCTGGTGCTGCAAAGTGGGGAATACAAATGAAAGAGTCTTGCATCTCGTCTCTATCCGCACACATCTGTGCACCAGCACATGTGATTCGGACGGTTTTGAATTCAAGTGATTTGGAGAATCTGTCTAACAAAGAATACATTCGCTGTGTCCCACACCCATCAGTCCGTATCGTAAGTTCGGGCCCATGATTCGGGAGTGATGTGATGTCGTTGAATGAAAGATCCAACATCCGAAGTTTATTCAACTTTTTCACTTCAATGTCGCTCGTTGAGCGTTCAAGAGCGTTAAATGAAAGGTCCAAATAGATTAAGTTGTCGCATCCACTCAATTGGGGCGGTTCAGTCAAATAATCTATTTGTTAATAATTCAAAATACTATTAAGTATAGTTCTTATAATACAATAGAGACTGAGACAAACTGTTCGACAAATTGAGTTGTTCCAATTTGGGCAAATTGTTGACGTTCTGCGCAGAGACTAAGTAACAATTTGATAGGTCGAGTGTCTGTAATTCCTTCAAGCAACTTAGATCTGGTAAGTCCCTAATATGGTTACTTGCTATATAAAGCTTCTGCAAATTCGAAAGAGCTAAAATGACGTTTGGGAAGACTGCAAGGCCGTTATTAGAACAGTGCAGTTTAGTCAAATTGACCAAATTAGTCAAGTCGTTTGGTAGTGAGTTAATTGGATTACCAGCCAATACAAGCGCCTTCAAGTTAGTCAAATCGCCGATGTTATTTGTGATTGTGTGGATGCTATTAAATGACACGTCGAAATACGTCAATGTATTCATTTTCGAGAAGTCGTAGTCGAGAATCGTCATTCTATTGAACCCCACATTCAGATATTGAATTCTTGGCAAGTCTGGTTTCAATGGCAAATTCTTTAATTTGTTATTTGAAAAATCGGCGATGACCAGTTTTTGGGAGTTTGCTATCGACGAGTCGATCGACGCTATTTGGTTATGTCTTGCAAAGATCTTTTGAGCGGTACACGTCTTAGACATAGAAAGTGTTTGGATCACGTTGTATGAACAATTCAATGTGATCAAACTTGGAGATGTGACAGTGAGTGTAGTGAATTGGTTATACGACACATCCAAGTTCTCCAAATTTGACATAGCTGAGTAGTCCATAAAGAGGATTTGTGATTCGACTTTCGAGTAGAACAGTTCTCGGAGTGTTGGTAATGGGTCGAACGAGAATTTGATAGTCTGTGACGCGTGGAATTTCTTTAATCTCATCGTTGTGAAATTACTTGGGACTGAGGAGATCGGGTTGTTCGAGATTTGTAAGAATGTAAGGGACGACAACAACGCAAAGGTGTCGGGGAGACTCTCCAGCTTATTATTTTTGAGGTCCAAATATCTTAAAGATGATAAATTGGATATTGAGTCTGGGAGATGGACGATGTTATTAAATGAAGCATTGATCTGTTTAACATTAGGGCAATCCAAATTTGGGAGGTTCGATAAGTCGTTTTGGGAGACATCCAAATACGTCAGGGATTGACAACTATACGAAAAGTCAGTCAAAAAGTTTGCGGACAAGTCGAGTCGAGACAAACACGTTGGCGGCGTTAAAGTGCTTAATTTGTTCGCACAAATTTCTAGACTCGAAAGCCCTTTCATTGAAGTAAGTGATTGAGAAATAGTACTGATTCTGTTTTGGTTCAAACACAACGTTTCAAGTTGAGTCATTGTAAAAAGTTTCTCATTGACTTGAACAATTTTGTTACAAGCAAAGGAAAGCTTTTTAAGAAAATTAAAGACTGTGACGGTATCGGGAATCGCCTCAAACTCATTGTTCATAAATATCAACTCTCCGATGTTTGAAAAAATACTTTGGTTCTGTGTCAACTCACGTGGAATGTCTGTTAGTCGCAAATCGTTGCGCTTGACTATGGTCATTGGTTTTGCTTCATTTTTAGTTCTATTTGGAGTTTATGGTATCGATGAATGTTTTTACTTCATTTTTTACTCTGAATTGACATTTTTGAAAGTTCTTCTTCTGTTAGTATGAAATGGAGACTCATTCGACTAGTTATTATTATGGAATTCATTACTACGTTTTAATAGTTATTTTTATTATTTTTATAATATTTTTTATTAATTTTTTCTGATTGCAACATTTTTGTTTTTACAACAGACAAATAGTTAAAAAGAAACCATTTAATTAACCAATTAACCATAAGTTGATTTATAATAATTTCAATAATTCAAATTTTTTATTTATTTTGGTATATATAACATTTTTGTTTTTTAATTCGTCTTTATCAAAAAACAGAATTAAATAACAAAATAATATATATATATTTATTATTATAAATATTAACAACTTTATTATAATATTATAAGGTATAATAAACCATTTAGTTTATTATACCTTAGTATAATAAATTAACTTAATATATTATTAATGTTGAATTTAGTAAATAAATTTAAGTGTTAAGAAATAAAAAGTAACATGACTAAAATTATAAATTACTTTAACGATTTCAAAGATCTTTTTATTTAAAACTTTCCATCTAAATAAAATTCAAATAAAAAAATAGTAAAGCGAACCATATTTCTATTTATTTGAATTACAAACAAAAAAGAAATGTTTAAATAATGAAAAGAATTGGTCATATACAAAACTATCAAAACCGAATATTTTATACCTAAGTGCCACATTTGCTCTTTTTCTTATTCCATTATTAAAAAAAATAAACTACCTAATACCATTAATAAATACTTAATTGATTTAATAATAATACCATATTAGAATTAAAATAATAAAAAAGTCAATTCGACAACAAACGAGGCAAATCGAGTGTATTGACATTTTTGAGCCATGTGCAATTCTTAGTAAAAACAAAAACCAAAGTTTAGTAAAACAATTAAAGCAAATCAGTTTGGATGGCTGAAATCCCCAACGCACAATCTCAGCTGAAGTATAATACAGTTAGTGTCTACAAAAATCGCAAATTCACCGAGCGGTCGATTTCGATATTTAAAAACAGTCGCGGCCGCTATGTCTTAGCCGTCGGGTCAACTGAATTTGATATGAAACTGTCAGTAGTTACACGGCGTCTTGACGAAGATCGCATCGAAGACGACATCGCCGCCTTATGTTTTCGTGTGATATCCGATCGTGTTTTTATCGTGAAATGTTCGAATTTAGAGTCGCTCAACTTTTGGTTGTGTTCGATGTTTAATAAGACGGAGATACAGGGTTTCTATGGGATTCCCCTTCGTGTTGCCATTTCAAAGTCTCAATGGCGCTTTCCTCTTCCTTTATATAGATCTTTACAGTATTTAGAAAACCACAAAGGCGATGAATTAGTTGGAGTTTTTCGTCTGTCTGCGGGTGCGCAAGAGATGAAAGAAATTCGGTCCAAATTTGATCTTGGCAAAGATTATGACCCCGAAGGGTTTACTGATTGTGTGTTAGCCTCTTGTGTAGTGAAAGATTATTTACGCGCGTTACCGGAGCCTTTGATACCATTTGATTTGTATCAAGACTTCATTGCAATACCAACAAGAAAGGATGGGAAAGCCTTTGTTGAGAAACTTCCTCTTGAGAATCATAACACCTTGTGGTATTTCTTCTCCTTCCTTCGGCGCGTCATCGAAAAAGAAAAAATCAACAAGATGAATTCGTTCAACATTGCAACGTGCATAACATTGGGGATATGTAAAAAGCCTAATAACATCGCTATTTCCGACTTGGAACACCTCGACAAATCACAGAGTGCCGTTGTCTTCCTTCTCGACAATTTCGACGAGGCGTTTGGTGACATTGAAAAGTTGAATTTAATTGAAGGGATGTCGGTGCCGTCATATCCAATTCAAATGGGGATTGAAGTCGCAAAGACTTCTAAAGTCATTGAAAAGATGAAGGAAGAAAAGAAGAGTTATCGAAAGAGTTTAAAAAGTGGGCAGTTCAGTAAAAGCCCAGCTATTCCAATCTTCACTACGGAAAGCGCTCAAGACGACTCGAGCTCCGATCGACAAAGTCTGGCTTGCATGCCACAAAGTTTGTTATCTCCGCGAACTACAACGAGTGCGCGTGAACTTTGGCCGCGACGAAGTTTAGACAGAAAAGGTGTCGACATCAATGAGAGTGAAAGTGAGACGGCATCGACCGCCGCAAAAGATGACACAAAGTCGTCGAAAAATGGGTCTGACAAACGAAGTCTCGATGAGAACAAAAAGCGGATGAAGATCTCCGTGAGCATCACAAAGTCATCGCCATCGCTTGTGACACTGAAACGGACGGAGAAGACCACCGACTTGACGTGTGAAGAGCTGAAAATGATTATTAAACAAAAGGATAGAGATATCGATGAACTGTTGGTCAGAGTGAGAGCTTTAGAATGTAAAATAGAACAACTAAGGAACGATAAGACTGATAGAAGTGAAAGAAGTGATCGATCGGATAAAAGTATAAGTGAGTCTATTGAATAACTAATTTTTTTACTGTTGTTGAGTGTTAGAAGTGATAATAGAGACACATAAAAACATGTGAATTAATAATTAAAACAAATGATTGTACCTTACTTGTTGAGTGTATTGATACCCTTTAATTATACAAAGGATCAGTGGAATGATAACTACGAGAACAAGAAAAGGCAGGAGAAGGAAGAATAAGTAGAAGAGATCTACTTTACTTGTATCTTCAGGATTAATTATGCACTCTTCATCATCTGGCGTGTTACTGAGAAAAAGGATGTTGCCACAAACAACAGAGATATGTGCGTGTTCATTTTCTTTGAGAACGGGATCTTTAATTGATATTAAGTCAAGACGCAAGTTATTGCCTTTTAATATTTGAGTTGGTTTGATGGAGTCTACATACAATTGTATTTGAAGAGATTCTAAAGTATTTTTAGTAAGGTCTAATACTGTATTGCCACTCTTATGAATTGCTAATATAGACACATTAAGCTTTTGAATTGCAATTTGTGATTTTGGAGTGATGGAGATGGAATGAGAGTTAATAACATGAATGGCACTCTTCTCTGTAACAGTGATGTGTGGCACAGAATCGCCTCTATTCATGAAATATTGTATATCACACATTCCAAATTCAGTGAATGTATTTAATTTATTGTCCACTTCAAATAAGTCAGTTATACATTCATTGATAAATACACTCCCTTGTATTTTAACACTCTTTGCAATCACTTTTCCTTGTATAATAGACCCATTTGAGACGATCAAATTTCTTATATTAAACAAGGAAACACCACTACTATACCCAGAAGCATTGACATCACAAAAATCACCTCTACATGGACACCCAAACTCTACCCAAACTCCTTCATTCATGTGACATAATATAGGGGTTCTCGCCATTTCCTCTGTTGCTATGTAAGACCTAAACTCATCAACATATGCGTTGACAACACGCTTTGCTTGAATAAGTCCTGTACTTGTTGCTTCTACTAACATTCCATACCCTTTTCCTTCATACACAAACTCTTCCATAGATATCAATTGTGATGCTCCAAGAACAACAAGCGGACTTTGAAAAGAGTCCGACACTACAGTCATCATTTTACATGAAATTCCATAGGGCAAATTAATAGTTCCGTTTGTAATTGTAATCAAAAGTGCACTCTCGATCTTTGGAGAAAATGTTAAAGACGAGTTTGTTGTAATGTCAAGAGACGCTGTGTTAACAGCATTTATATACAATTCTTTTGTTGTATATATATTGCATTTGTTACCACTAAAATTGGCGCTTGTTTTGATGTTTAAAGTGAGTTCTGAAAAATCGAGAGCAGTAACACCAATTTTCATTAAAATTTCTTCTTTTCTGTTTGTGTCTGGAGACTCAACAAACGTTTGGTTCTTTTTCAAGACAAAGTTGTGTATTGTTAAATTTCTAACAACCTCAACAATTGTGTTCTCTGAGAGTAACAGACTGTGAAATACGCCATACATGTTTTTAATATGATTAATTCGTGTTGCATCTATATTACACTCTATTTCCCAATTACCAGATGTTTCTTTGATAAATCCACAAGGACATTGTATATCAGAATATGCAGAAGGTATATCCAAATCAACACTTTGATGTGTTACAACACATGTTTTTGAACCACATGAATATTTTTGAATCGGAATGTTGCATATAATAAGAGTGTCTCCACATGCAAATTCACAAACATATTGAGTTGGAGTAAAGTCGGAGCAAGATACACTCTTTTCAATACTCTCTAATTTCATAAATTCAAAACACGAATTCGTTTTGAAATTAGTTAATGTGTTTGATGAAATTTGGACGTACTCTTTAGACTGACTGATAAATGGCGGAAATTTCTGGTCGACCAAAATAAACTCTGTCAATACGAGTAACACAGAACTCGACTCTAAAAACGTTACTTGTGTCGAGTTAAAAACCACCACTTTTGGTTGAAAAGTGTCATGAATGATGAGTTCCTTGCACTTCAAAATAACACTTTGAATTTTGTTGATATTGCTTTTCTTGAGCAATTCAAGAGTTCCAGTGCCTGTCACACTCCCAATGGTACTCAAAGAGTCGATACTTAGTGTTTTTGAGAGTGTTATTTTTACTGTTTGTACCGAGAATGTTGAAGAGTGAATTGAAAAGTCACCTTGCACAGTCAGGCGATTTGCTATTGTTATTACACTGTTTGAAAATACACAAGAATTTGTGTTAATAATAACATTTACTTCATTAATAGAACCTTCAAAAAATGGAGTTTGGACAATAAGAGTACATTCTTTATTTTCAGACAAAGAACACGGACAATGTTTTGAAGTGCTTAAAAGAGAATCGTACGAGTCCGGATCATTATACTTTGAGCCAGTCAATACACACACTTTAGGTTTTTCAAAATATTCACACTGAAGCGAACAGTTCATTTTATTTCCAGACGTTACAAGCAAAGTGTTATTACACAACAGTTCGGTGTTATGTGGTACATGTATGTTTATTGGATTAGAAGTTATAATAAGAGGAATCATATTCAATTGTTCAAAACACTCGTCAAGCATTAACCAACTCTCTGAGTCATTCAACGGAATTGAGTCGTTGTTTATCGTGAATGTCTCAGTTTTCAAAAATGGAGTTGTGTAATTTTTGTCGCATGAATTTATCACATGAACTATTTCTGTCACAAAATTTTCACAAAATAAGTGAGAATCCATTTCTATTTTTAGACTCTTTATTGCGATGTTTTTTGCGGTAAAATTTGATATCTTTTGGCATTGTAAAAGGTCGAAAGAAAGACGACTTTGATAGACCTCGAAATTTGTCGCATCCAAGATCAGTTTTGCAGCATCGATCAAAAGTGAGTCGGTTTTGACATCAAGTGTTCTAAACATGACGTTGCTGTCATTCGCGATTCTTAAAACATGCGCACTGACTTGATTAAAATGGTTGTCATCCATTGCGATACCAATCCAACTCATTGTTTTTGCATTTTTTGATATTATAATTTCCTCGTAATTACCTATAAGTGGGTTAAACGGCAAGTCAATAAAAAGACTCATGCCATCAAGTGTATATACATCAACGCCAGAACATTTCACTTGGACACCATTATTTCCAAAAAGTATTTGTTGTGTAGAAAGACACACAAATGGTGGGCACTTAGTATTCTCGTTTGAAGTTACTGAGTATGTGAATAAAGTATCAAACGAGTACTTTTCGTACGAAATAGTGTCTATATAATCAACTGTTGTTATTCCCATCATACCACAATTAATCTTTACTTTGTCTGAACTCTTTGAAAGTGTTATTGGAAGAGCGGACTGTACTAATATTTTATTTGAACAATTCTCTTCAATTGTATTTATAACAACACCTACTCTCATGTAATCTGTTGATTTGATTTGAACCAAAAAATTGCAAGGAATTCGTGTGAAATTAAGCACAATATTATTTTTTGTTTCTATGTGTAAAACTCCCTTCATTATATTAATATCAATAGTCATATTTTCTTTGATTGTTAAAGTCTCATTGTTTCTTTCAACCTCAATTCGTCGTGTCTCGGGCGTTTCTGTTGAAAGAGCATAACTGAAAAGAAATAAGAAAAAAATGAACATCCAATTGTTTATATTTTCAAGTTTTTTGAAATAGTCAAAAAACATTTTATATCACATTATAAACTTTTATAAATTGTTATATTTTTCTATCAATCCAATATTATTATTAATTAATTCAATATGAATTAATTATAATATTAAAAATTATATACAATAAAAAGCATCTATTTGTAGGTTTTATATTTGTGGGTCAATGGACCAATCAAATGCAAAACCCACAAATAATTAATTTGTTGTGGAACCTTGAATTTATATACATTTAAATAAAAATTATAGTATTTTTATAATTAAAATACTCTAATATTAATAAAATCTTTCATTTTTTATGTATTAAATATTAAATAGAATTTACTACACAATTCCATGATAAACCCACAAATATATATTTTTCTCTGTTTAAAAACCCACAAATAGATGCTTTTTACTGTAACATATTATCATGTTATTAATTTTTAGGTAATCAAAGCAAAAAAATACCCACTTAAAAAGTTTTTTTAAAATAAAAACTAGCTTTTGGGATAAACTAGTTCAGGTGTTGTTCTCCAAATAATTCAAACCATTTTATTATATTTTATAATTCTTTTAACTTATTATGTTTTCAGTATCAATTATGAGTTTATAAAACAAAAAAAATAACAACTTGTTTTTCTTTTTTTCAAAAAAAAACAAACTACACATTTGGACCCGGGTTTGAAATTGAATGATTATTTATAAATTCCAACCATTTCTGCATTTTACTGTAATGAAATCTTCAAATTAACAATTAATATTGTCTTTGTTCATAATGTTCTCACTTTTACTACACAGTTTTGGTATATTTAAAGAAATCGTCCGTTTAGTGTTTTTTTTCATAATTTTCTAAGGAACTGTTATATCGGTAAAAAGTCTTTTATTTTTAAATTAAAATACCTTTTTTTTGAAGTTTTAATAGTATAATTTATTAAAGTTGTAATAAAATGTATAATACAGTTTGAAATTTTTATGCAATAATATATTTTTGTAATAATAAAAATAAGTACCATACTCTAAAATATAATTTTATTAATAAAAACTATTTAACTGAAATGATAATTTAAATCAGTGTTTAAAATAAATCCGTTAAAATTATTCAAATAACTTATTAATATAAACATTGTTGTTTATAATTTGACTAAAAAAAACTAAAAAACGAATTTATGGAAGACCAAGCAACGGAGCACAGCGAAACCGACTACGAAGACCCTGAGGAAGAGATCATATTGACCAAAGTGGTATTTATAGGGATAGATAGAGACATCCCACATCAAATGATTAAATTATACCTTCAAACTCTCAACACCAAAACTGATAACCTCAAAGTCGATGATGAAAATGCAAACCCAATCAGTGTTTTAGTTGGCGAGCAACCACTTGAGCTTCTATTTGTTTGTAGTTTGTGTACTTTCGCTATTAAATAATAACTATAATATATACTATTTTTACTTTACTTTTACTATTTGATTGTACCTTCACAATAGGGCAATTTAACAGACAGATGGAAAGGACATGTATGGGTGTCTTACAACAACACACCTCAAAAATGCGAGTTATATAGTTCTATACTATTACACCGACAACAGTGAGTCGGCGAATGATCTTGAAGGGTGGGTCAAGGAGATACGGAGGTATTGTGAAATAACAACCTCAATCATTATAGTAGAATTTGGGGACACCACGGAGAAAACACGACCAAACATAGAAACAGCCAAAAGCCTCTCGAATGAACATCAGCTCCATCATTCTCTAGTTAAAAAGGATAATGACTCCTTAGTCAAATTTCTCAGTAATATCATCAACGAAAACATCACAAAAGAGGCAATTAACACAGCAGAAGAACCCACAGAATCTCCACCACAAAAAAGGGGTGTTGTACACTCCAGTAATTGTAATATGTTCTTCTCTTCTTATTTTGATTGTTTTTCATAGAATTTTTCGATGAAAAAATAGAAATTACAACGAAATAAAAATTCAATGCAATTTAGGCACGTAGAAATCTAGTTCGGGGCTCGACGATATTTCACCATTCATGTAAAACTTCTCGATCTTTTCAATGAGCTCTCTATTCAGGTTGTAACTCTCTTTGAAGACATAAGAAGAGTCGGGAGACTCTCCAAACCGATCGATGTAGATCCCCTTCACAAACGAATGAATGCGTGGAGTGATGATCACCATAGTAGCCGAGTGAACGAGAAGGTAAATCCCAACCGATCCCGAACATTTCTCCATATGGTCGAAAATAGGTTTATCGCTGTGAACATTGTCATCTCTCCGTTTACCATCTTTGTAACACAAAAAGCACCCGCAAGTCATACATATAGCACAGTTATATATGATCTTCGATCCAGAAATCCCACACACGGCACATCGCCCATTTTGTGACTCGTTAATTAATTGTTCATATGTCTGTGGCAGATGAATGAAAGAGTACTTCTGTGGGATTGTCGGCTGAATGAAGTCCCCGACACCCCTACACCCATTAGTCACACACAACTGAGTTATTAAAGTTGTTGGAAATGGATGTTCTGTTTTCGACTGAATGAAGTTCCCATCTATCATTCGAGTCAACAAGTCCAATTGCTTCATGAACGTTTGACTCAACTTCTGTACTAATTCATTGACACTTTGGTTCTCGTATTCTTTAAACATCTCTTCTCGAGGTAAATATGTTTCAATCGGAACAGTGAGGTGGGTGTGTTTGTGGATTTCACTGTAGACTGCGAGGAGGTGGTGCATGCATCCAATCGTCACAAAGACAGTCCATTTACTTTTGTCGAGTAAAAACCCTCGTAATATCTGCAACAGTGGATTCTTCGCTGCACTGAAGATTAAGAGTTGTTTCAGTACTTCTTGTCGGTACTGAATTGTCAGACTTTGAGAGACTATTTCCGCTATTCTATAATACGAATATAACAAATCCATATGATCTAACACTCGACATGAATATCCGCTCCGCATTTGAATTTCAATGCTCATGAGAGTTGACGCGATGATACTCGTTATCGCCAAAAATGCACAACTCAACGGATTTTGAAGATCATATTTGACACATGACGTCAAAGTCCTTGTAATTGAAATGTTCACACTCTTGCTCTTGTCGAGTTCCTTTGGAGGTTCCAAGGCGGCCGCAATCTTTTTCACTTCTTCAAAGATATCAAACACGACACTCTTCTCCCCTATTTGCTCAAGCTGAATGGGTTGCCTTTGGAACTGTTCGACAAAGATATTTGAAAGAGCTTTACACATCGGGCATCCAACTATTTTCGACAAATAGATATTCTCCTCATTGCCACTTCTTTCATAATGCTCGTTGTAACACTGCAAATGAATTTTCTGTGGACACGCAGTGATAATTCTGAACTCTTGGTCATCTCGACTTTCATTCCATAACGGATTCCGATGGGGACTCCATTCCCACGTCCCATTCTCAAACCCATACGGCTTCTTCCAAAGACTTGTCGTGTTGTCCCCAAGCACATTCTCATGCGTTTCAATGAACTGACACGCTCTGATAGCATCACAAACTTCAATGTGTGCCTGGAACCCTAAATTATCCTTCGAGCTACAGATGCAACAGATCTCTGATGTATCAGCGTCGGGGGTTTCCGTTTGTCCAACTTCTTTACAGACATGACTCTCATCAAACTTTTTTAATTTGTTCCTCATCTTCTTTAATGCGCTCTCCTTCGCCAATTTCAATATTTCTTTGTCCTTCGAGACATTTGGTTTGCGGACAGTTAAAAACCCTTTGAGTAAATCGTCGAGTGCGGTGTTCTTCGACAAGTTCGCAGTGACTTCTCCGACTTGTGTATTACCCGCCAACCGTCTTCCAATTTCAAACAACAATTGTTTGTGGGTCTCGTTGTATGTTATACCCTCACAATATGATATTCTGAGTCTCAGAAGCAGTTCAATGTCTGCAATGACATCAGGGTTATTACACCAATCCAGAAACTTACACATCAGTTTTGTTAATGTGATTGAATGAAGTAAATTGAGGAGATTCTGCTTCATTTGTGGACTTCTTTTCTCATACATATAGACTTCTGGAAGTTTGTTCTTCATCTTAAGGGCATGTTCCGTCTGAATTTTCTCGCGATCGACTGAATTAATGTATGGGAAAAAGGGATTCACAAATTTCCACAGTTCTGGCTTTAAAGATAGCCGCTTTTGAACTTCAGAAACTTCTTCTATGACAGCATCGAGTTGAACATCTTTAGCATCGCCATGCGGAGTTCCACTAAACAGTTCGCTTGCTACTGTGTGTTGTGCTGCCAACAAGTGAATGAAGTTATAAACAGTGTGGTCATGATAATTCAATTTTGATGAGAAAATTGGGTCTGAAAACACGTTGTACACTGTTTGTAAAAATGATATGGCACCCGCTACACACTCATTCACTTCTTCAAGTTTCCCTTTCTCCGTGTTTTCACTCATGTATTTGTCAAACAAAGGTACCTTATTTACAAACATCATTACATCAAGTAACTGCAGTGGATCAGATGCGGCTAGTTGAAACAAGAATGTGTCCGCTTCAAGTTGATATCCACAACTCGTCAGCCGACACAACTTTTTTAATTCAACAGAGTCTCCGTTCTTTCTCCACAACGCTAATTCAGACTCTGCAAGAAACTATTTTTTAGTAAATAATACTATAATGTTATAATAATTTATTATTATATAGAAACTCCGAGTTAAGTCCATTGAAGTAACAAACTTGTTGGAACATTAAAGGGTATGTCAAAATGTCCGTTTGATATGGAAGAGTTCTGTAAAATTCTAAAGGGTCTTTGACCAACGAGATGCCAAACATTGCAAAAGTGAGTGACGGGTAGTACATTGAAATTGGTTGATTAACTCCCACGACAGGTTCTTTGACTATTGTTTTGTGATACTCTTCTAAATATTCCTTTAAACCATAACAAATTGCTTTTTTCACGACGTCTGGACTTGAATTTTGAAGCGACAGAATACCAACATTAAGAAAAGTTTCTTTGACTTGGAAAGGTGTGTAGTCCAAATGATTTTCAAATTGGACGTGTTCGGACATCTGCCGATATTCTTTGTTAAAGAAATTGAGTGAGTTCAAGCAGTGAATGTAATTGTTCAATACCATTTCGTTCTCAAAGAACTTCTCTGGTGCCGAGTTAACAATAGTAAACAGTTCGTTAGTGAAGACATTCATCACATCTATTTCACTCTTCGAGAGTTGTCCTTTATTGATCTTCTCACTGAAAAACGTTTGTATGACTCGCAAATACGACATTACACGTTCAACTTTTCCAAAGAAGAATTGTTTATTAAATGGCGTGTTTGATGTAAATTGACACGCCAATTTATTCAAGTTGTCAATTGTCACTTGACACACATCACCCGAATTCACAACACAAATGAAGTTGTCAATAAACATTTCATACAACCGCTCGACGGTTTTGTCATCACTTAGAAACCCTAATATTAACAGTGAAAGTTCATCCGCAAACAATTCACAGTCGATCAAACAGACATCCAGCAGAAATTCGTCAACACCAAAATCACTTGGAGTTTCTGTGAGAAGTCGACAGTTGTATCTTCCTTTCATTCTCTCCATCAAATTGATAAATCGGAACTCAAACAAATCGATCTCCGTGCATTTCCTAATGATTTTTAATACAGTCAAAACCCCATATTGAAGGACTTGCGAGACTACTTCCTTGTTATGGACTTTGACAAAAATGGATTGCAATGTCTCCACTAACAGTCTTAAGACTATTTCCATATTCTCATCAAAACTACTTTTGAATGGTTCCGGTGTTATCTCGTCGACATTCTGTGTCATGTGTTTCCCATGATGTTTACAATTCCCACTCACTTTCCACGATAATTCACTCCCACAGTCACATGCACCACCTATCCCACTCTTCTGCAATGAGTAATCATGTCCTTTGTGATCACCATTTTGAAAGCACTCAACACAAATGCACGAGTTCGGGCCCGTCTGACACGTTCGACAACGGTATATGAACGACTGCTCCCCGGCACTCCACACGTGGCGACACCGATACGAATGACATAAAGGTTCACACATCTGGTGGACTTGGTCTTGTGATATGTTCGAAAAAATTTCGTTGACTATTTTGCTTGGAATCTGCGAATCAAAGTTTCCAGTGAGAACGTCAACAACATTTCTCTTGAGGCTGTCGGACATTTTATTTTTAAAGATCTTCTCTTGTTCTTTCATACTATAAATATATTATATGTATTTATAGTTTAATTATAATAATTATTAGTTTCATAAATATTTAAAACCATTTACAGTTTATTAATGGTAAAATAAACTATTATACGATAATTTGGATAACATGAATAAATAACTCAGATGAATAACAAAAAGAGTTGTGTAATTCGTTGAAGTAATTAAAAGAAACTCAAAATTAATTAGATGTCACTTCCCTCAGTAGAATATGTATTAAAAAGTAAACCATATGTCGAAGTTGTCACACTCACTGCGTTCAAAAAGATATTATCAGAGAACCAATCAGTCGCAGTCGACTTTTTTGCGACGTGGTGTGGGCCATGTAAAATGATGTTTGTTTTTTTACATATTTATTAACTTTGTTCAAACAGAAAAGAAAAAGAATTAAGTTTCAGGTCCCCAATATTCATTGAAATGGCGAAAAAATATCCTCACGTGAAATGTGTTAAAGTCGACGTCGATCAAGGACAGGAGGTAGCACAAGAATACAGAGTGACAGCCATGCCTACTTTCAAGTTTTTCAAAAGAGGAGTTTTGGTCGCAGAGTTCTGCGGCGCAAATCCTCAAAAACTCGAAGAAGAGTTCAAAAAGTTATAACTCATTTTTTCTTCATTAATAAAACTCATTTCTTGGTCTAGTTATTTGTATTGTTGTTTTATCATATTTTTAATTATCGAAGATCAAATTCTCTATTTATATATAATAATAATTCAAATAATTTTAAAAAATAAATTTTGCCATTCATATAGTAAATATGTGATATATAAAACTATAGAGTTGATATTGACAATAATTCAAAAATTTCCACATTTCATGAAATAAAAAATAAGAAACCCTATTTGAACTTTTGTCAATACAATATGAAGAGGGACAAAGGACCAACAAAGCGCGTAAATTTGGAGAACGCAGAGCTCCACGAAACGAACCCGTTCACAAACCGTCCGTTCTCCAATGGGTACTACGTGTTACAAGAAAAAATCAAGAAGCTTCCTGTTATTAAGTACGAGGAAGAAATTGTCAAAACACTACGAGAGAACAAAACCCTAATTCTTGAAGGCGCGACTGGCTCGGGTAAAACAACTCAAATCCCCAAATTTTGTTTGGACCTTGACATCTGTAAAGGGAAAGGTGTATGCTGCACGCAGCCAAGAAGAGTCGCCGCTATTTCTGTCTCCACACGAGTTGCGAAAGAAATGGACGTACAACTTGGAGAGGAAGTTGGGTACGCGGTTAGGTTTGACGACTGCAGAGGTCCACAAACGAGACTGACATATATGACAGATGGAATGTTGTTACGAGAGTTAATGAGTGATCCCGAGCTGACGAGATATGGTGTTGTGTTACTAGATGAAGCGCACGAACGTACTGTCGCGACAGACCTTCTTTTCGGTATATTAAAAGGGCTGGTGCAAAAGCGGGACGATCTAAAAATAGTTGTCATGTCGGCTACCTTAGAGGCTTCCAAGTTCAGAGAATACTTTTCTGGATCTCCAGTGATGACCGTTGAGGGTCGAACGTATCCAGTCGAGATTAATTACTCTGCATTTCCCGAGAACGATTACTTTGAAGCGACGTTTACCACTGTGAAAAAAATCGATGGAGAGCCTGAAGGCGACGTTCTAATCTTTTTAACAGGTGAAGATGAAATTGAAGAAATGTGTGATAGAATCAACAGTTTCAGTTCAAAGAGTAAAATGGTTGCATTGCCGTTATACTCTGCGTTGCCACAAAATGAACAACAAAAAGTCTTTGATGAAGTGAAAGGGAGGAAGGTGGTTGTAGCCACCAACATTGCTGAGACGTCCATTACAATTGATGGCATCGTGTATGTGATCGACTGTGGATATGTCAAACAAAAGGTGTACCTCCCATCTACACGAGTCGAGACGTTGCAAGTGACCCCAATATCACAAGCCGCTGCACAACAACGTGCTGGTCGTGCGGGGCGTACTCGACCCGGCAAATGTTTCCGATTGTATACAGAAAAGGGGTTTGAAGAGAGTTTAGGCAAGCAGACTGTACCCGAGATGTTACGAACAAGTCTTGCGTCTGTGATATTACACATGAAAAAGATAGGTATTAAAGATATCCTCCACTTCGATTATTTGGACGCCCCATCACCACAAGTGATGGTGAGAGCTTTGGAGCAACTGTATTACTTAAATGCGTTAGACTCGAAAACAGACTTAACTGATGTTGGCATTCAGATCGCCGAATTGCCAATCGAACCACAGATGGCCGTTGCTCTGTTGTCTTCAATTGACTACAAAGTAGTCGACGAGGTCTCGACTATCATCGCGCTGTTAAACGTCCCCAGCGTCTTTTATCGACCGAAAGACCAGAAAGAAAAAGAAAAAGCCGACGCGATGAAGGCGTACTTCAACAATGCTGAGTCGGACCATATCACTTTGTTGAACGCATTCAACCAGTGGGTTGAAAACGAGAAAGACCCAAATTGGGCATGGGAGAGTTACGTGAACCAACGTGCGTTGAAGCAAGCCAGTTCAATCAAAGACCAGTTGCTCGGCATTTTGTATCGCAACGGCGTGAACTCGGAACAAGGCGTGAAGGATATTAGAGAGAGGAATATTAATATAAGAAAGGCGCTTTGCAAAGGGTTCTTCATGCAGAGTGCTCATATCATTAAAGGGAAGTATCAGATCGTCTCGGAGAATCGAATTGTGTTGCTACACCCGTCGAGTTGTGTCGGGAAAAGAGAGTGGATCGTGTATAACGAGTACGTCATGACCAAAAACGAGTATGTCAGGACGGTGTCTGGTATTGAGCCGGAGTGGCTCTTCGAGGCGTCCCCGCAGTACTTTGAAAAGCTCGAAACCTTTAAGCAAAGCGAGACAACAAGAGCGCTTTGCAGAATCAAGAAGGCAATGAGCTCGAAGTAAAGTCTTAGTCAATTAAGGGCTGTGTTAGAAGATTTTAGTGATTGTTTCGATTCTTATTCTTTTTTCTCTTTTCCCTTTTCCTTATATGACCTCTCGTTCTGTTTTTGTCAAATCCTTTCACATAATTGTCATTATTGAATCTCGAATTATTATATTTCGACAAGTTATACTAATTACAACGAATTTTATTTATTAAAATTACAATAAAAGTTATATTTACTTTTATAACAAAAAATTAATACACCATTTTATCTGTGGAACTAATAATATATGAGAAACTATATTTAACTATATATAAACCATACCAAAACCACCGAAAAAACCAGTTCATTCATCTAAAAAAAGAAACTCAAAAACGAGCATGTCGTTAAGTTACAACCCGATCACGATCAACAAGTCAGCGAAATCGTTTGTTCCCAAGAGCAAAAAGGATGCCGCGCCCAAGCATTCCACAATCCAACCACCCAAAGGATTTCCTCCTCAATACTTAGAAGCTTTTAATCAAGCCGACGATCAGACCAAGAGGTCTATCATCGAGCAGTACAACACAATCGTCCAAGAAAACGCCGAGCATGAGATGCCAACGCGTGAAGAATTGTTGTCGTATGAAGATCACACATCACACGACGACGCATCGGACGTGTACGATATCAACGGATTAGCGACGGAGATTGAAATTGATGACTTCAAAAAGTCGATGAACAAACTCCCCGATAAATTGCCGGCAATGGACTTTTTCATCGCGAAAGGATTTGCGTCGAAGCTCTCTGATACTTTCAACATATTGATTCAGCCTCTGTCCGTTGTTGAGGCGTCGAAGAAGGTGGACAACCAGAGGATTGAAGAACTTAATGTGTTATTCTTGGCGTATTTGGTGAATAAATATCCAGACCAGTACAAAACATTGGCGCCAAGCAAACAGTAACTGCAATAAGTTATTTCATTAGTTTGTATTTCCTTTATTTAATATTGTTTTATTTTCTATATATATATAGATTATATACTATAAGAGTCTAATACTTTTCTGCAATGCAAAGCAATCGAAATAATAAGTTATTAAAGCTCATCCATGTCTTGTTCTAGAACAAGTTTATACTGTTGCAACACTTCATTGGCTTTGTCTATATTTGCTTTACACCCGACTGTGGTGATTTTATATATCTCCTCGATGACACCATTTTCTTTGAGAATATCAGTAATATGTTGGCCATCGATTGGGTCACAAGTTAAGACGTTGGAGATGGCTTCGAGTAAGTAATAGAGGTAATGGTCGGTCTCCCCCCGGTCTTTGTGTTTGATAGAAAACATGTTGAATAAGGCAAGACGTGGTTGAACGTGTTGACTATTATAGCTAAGTATGTGTTCGATATAACTTGAATCGAATGTGTTGAACGCATTAACAAGAGCCCAAGCCGCCTCAAACCCTACTTTCATATTTTCTTCATTGATGATCCGAATGACTCCCATTAATATACACGATTTCATCACTTCATAATGGACATCAGAATTGGGAGAAGCTACTATGTTTGACAATGTCCACATCGCGTTCTTCATCGCAGACTTTGACTCGGTTTGTTCCATTAAAGACATGATGGTATCTAATACCCCAATTGTAACTAATTGGGGTGTGAAAGCATCATGACAAGCTAATACCCCAGCTATCCTCATCACACCTTCTAAAACATCACAGACTTCACTCTTCATGTATTCCGACATCACTTGTAGAGCGGAAGAACCAAGCGCCTCCCACAATTTGGCGCTTTCACAGGCGTTATATATCCCACTCAATGCCTCGACAAGGATTTTGTGACTAGTTGTTTTGTTGGCGACAGCGAACAAATACTCGAGGAATGGTTGTAATGAAGTGAAAGGAATTGGGTTGTCAAACATACAGAAATTGGAGATGAGCCAGACCACTTCATAATTTCCATTGATGGGGAAGACCCCATTTTGAATCATTTGAAGCACCACCGGACCAAATTTCATGAAGGTCTCAGTCCTCTGCGGACCACTACTTCCCGCCAAATTAGCGATCACCCAAATCACCTTGTCTGTACATTTAGGGTTAGTGATGTATGGGAGTAGTGCGTTTTCGATGCCCAAATTGAACAAGAAGTGTGAGTCAATTTCATAACTTCCAGTCACTGACGTGAGATACTTAAGAAGAGTCAATACTTCGTTTTCATTCAAAGTGGATTGTTGCATCATTAACAGAAATTGTTTGAGAACGCCATTCTCCACTAAATAATTGTCGAGGAGAGCCTCATGCGTTATGTTTTCTTTCGCTTGCCATAGTAATTCCCCAAGTGCGGCGATAGCTAAAGAATACTTTGGGGTCATCAGGGTTTGTAATATGGGGTTGATATGAAGTGCTAATGCCTGAACGTTTTTGAAGAAGGGATAATCAGGCGTTTCAATTTCTCGTTGTAAATTTAAGCCTTCGTGACGTAACACTCGCGAGGACTCCCACCCAGCGTGGCGTAATCGGCATTGAGTCGAAAGGGATGTGTCGTACTTGCGATACATCTGTGATTATTTTGTTATTCTTTTTTGTTTTTTAATGCCCATTTTCTTGGGTATTAATCATCTAACATTCCGCATTTTGGGGTTTGACTAATTAACTATATAATATAGTTTGTTTATTATTTCATTTTACCATTCAAAACACAATTGGTCACAAAAATTGTTCTCATTTCTTCACTTTACCAAAAAATATTAAAAATCTATAGTTTATTATAAATATTTAAGTGGTTTAATCAATTAATCATGCATTTATGAGAAATTAGAGATGAAATTAACAACTTAAATTCGTCACCTATTCATCTCCAAAAAGAACAATAAGAACTCAATAATTCATATCTTCAAGCAAATGGCTGGAAAGTTTGTGTGTCCCCTTCGACGTATGCAACACTAACATAAAGGAAAGGAAAATCATTGACGTCTCAACCGGGCATGTTTGGTGTTGGAACAGCAGCCGGAATTCCAGTGTTTGTTACTTCTTTACTATACTAGTCATTCAATAGTTTCTTTTTACTATAATGTATTTATTTGTAGCACTCCTTATTTTGTGATGTACCTCACAATTGGTCTTGTAGCTGTAGTAATTGTTGGTCATATTGTCTCAAAGGCTTTCCATTAACTGACTGCACTTTTTCGTTTATTTTTTCTACAAATTGATGTATTGATGAGTTCATATATCAATAAAAGAAGAGTATTTATAACATTTTTTAATAACACAAATCATTCACTCAACCATAGGGACATACATCTTGATGGTCTTATCAACACACCCAGTAAAGTACCTCATTCCAGTCTCATCAAATGAAGAACAAATGATTCCTCCTTCACTTTGTAATGATCCAGGTTGGATAATGTTCTTCATCGTTTGCATAACGCGATGATCCTTTTCACTATACACCGACAACGTCCCATCATTCTCACCAAAGAAGACTACACCGTCTTCATTGCGCTTGATAGTATTCACAGTACTCTTCGGAGCATATATGTCAGACACTAACACATTTTTATCCCACTCTTTGACAACATCAGAACTCCCACTCATCATATTATGATCTCCCCACATCTCGAGACACCGAACTCCCTTTTTGTGTTGAGTGTAGCACTGAACGCACTTTCCCGTATATAAGTCCCACCCTCGGATCATCCCATCGGCAGACGCAGAAAGAATGTGCGGTGACGTCTCTTGAAATTTAACGTCAAACACCGTCGATGTGTGTCCTTCCAAGACATCAATAGACTCTTTCGTTCGAATGTCCCAGAGGCGGACAACTGCATCTCTCCCAGCCGACGCTATTAAATCCATCGTTGGGTGAATGTCAAGACAGTCGATACTTGAGAGATGGCCATGATACATTCGATTCACTTTATTGATTGTTAAGTCCCAGCATCTAACGTCTCTATCGTCACCTGCGGAGAAGAGGTAAGGATGTCGTCGGGACACTTGAGTTGTTCTAACAGCGCCGATATGTCCCGTCAGTGTCAACTTCTGTTCTGCTCTGACCAGTCCAAATATCTTAATCGTCTCGTCGTGCGACCCGACACAAAACCATTCATTTGATGGGTCGAAACTGATCGATGATATCCACCCTTTATTTCCCGTAATCACTCTTTTCAACTTCCATGTTTGGAATTGTCCGGCGTCTCCGCCGTTTTCCTTTTCTCTATTTGTGTTGTCTTTTGTCGGTACAAGTGCCATTTACCTATTTCAGTTCTTCAAAATTTTATAGTTTCATTCTAGTAAAAATATTAACAGAAAATAGTACTCAGGAGATGTTGAATTATATTACATTAACTGCAGTTGACCTGTTCTCCAGCAACAACCTCCTCCTTTGCAGTCGCAATAGTATCGCGTTGCCCAAGGAAGCAAGGGTTACAGTCACATAGAGTGCTTGTCATCGGCGTGTCATTCAGATTTACAATAGTATTACAAGTAGTGGTATCGTTAACAAGAACGCAGTTCGCATTAACGCCATTTGATTCGATATGATTAGATACAGAATCACATTGAGAAGCAAAGATCCTTTTTCCGTTCTCACTCAACTTACTTGTGTCATCGACGCACTTCTCGAAGAGTTGGATGATCTGTTGGTTGAGTGGAAGAAGGTGGAGGCTTTGTTGTTTCTTGTTGATTGGTTCTTTGGGGAGGTTTTGGATGATAGAGATGACCCCCGCACCAAACAGATAGAATCCCAGTTCATTGAATGGGTCGATCCATTTAAACTTCAAGAGCTTTTGTGTCTTAGTCGTCACTCGTGGCTTTGTGAGTTGACAATTCAGAAAGTTAGTTGTGATGATATGTTGCGAAAGAGTGTTATACATTAAAGCATACATCGACTTCTTTTCATTCCGTGTAATCGATTCATGGGGAACAGTCATTTCCGTTGAGCCAATGCTATCAATAGTCAAATGATCATACGTCACCAAACTCGTTGTCTTTTGCACGGGACAGCGGATAGTCAAGTCAATCCCGTAGACATTTGCAAATCCTATTATAGCAGCATTACTCAAATGCTCGCGGTTCGTGGACTCTCTTTTGATTAATGTTTGGCGCTTTTTAAATGTCGGCGCATCGTATGTTTTCTGAATATAAATGGGTGAAATTGTGTGATTCATCGAAGTAAGTTTTCACAGTTAGGGTTTTATACCACCTCTTTTGAGGCTTGTCTCCTTTCAACTTTTTTTTAGTTAAATTTCTTTTGGTTGAGTTCTTGATGGTTTCATTATTATTATTTAAAACTATAATTGTTGGCAATACTATTTGGGCATTTTACAAAATCTCATACTATTTTCCTGAATTCGTGGAAAATATTGAATTGGGAAAGTACTATATTTATAGTTTTTATATAGTTAAATGAATAGTTTATATTTATTTTGTTATTTAGTGAATTCCTTAAAAAATAAAAAAAACTGTATAACTTCATCTGTTATTTTTATTGGATTTTTTATCAACTTTTTTTTAGTCATAATTGTAATTATTGTTTTGTATTATATATTTTAAATATCAATATTATATATATTAATACATTTTTTCTTTGTGAATATTTTTATTAAGTACTCGTCACCAAACAAAATATGTTATGTTTTCTAATAAAAAAAAACTATAATATATAATTAATTAAATTATTTACAAACTAAAAAACATAAATTATAATTAAAAGGTTTGAGTCTTGTTAAAAAAAATATCATTGTTGTAGTATTCATATAATAAAAAATAAAAATACGCAAACAACTCACCATAATTAATGTTATTACATTATTTGAAACGAGTTAAAAAGTCATCTTGAGGTTTTGACAATTGAAAAACATATCATTAATATTTCTTTGTCATCAAAATTATTTTTGATACATAAATTATAGTTTTTTATAAATTATATAAATGATTTGATGAAATTAATATTATATTATTATAATTGCGTACCAGTATATTGTAATAATATACGGCGTGTTTTTCAATATACAACGAATATGTCAATTTGCAATACATAGTTAAGCGTCTCTACATTCATCATCTTTCTTTATTGTAATATTGTTTTAACTGTCAGGCTAATGTTTTCTACATATCTACATCTACATATATATGTTTGTCTACACATATATTTATTTATTTATTTCAGTTGTACGTTATTCTTGCGCTTCTTAATAGTATTTTATTAATAAGCAATATACTATAAATATAATTGTTTTTACTAATCTTAATAATAAATTGTGATGATTTTTCAATACGAACGATAGTTAATTTTTACTAACTATCGTTTTATTCAAGTTTAGTTCCTTAAGAAAAGATAAAATTTTAAATAAATTATCTCTTTTTTGATGAATTAATTATTGTTTTAAATAGTAATTGTATAAACAGACAGACAAACAAGTTTTTGATATTAAAAAAAGAGGTTAAATAATAAAATAGTTAAAAATTAGAAAAAAGTATTTGTTATTTAAATGAGATTTAAAATACTAATAAGAAATAAAAAGGTATTAGAAGTAATGGTATTATAATGAAAACTTTTATATACTTTAATGTGTTATACGTTTAACATATATATCATATTTCGATAAGGTGTGATAAAAACATAAAAACATTAACAGTTAAAAATAATAGAGGTCTTGATAAATAATTAATAAAATATGTTAGACAGTATATCAAATCGATAATAAACAAAAACAATTGTAGAACAAACACAAAAATTTTAGAAAGACAACACCAAAGATATAAAGAAGTTGTTGAATGTTATTTTTGCGTGCAGACTAAGATACCGAGTTTATTATACAAACGGATTGTGTTTGGTTTAACAAGCCAAACAATATATGATAAATGATTTTGTACAAAAAACACACATTATGTAAATTAGAATGAATGTTTAAAATAAGTTGATGTGTATATGTAATGTAAGTGACAAGCATTTTATAAAAAAAAGATATTTAAAAATGGATTAACAACACGTATCGGCGATAGATTGTAACATGTACATCAAGATAATAACAACTTTATATCAAATAATAGTCAATTTTTAATATTGACCAGTAATAAAGTTGTGTAAATAAACACCAGAACAACAAAAAAGTGTTAAATATTTAATTCATGTGTCATGTAAACAACTTTTTAAATACATATAATTTTTATTCATTATGATGAGTGTCTTTATCTTATTATGTACTATTGAAAACATATTTTATCACCTGGTATTTAAAGTGAAAACTGTTATTATAATTATAATTTAAAAATAATAAAAGTTGATTCTTTTTTTAATAAAATGAAAAAAATTAAAAAGAGGAATGCGACGAAAAAGCATTTTTATTGATACAAATAACAAAGTTATGAATTAATATTTGGACTAAAATGATGTTGTTGACCCGATAATTATTATCGGGTTTTAAGTGCTTGTTATTTAATTGTTTATGTTGTAACAAAATAATTAGAAAATATCTGTTTTATTTTAAGTTAATAAAGAACTATTGTTTTAAAAAAAGTTCGTTATAAATGTACAATTAATGAACAAATTAAAAATTGTATTAAATTTAAAAAAAATGAAATAGTATAAATAAATTTAGTTTCATTAGTTATACAAATTTGCCTAAAATATTGGTGTTATTTTTTTTAAATTGCCACGACTATTTTAAACATTATTTATAATATAATTAAACTACTTATTACAGTTAACTAATTATCATTTAATCTATAAATAAATAAAATTTAACTATAATATATTAATTAAACAACCAAATGAATAATTATCGAAAACAAATAAATTATATTACATGGCAAGAAATGATTGAGTGTCACACGCTCTTAAATATTACAAAGAAGAGAACAACACCAACAAAAATGACCAACACAAAAAGTAGAAGTCCGATGATGCCAAGGAGTGATAGAAGAATATAAAAATGAACGTTATTTGGCTTGTCAACCGACAGCGACTTTCTCCACGAAGAGACCAGTGGGAAAGAATTGTGTAGCGTATCCTCACTGGTGTCGTCACAGCTGTAAGATGCGTTCAGTGGTGACTTTTCCGTGATCGGCCCAAAGAAAGTCGGGTCTGGTACTCCGAACTGCTTGATGTCTGCCATTTTTGTCCTTTTTAAGTAGTTTTTATTCCCCACTCTTTTTATTCTCTCAATCTCGAATTTGTACTATAATTGTATTATATAATTACTATTTTTCATTATTCATTTTCGTAAAAGGGATTGGACGTCAGTTTTGAAAACATGGCTAACAATTATCGAATTTTATCAGAATACAACTTTTTTATTACATTAATAAACACAGAAAGTAATTTTTTGGTTCTGATATAAAAAATAGTTAACATGTTTTTTCTTTTTTAGTATGTCCATTTACTATAAATGTACTGATAATTTTAACCGCATTTTTGTGGGATTTTAGTATGTTTTTTTAAGCAAAAGAAGAAGAAAAATCAAAAATGGATTTTTCCATTCAATAAATGGATTTTTGGGTATTTTCTATATTTGTTGGTCAAAAAAGTAAAATTGTATTATAATCAGTTGAATATATTATTATATATAATAATACAGGTTTAATCATTCAAAAAACCGGCCAAAACGGCATCTTCATATTCTTGTTTTACTTTTAAACAAAAAAAGGTTCATAAAATGTATCTTTATTTCGTTCACTATCTTGCACATATTATTTAGTCAATCACTCTTTTACACAAACACAGAATACCTATAAGTCAACAAATCAAAAATAAATTCAACACTCCTCCTCTTCAGCAGTTTCAAAAAAGTGAATATCACATGAGTGATCCGCAACCGCAATCTGCCTTGTCTTGTCGTTCGCAGCAACGTCGTTGATTTTACAGAAATTTCTTGCAAAAACCATTTCAAAAACTGGACATTAGTACCAAAAACATTTGCTATAATTATAGCCTGATAAACCATAATCATTTAATAAAAATATTTAAACATATATAATTAATAAAACTATAAATATATTAATTGAAACAATTTGTAAGTATAGTAAAAATATAGTATATCAACAAGACAATAGTAAACAAACCGTTTGATCTGCATTGCAATTCGTTGGGTGTTGCAAAGAGGTATAGCGAGTCGTGGTTGTAGTAAAGTGCTTGTTGAGCCATTCCGAGTGAGATTTCGAACTTTCTATTTACTTTCAAGTCTCCCGTGTTCAACCAATAGACAGACCCGTCACCGCATGCCACCAAAAGTTGGGTACCGCGTCCATTTAAATCGATTGAATGAGCCATTGGTGGGTTAACGAGTGTATTACTTGTGGTGTTCTTAAACGACGATTTCATCAGAACGTTTTGCGAAGGGAGGTACAGAGATTTCATAACGGTCATGTCAAGGCCACTTGTATAAACAACCTTCTTATTTATATCAAAGACGATGTCCGAGCACAAATGTGTGTGAGTCTCATTTTTGTGTTCATTATTTTGTAAAGGACAAACTGATTGATGGATATGAGAAAGCTTTGAAGTGATGGTGTTGTCTGAAACTTTTAAAACAGTCACAGACCCACTGTCATCACAAAAAGCAAGTTCCTCGTGGTCTTTGTCTACTTTTATTTTGTTGACATCGTCCTCTGCTATTGTAGTGAACAGTGGCGTTTTCATAAATAATCCACCAACTCGCAAATCAAAAAGGTGAACATTGTTTTCGCTTGAAATGTAACACTTCTCATCAAAGCATTGAGAAGACGTGATGTCCGTTTTGGTTGGAAATTGGTACGCTTTTGTGGTCTTCTTTGTGCGAAGATCCCAAATACGAAAAATGCCATTCGCATCACCACTACACAAAATGTTTGAATCCGTCAAAGAGAAGTTAACTGATGTGACAGATGAGTTGTGGCCTTTAATCTCACACATATAATTGTAAGTAGGGTTTTATTAGTTCTTTTTTTATTTTTCTTTTTGGAATCTTTTACTTGGTGTCTATATCACTAACTCGATTACAATGTATTTATTTGACAAAGCTTCATCATAATGAAATAGCGTTAATGGTGTTATTTATAAGGATAATTTGGATTATTATATATTATATTTACATTAATATTATATATATAGTATTATATTATATATAATAATTAAATAATTGTATTATAATTAATAGTATTAAATAGCATAAATTTTTAAAACATTTAATTAAACACTATAAACAGTTAAATTATATATTAACTATTTAAGTATTATAATTGAATAATACTATTAAATTAATAGTATTATTAATATTGTTATTGATAAACAATAAATATAGTTTCTTAATAATATTTTTTTATTCTAAAAAAACAATTTTTAGTAGAACAAAAAATTCGAAAAATCCAAAATATTTTTTAATTTTTAATTAAAATTTGAAATTATTTTATAAATACCCATTTTTATAAACCAAATTACTTAATAATTTTGATTTAAACAAAACTATTTGTTTATTTATTAAAAGAGGAATTAATTAAAATAATAACCGAAACAATTTTACTTTTTTGATATTTTCTTTACACTTTTTTCCATTTCAATTTGACTGTATTTTTTGTAATAAAACAATAAATTATTTGATATATAGCAACATTACCAAAAAAAAACGAAAAGAAAAATTTGAAATAATAAAAAAATTGAAACACAAGAAAAAGATACATTTTGTCTCTCTTCATTAAATCTTATTTCATAACTTGTCATGTGTGGAACGGCTTTCCTTGTTTTTTTTACGCTTTCTGCGCAAGCTTTATACATAACTCGTTCCGAAATATACAAGGAGAAATCAGCAAAAATTGCTGTCTTTGGATTCGACTCAACAGGTACTATTGACATCAACGTGACTTCACTGACACCGGTCCCAGTCACACTCTCCTCTATCACCTTTGCTGTATGTACTACTAAAGTTGCAAAGAATCTTTTCTCAATGTATGAGGACGATGCTCTTTGTATTGCTTTGAAAGACAACTGTGAGTATTGTTTGTTTAATAATTATTTACTATAACTATATAGTACATAATAGTGGGGTATCTATTGACAACAGTTATTAGTTTATTTATGGTTGTTTATAGTACATTAATGTATAGCACACAATTTCACGTATGAGAACAGTTTCAATATAACAACACCAGAACAGTACGAAGTCTTATTCTTGTTTTGCGATATACCAAATTACATTAAAATGGAGTTTAGCATGCATTTGCTTAATAAACATGGGAAATTGGAATTGTCGTCCGAAGATAGTTACCGTCCTATCGTGACGGGTGTTCAACTTTTATTTATAGTTTCAAACATTATTGCTTTGTTAGTGAGTGGATTGTTACACTTAAAACACTTCAGCAAAGTTCAGTTGTTTGTCTTCTCGATTTTCTTTTTTTACTTTTGTTCTTCATTGATTGAAATCTTCTTCTGGGGGTTCTACTTATCCGGATCGAAATTGACTCAAATATCGACGTCAAGTAAATTCTTTTTAGTTATCACTGATGCGACGACAATGGCCATTTTAATGTTAATTGGGAAGGGGTACAAACTGATCTATTTGCGAGTTCACTTCTATGAAATGAAATTGTTATTATGTGGATTCTTTTTATATTGTATTTGTGGGATATTGGAATGCTTTTGGATGAAATACTTTGGGATTGGCAATTTAGTTATCATCCTCTTCTTATTCTTACCATCTTCTATACTCTCAATATCTTCATCCAACCATATTATAAAATGTCATTCCCTCGCTGCTAATTCCCCAGACTTACACAAAATATTTCATATCAAGAAAATAGTTTGTTCATTCTAATTATACTATAATATATTATTAGTTACTAGTATATAATAGTTGTTTTATTTCTATATTTAAAATAGTTTAAATTTATAATTTTCTTATTATAATTATTAATAAATAGATGCTACAATTCAATCTCGTTGTAATTGGACTCTATGTCATCATGAACACATGCACTATCATCATGACTTATTCAGTGCCAATAGATTATGTGATTATAGATGAAGTGGTTGAATGTTTTCTAAGACTGTTGCTGATGTTACTTCTTTCGTTACTTCTTAAGTCTCGGCCTTTTGTGTTCAAACCACTTGAAATTGACAAACGGTCGTATAAAGAGCGAATTGTGACATCAAGAAATCGAGTAATAGCAGCAAGAAGACTGATCAATCAATTGAGCAACTTCAATACATCTTTTATCGATTTTAAAGATATTCTCCTTGTTGGAACGTTTACTTCGGTTATTACAGATGCTGGTAAAGAGGTCCTCCTATCTTTTTGTTCAAGCGGAACACCACACAACAACCCCACTTTATGATTTGTTTATATTGTTATACAAAATGTTATGTAATTTGTTATTCAGTTGTGTTTTTATTTTTATTCAGTTTTAATAATGTTATTTATATTGTTTTTATAAATAGTATATTTATAAAAATAGATATATAATTTATAATTTATTGTTTGTATAAATAGTAATAAATCATTATTGTCTGTGGCAAATATTGTTCATTTGTTCAAAATGAAAACAAATTTGAATGTATGTGGTAAATGATCGATTAATATGCCGAAAAGATTTTTCTCAAAATAAAAACAATTATAAATAATAACTATATTGTATTATAAAAAATAGTTTACTGATTTTTGGAAAAAGGAATTATAATTGAACTATTTTTGGAAAAAAATAATTACCACCCCAAATCTTTAACTATATTTCTATGGTTAAATATAATTTAAATATAACAATTGTTTTTCTATAAGCGATTTCAGTACGATGAATTCCAAACAAAAAAACACTACAATTTTACAACATGACACTCCCAACCCAATTCAACACAGACCTTCAGATATTAGAAGACACACTAGCGACGTCTGAGGGCAACACTCCAGTGGAGTCTTTAATCGTTTTACTGATAAAACAATTGAATCTTAGATTACAAGTCATTGAATCTACTTTACCAACACAATATAACCCTTCTCCTGATATTTTAGACGGTAGAAAACAATGTGGTTTAGTAAATCGAAATGCGCTATTTAACACAAAGTCTCCACAGAAAAGGTTGACTCCAGAAACCTTTCTTAAAAGAAGAAGAACAGATTTGGACTTAACAAGTGTTGAAATCAAAAGTCCTCCAAGTCCAGATAGAATGCCAAATTTGGCACAAAAGGTGTGGGTAGCTTCCAAACCAAAAATAGAACCAAGTGGAGTGGACTTTATAAATGCACACAAGAGGACTTTACAAATGTGGACAAACAAGAAAATGTATAAAGTCATTTACTCATCAATAACAGACGGTTTCAGTTCTGAAGCCCTCAATGACAGAATTGTTGGTGTTAACAACGTGATGGTATTGGTGAAAGATGACAAACAGAACGTCTTTGGCGCTTTCTCACATCAACAACCAATCCAACCAAATCACGACGACTTCTCTTATAATGACTCCGACGATACTTTCTTCGTCTTTTCTATTAATAACACAAAAGGGTCAACACCTGTTAAATTCTGTAAAAGGGGTGTTGGACCGGCTTTCAGAACTTCTGATGAAGACAACATTATTTTCGCAGTTGCAGATTGTTTCACTTTGAGGCAAAGCAACACTTCTTACATCCACCCACACTTTAAAAAGTATTTTAATACCAATGAAGATGCCACTGTGTTTAACGGGACTGTCTTTCCAATCCGTTTTACTGTTGAAAAGCTTGTCGCCGTTCAATGGTTCTAGATGCTGTATTTTTACCACAAGCAACTAGTTTATTTACTATAAACTAATAGTTCTCCATTTTCTATTTTTGCAATTTTCTAATCTAATAATAATTAATAAAAGTATAGAATCTGTATAACATCTAGAAGTCCAAGAAATAAAAATACTAAGTTATTAGGAGGTTGTATTAACACAGTCTTTACACACAAATTTGACGGACGCACAAAAAAAGTTGATAGCGTCGACACATCTCACATAGACTTGAACGGTGCTTTCGTTGAATGGATGTTTAACGACGCCATAGATATACGAGCTTTCGTCATGTCCGACAGAAATTCCCTCTGGCAATTTCCCGTTGATGGTCATTCCATCACTCCAGCAGTTCCATGGTAACTTGTTCACAAGTAGTTGCTCCATGTTTTTGCCGACTTCGATCTCTTCGATGAAATTGCCGTGTATCCCATGTAATGTACACTCAAAGCCGGGTTGTGTCAATATCATCCCGCCTGTGATCAAGAAGAGGAGGACTAAAAACGCGATGACAATTGTCGTGATGATTTCTAATGTGCACCCAAGTCGCTTTGGCGCTAACACACTCCCACCAACAAATAACCCGACAGATAGAAACCCAAACACTCCAATGAACAACCCAAGTGTTCCTATCACTAAAGAGAGTGCAACACTAATGAGTGTGATAAACCCTATGAACGCAAGAGATGCCGTATTCACTGTCGTCCAATACAACTTGATGTTCTTAATGCTTGTCTTGACCTCTTTGTATTTCCTCCAGAACGAAACCCACAAGCACGAAGAAGCTAAAAACAAGACAGTCCATATGCCCGGTAGCTTCGGTAATGCAAATATGACCCAAATGGATATCGCTGTGAACCCAACAGCAAGTGGCCCCGTTAACACTGCGGGCCCCAACGAAAATTCAAACCTGGACTTTTGAGTCTTTTGTTCAGTCATGGCGTCTTCCATTATCTTCAAATTTTCAATGGAAGAAATCAACTCAGAGATTTTGGTGTGGAGCTCTTCGTTGTGTGTATGGTCGGTCACTCCTTCATTAATTTCTTTGAGCGCCTCCACAATAACAGGGAGAATAGCGGCAGGGTCTACCATCACGCCCTTCGGTGCTATTTCGGGAAAGACCTTTTCAACGTCTTGCGCCAAAAACCCAACTCGAGTCGTCTTATCTCCTTTGTAGTTGTACTTCACTCCAACTAACTCAATGAGTTTCTCCAATCCATTTTTAATTGGTTCTATCGCTGTTTTAAACCGCGCGTCACTCCTTTGAAGGTACCCGGATTCAGCAAGAACCTCCCCAAAGACACAAAGCCTCCGAACGGCATTCACCATTTCAACTTTAACAAATTTGGGTTCGTTGTTCAACTCAATAGACTCGAAGTGATGCTTGGAATCCTCAAGATTCTGCTGTACCATATCGGCATAGTTGTTGACTAGTAATGAATTCGGCATTGGTTGATTCAACACGGTATTAAAATTTATAATATTGGAACTATTAAATATAGATTGCTCATTTGCATCGAAACCTCCCGAAATTGCAGCAACATTTGCCGTATTTGGTTGCACAAAATTTGGAGGCATTTGCACTTCATTGGGTGGAGCGTTTTGCTCGTCACTCTTCTCAAAGACTTTACTCATATAACTCTCGACCAAACTCTTGACGGCTTTTCTGTCACTCAACTTCTTGTAACTCGGCGCCTTTTGGAACCCGACACTTGTCACTGAGATGACGTGCCTCAGATGTGCGTCCCACACATGACTCGCTCTGCCTCATTAATATTCAAATTCGAGTTATTGAACTATTGTTCTCTAAAATTGCAAACGCGTTGTACCGAGTCATCTTCGTCTGTGAGCACCCAGGAAAGGTACACACCCATTGCTTACTACTTTTCATGTTTTTTTTCAGTTTCATATTTCTAGTTTCTGGTATGGTTTATAAAATCATATTCTTTACTATATTTGAATAGTAAAAGTTATAATACTTCTATTAATTAATAAACTATACTCAAACGGTGAATTACACATCGAACACACACAGTCTTTCTTTGGTTCGCCGAAAAACACCAGGGGGTGCAGCTTCTTTTCTGACAAGAAAACCAAAAACAGTTGGTTTGTACTTTTGTGCCTCTTGTATTCCTTGGACATTGAGCATCAAAAGGTGTGGGAACGTCGTTCCAAAGTACGAACCGTCGAGTGAAGACCCCACAAAGCCTTGAGGAATTGAATACTCCTCTCCACACTTCGGACAGAACAATTTCGTCTCGCCGATGTATGGAATGTCAGACGTTCCAACAGGAAGAACGGCGTGATTCTAAGAGTCATTTGTTGTACTATTTATAATGATATAATAATAGTTAAGCCGCAATTCCATTCCTATCACACAAAGTGAGTGATCAAATGAGAAATTATAAACGAACTATAAATGATCTATAAATAAATTAAATACGATGAGAGAGTGATTTGATCTCGTCGGAACGAAACACCCCGAAGTGAGTGAATATAAAATTTGTGAAAAGAAAAGTACTATAAAACGTCACAAGAATAGAAACAAACGTCACAAAGCACTCGTGGGCACCCTCCAAACTCACCTTTTCGGTATTTTGCATACATCTTTTTAAGGCCACTCGATGTTAGTATGTAACGAGCGTGAATAAGTCCGTAAAGTAGCGCAGCCTCTTTTTTAATCAGCAGAATGTCTTTATCGACAAAGGACTCGGGCTCCGCGACAGACATAATGACGTCTAGAGCCTCTTGGTAGTAAGTGAAGTACGACGAAAGGCCATAGATGTTAAATTCGTCATCTATGAAGTCTTCGTCGACCTCACACAAGTACTGGTTTCCATCTAACCCACAGAACCACTCAATCCACGACTCGTCGCTCGAGTTATCAAAATCGTCGTCGGTGTCGCGTGGACTGTCCATCACATATAATTTTGAAGTTCGAAAAAACCCTTTAATTTATAGAATGTCTATTCCCTTTCCAAATTGTATTTTGTTGGCTCTTGAAATTAGAAATATTTATGTCTTTGTTTTTGAGGAGTTTTGTGAATCAAATCGGGAAATTGTCGATAATACCAATTTGTGTGGTTTTCATGTATTATTATATATAGTTTGTTTGTCATTCAATATCTAGTACATTTCGTGCTCTGTCTTTTGAAAACAATTCTGAAGGAATTGATGAGAAAAGATTGAAATGAGTGGTGGAACGACACAAGAGATAAGCGACGATATTTCATGTGACACCTGAAGGTTTTGAAACAAAAAAACAGAAACAGTGCATCGGTGGGTTATAACTCGGGTTTGTCCTGTGGCTTCTTGTCCTCCTTCTCTTCCTTTGGGTCCAATTCTTTTGTGACCTCTTCTTCTGTCTTTCTGACAACCTTAAGTTGTTCAGTGAATTTCTCTGGGTGTTGGACGATTTCGTCGGCTTGGATGTACAACGGAGAGGATTCACAGTGAACCTTCTTTAGGCACTCTGTGAATTTGTTGAGGCAGGTCAGTTTGTCACCTCCGAGGTTAAGAGAAACGACGTCAAGGCACCCCGAGTGGACGATTCTGCATTCGTAGTCGTCTTTATATTTGCAAGAATTTTCATTGACTGTGCATGTGTCCGCAACTGGTTTGAGTTCTTTGTACTCTTCTGTGTCAGTGCACTCTGATTCGGTTAAATAAAAGACTTTTCGTTGTGTACACTCGCAGCTGTCGTACTTCTTTTCACACTCCTTGAAAACAAGTGGTAACTTCCTCATTTTCCTTTCCGAGCACTCAGCAGTACAAAGAGCGACAAGGAAAAGCACACTGAATACTATATGGTTCATTCTGTTTTTTCAAGTGTCAGCGAATTTTCTGTTTTTCAGTTCCTCTAAAATATCTTATTGATTATTCTACTTATTTTATGCCTTTAATGCCTAAGATTTTCCTTTCTAAAAAAAGCTATAATAAAATTATTATTTTTTTAATAATGATTGAAGAAGAACTACTTAAAAAAATTTAGTTGACGTCAAACTAACAACATTCCAAAAAATGAAAATGAAAAGAAAAAAGATAATAAAAAAGAAAAAAGGGTTGGTGTAGGATTTGATCCCTTGGCCTAAAAGTCAAAACTGATTGGTCTTCTAATCCGCAACGTTGAGTGATAAGAAAAGACAAGAAAAAAAATGTTCTGTTAGGAAACAAAAAAAACAGTATGGAGGAAGCCAAGTACACTGTCCTTTCAGACCTGCCCCCTCCCACTCAAAACTACAAGTCTGATGCAATTACCCTCACCATCACCATCTCAACTAAAATTTCTTTTTTGCGTTGGGTAGGCCCACTCTTGTTAACTTGTGCTGAAAATCCAAACTCCACCGACTTCAGTCATATCCTCTATTTACACCAACTCGACCCACCAAAGTTACTTTCCATATACGACCCCTCTTCTTCAATACGGGATTTGGCCGTTTTACCTTCTTCCAATGACATTCCAAATCCTTCACCGAGTCCGATATGTGACCAAGCTGTATACATCACAGACAAGTCGATTTGTATAATGGAGTTATCGCACACAAATAAGGTGGTGAAGCCCATAGTTGGGGAATCACTTCTTCCATATCCTCCAACAAGTGTATGTGCGCACTTGAAACACCCGTTACTCTATGTCGGGTGTGTTGATGGGACTGTACTCCTCCTTAACAACACTCTCCAGATCATTTCCCTCGTCAAAACAAATAACGCGCCAATTGTTAAGGCGATTCCGTCATTGGAGTTAACACACTTGTTTGTTTCGTGCAGTCGGGGCCCTTCGATGTTGAAAGTCCAAACGTTTTTATCGCCACATCCGGTGAATACCATTCCTTTGCACATCTTCATGACAGACATTTTCTGGGACGGCCACGCAGTCGACCCTCTCATCGTCGGTGACGCATTAGGGTTTGTTAATGTGATAGACAGATCGAGTGCCGCCGTCAAAGCAAAGAAACAAGCGACGTTCACACGAGTGAAGGCGCACAGTAGTGGGTGTAATGCAGTGGATACTTTTGGGTCTTTAGTCTTCAGTGGTGGTGATGATGGGCGAGTTGTTGTTTTCGACAAACAGAGATATCACAACAGACGAAAAAGAAAAGGCGCAAAAACCATCCACGTCTTATTCAAAGTGATGAAGGAAAATGGTGACGTTGTTGTGAATGAGGACGTGGCGGAGAATGAAAAGCAATTGGAGGGGTATGTGTTGTCTGATGACGACGTCAGAATTGTTGATTTGAAAATCAATAAAAAGCTTGAGAAAATAGCAATTGGTGTGAGGAAGGGTGTAGTGTTAGTAAAGAGCTTACAAACAGAATGAACGACACATTGAAAACCACACACACAATAGTGTTTTGTTGAATGTTATTTTAGTTTATAGTTTTGGTTTTGAATACTATATGTATAGTTTCACTTTTTAAAATTTTTAGTAGTATTTTAATAATAAAAATGTTATTTGTGACTTGTAAAAAAACTCCAAAAAATAATTTTTTGAATAACATTGATATTTCAACGAAAAAATTTTTCAAAAAGAAAACCAAACAAATCAGATATTTACATTGTGTAAGAAATGTCGACTACAAATTATCTTCGTGAACTCTATGAAAGTGAAGTTCGATACAACACTCAAATGAAAACAGCGTTAGACTACTATGCATATCCAATGATTAATAACGACACATATATATCAAATGAAATGACAAACACTTTGTTTTATTCGTACGAGGATGTGATGGAGTGTTCTAACCATTTTGTAGAAACCCTAAAAGCACATATTACTGATCAAAACTTTGAATTAATCACTGGCAAGTTTTTCATAGAAAACACTGGAAGGTTTCTTGCCTTTAATGACTATTTTAGAAATTCTTTAAACCGACAGATGGTCCTTTCTATTATCGACGAAGATCAAAGCAAATTAAATTATTTGAAACAACTGCAAATGGAAGCCAAAGAAACAGGCATTGAATTACAGCCACTTGGGTCGTATTTAATTCTTCCAATTCAGCGCCTTCCAAGATATCAAATGCTTCTCATTCAAATAGTGAATACAATCAAAGACCAAGTAGTTCCTCTGAAAAAAGAAATTTTGACGTCACGAAACAACTTGTCGCTCTTTGAAATTAGAAAAAAACTGGAGAGTTCCGGGCGCTTCACAATGACTCACGAAACACAACAAAAATTAAAGAACAGCACGTCCTTCACTTATGGCGAAAAAATGTCGCCGTTATTCAGAAATAACTCGGAACAAAGGCAGAAACTCGCGGGATATAAACTCGCGACATCAAAGTCACTCATCCTTAAAAGAGCGGAACTCGCAAAAACGGAGATTCCCGCACACTTCAATAAGGTTGAGGATTTGTCGCAATTTCAACAGATGGGGGAGTGTCACTCCAACAAAGATTGCACGGGTTCTCCACCGACACAACAAGAAGCGGTACCCGTTTTGTTTCGTCCCGCTAAGAGAGAAATTGCAACGCGCGATTTACTGGCTCAAAATGCGCAGTGTCGCGACAACGATTTTTCTATGAAGCAGAAAACAGCGGCGGAGAAGGAGGAGATACTTGCGGTCTACCACGACGCCGTGCAAATCATCTGTTCGAAGTCTTCGGAGTGTAACGAGATCATCAGAGACGAAGAGCAGAAGCAGAAGGAGTTGGAACAACAAACAAAAATGTTTGAGAAGTACGTTGTGGAGTTCTTAGTAACGGCTGAGAAGCTTAGTTTAGTCGAACAAGTCGTTTTATTACAGAATGAAAGTCGTTACGACGGATGGTTTGTTTTAACTTCAATTAAACTATTTGTCGATACTATTCAATTTCCTCGGCAACTGATCGAATTGAAGAATATACATATACAACAAGATGACAACCAAACGTTGACGTTGTTTGACAACGTTAATACTATCACTGTACAATTCAATGACACATCCAGTGTGTTAAATACAATCAACGAGAAAATTGGCAACCTCATGAAAAACAAGTCAACTTCTCTCTTCAGCAATTTCTGGTCTTTCTTCGCATAACTCTGTGTTTTATTTATTTGTTATATATAACATTTTAAGATAATTGTTATTATTTAAAAATGTTATTCGATTTTTGTAACGAAGAAAAGAGAAGTCAATTGGGTTTTAGAGGTGTCGAAAGGGAAAATCGGGATTGGATTTAAATCGTCACGCGTTAGCCCGATAAATTAGTCAAAACGAAAATTTGAGATAATAATTCTCTTTTCTGAAAAATATAAAACAAAAATTACAATAAAGATGAGTAATCATTAGGTAAACTCCCGATTTTTTTCGTCTATTGATTCGAATTCATGAAAAAGCACTTTTTTTTGCTTTGTCTTTAAACTTATTATATTTAGTAAAAAAATTATAATATTTAATATTAATGTTTGAAAAAAATGGTTAATAATTATTATATTTTTACTACATAAAACTATTCATTATATTAAAATCAACATTATATCTGATGTCTTTTTCGTATTAAATCGGGGAGAGAGAAAAAACAAACGTGTCGCCAACGCACCGTTTATTTATGGATACTCAAATTTAGTAAACCAATAGTAAATGAATTAATAACAATAGTAAATAGAAGGTTAAACAGAAATCCAAAAAGATAGCAAATAAAAACCCTGTGTACTCTTAAAAGTGCAAGTGAATGTCATCTGAACAGCAAAAGACTGAAAAGAAACCGGAAGAGAAACCAACTGATGCGATCAAGGTAGAGCAACCAACAAAAAATGAAAATAAAAAAGAAGACGACATCAAAGCTGTTCTTATAGAGGCACATGAACAAAAGTGCTTGACAAAAGGTCTTAAGCAAGTCTTAAAACATCTGAAGGAAAAACAAGTCAAAGCTATCTTTATCTGCGAAGATAAAACAGACAAACTCCAAAAACTCTTCGATGAACTGAAAGCAGCTTCTAAAGAGCAAAACGTCAAGATGATTGAAATCGATAGTCCAGAAAAATTGGGAACTTGGACGGATTTCAGAGTTAAACCCAGTAAGGTTTCAAAGTGCGCGTGCGTCTCGATTGGATCAAGTATTAAAGAAACTGAGGAGTTGAAAAGACTCTTACAATAACTGTTCTTTTTTGATTTTAACTTCATATAGTTTTAAATTACTATATTTTTTAATTTCTAATGATTACTATATATTTTTAATATAAATTAGTATTTATTGAATTCTTAAAATATATAAAAAAAACTTATTTATAATAGTTAATTTGCTTTAGTTTAATTTGAATAATATCTATTTATTATTTTTTTTTTCATTTTTATTTTTTTTAATACAGTGTTATTCACTGGGTTTTCGATTCCCACCATTTTCAATAATTATTAAGTCAGTTTATTAAGAGAAAGGATGAATAGTTGCACGAAAGACTGGCGATATTTTTTAAAGACGTCTTTTGTGTATTAGGGATGTCTTCCCGTTATTTTTGATGTCCTCACTGTGTATGGGGATGTCCCTTCTATTAATTTTGTGTCCTCAAAATTTCAAAAACTATAAAACGAGTTATAATTTAACCATTATTTTACTATTTAATAAAATAATCATTTCCAAAAATAAATAAAATAGTTAACAAACACTATAGAACAAGTAATTTTGTTATAAATTAATAGTTTGAATGAATTAATTATTATTTTTTATTGGTCATTTAAAGTCACTTTGAAACAGCTTTTCCAACACAACAACCCAATACTCCCGCAATTTTAGCAAAAAATATCAATAAAAAAGATTGAAAACAAACTTGTGTTTATCATAAAGAAGTCAAAAGAACTAATTAATTCGATATGGAAAATACGTTTTCACTTCCCCAAAGAATTACTACAAGACATGATACACACAGTTCAACAACAAACCCGGTTGTTTTATGTCCCACGCGGTCAAATCTAAGTCAAAACACTCAACATATACAACAACAAGTTCCATTAACTACACATTCAACTTATGATTGTAAAAAGGTCACAAAAAGGAGAGGAAGACCGCCTGGTAGAAAAAACGACAAAAAGTCTACTAACACCATTCATGTTGATGACCAGTACGTTGCATTTACATCAAGAAATTCTTCAATAAATAATCAAGTACACACAAAATAACTCGATTTCTTCTGTTATCCAAACAACAGTTGTAGAAGAGAATGAAGAATTATCGGGTTCGATGTCTTCTTTTAATAATGATGGACATCACGATCAATCGCATACAGTTGATAATCACATTGAATTACCAAATTCAAACACATCAAACACAATTCAAGACGATTTGTTACAACATGAACAACAAATAAATAGTAATGATGTTGAAACAGAAAATGTAACATCATCACTTTCTTTAATACTAACACATAAAATTAACCACGAAAATTTAAATAATACCACTCTTAATTCGATTACAACCACCGATTTTGATCAACCACACAACCCACCGAGTAGGCTACAAAATAGACATTTGATTGTGGGAGATCATTTAACATATCAAAATACTGGTACAGGACAACAAGAAAATCTATTACACCTTAATGAGGCAAACCCAATTCTCGAGTCTAGAATCGATCCTAATGATCCTTTGGCATTTTTTACAACCGTCAGAGAAAACAGAATACTGCGTCAACCTTCAGCCGAAGAAACTAGACACAATCCACAACAGCCAGCAAACATAAGAAGAAGACTGACAGAAGAACTAAAACACAATAGAAACACACACACGTTTGGAAATTCCAAGTAATGAGTTTTGGGCTGAACAACAAGAAGAATATTTTGTTCGTATCGAAGAGCTCATTGATAGTGGACAAATGACTTCTCCGATTATCTCCGATTATCTCCGATTATCTCCGATGTTCCACAGATATCAACAAATTCTCATCGAACTCTCATTGATATTAATTTAACTACAGAAGATGAATGTAAAACTCTTACTGGATTTACCAAAATAGAATTCGAAAAATTATTTTCTCTGTGTTGTGCTAAATGTAAATTTGATCTAAGTGTAAATGAAAACAACATAACTAAATTTTGTTTTCACAACCCATTAATGTCTGTCACAATACCTTCACTCAACAAAAACTGTGTATTTTCGTTGTATGAATTGTTTTTGATTTTAATGACTTTTTTGCATAAAGGTTGTGCTTCAACACGCTGTTTTATCTTTTGAAAGTGAATGAAATTGTAAATCCTTCCATCAGACTTGACAATGAAACAAACACTCATTATGTCAAAAGAGTCAACGACAGAAACAGAAAAGAAATATCAAGAGCAGTATGGAAAGCGATTGAAATATTTAAAAACTGTGCAGTCGAAAATTTGATTATACAAGTGGGCAAATGTGAATCGATGAGGTTGCCATTTAGCAGTTTTAGAAATCCTGTTTTGAAAGAACACATAAAGGATCTTGATAATTGTTATACCGCAATTGATGTGAGAGATCATGCTATTACAAATAAACGAAAAATTGTTGGTGTGAGGGAATTCACAAATTCTGTGTTTTATTCACCAAAAGTGAATTGCTCTGCAATCAAAACGAGTGTGAGTGTCAATTATTTTGGTTTGACATGTGGAATAACAACTTCAATACCAGGTTCATATCACGATTTTCGTATATTTGGTTTGTATGAATGGGATCAGTATATTCGAAATGGTGAATGTTTTTTTTGGGTGATACAGGTTATAGAAGTGCAAAAAATGGTATAACTACATGGCCTTATCCTTCTGATCCTCACCGCCACGCCTTAACAAAACTTAGAAATTCACTTGTTAGCAATTGCAGACTAATAGTTGAAAATTCCTTTGGAAGACTTACTCTTCTTTTTGAAATCACCAAAAAGAAGTGGAAATATTCACTTGATGAATATACAGATGTGATTTTAATGTGCCACGCCTTCAACAATTATCATATTATGATGCACCCAATGTGGGATATTCATTTTTATCTTTTGAACCCTTCTTTGTTAAACGATAAGATAATAATCAAAATTCCCCAGTCTGTTTAACGAATAATTGAAAATTTCGAAAGGCTTGGAGGAACAATGGCAAATGTTGAAGCGCTTCGATTCGAACGCGGTGAAAATGAATCTAATGTATTAAGAGAAAATGAAGAGGTGTTAGATGAGCACAATTATCTCAACAATGTACAAAACACAAGCAGAATTTGATTGACTCATTGTTGTTATTTTTTGTTTTATATAAAATGATATCAAATACTTTTCAATATATAATAATTGTAATTAATTTTTGCTAAAATTGCGGGAGTATTGGGTTGTTGTGTTGGAAAAGCTGTTTCAAAGTGACTTTAAATGACCAATAAAAAATAATAATTAATTCATTCAAACTATTAATTTATAACAAAATTACTTGTTCTATAGTGTTTGTTAACTATTTTATTTATTTTTGGAAATGATTATTTTATTAAATAGTAAAATAATGGTTAAATTATAACTCGTTTTATAGTTTTTGAAATTTTGAGGACACAAAATTAATAGAAGGGACATCCCCATACACAGTGAGGACATCAAAAATAACGGGAAGACATCCCTAATACACAAAAGACGTCTTTAAAAAATATCGCCAGTCTTTCGTGCAACTATTCATCCTTTCTCTTAATAAACTGACTTAATAATTATTGAAAATGGTGGGAATCGAAAACCCAGTGAATAACACTGTAAATAATTGTTATCCAATTTGGTATAATAAACCAATTCCAGAACTAAAGTATAAAAGTGAATATCATTTACTGATATTATTATTAATATATTTTAGAATAACTGTTTATTCCAAAATATATCAACCATTAATAAATAGTATAATTAATAAAAAATGGTATAAAGTTATTACCTCAAGACAATTCGTAAATTTTCTTTGTTTTTTTATTTCCATTTTTTTCTTATAAAAACCCGAAACAATTGACTAAAAAAAGCCAAAATAACGCTAATAATAATAATTCAAATTTGTTCTTAAAAATTTTTAAAAAAACGACGACCAGATTGCTCGAGAATTCCCCAAGTAGTTTTCAATCTCTTAAAATAGAAATTCTTCTCAACTATCAAATTTTTACAAATTCCACAAATTTAAGGGGAACACATTTCTTTCAGATTATACCTATTTATGATAATTATATTAGAGAAAAATCAAGAGGAAGGTATATATAATATGTTAAGAACTACTAACTCCACACTAACATGGACTCAATGATCAGCCAAGTCTCTTCACTTCTCTTTACTTCCTATAAAGAGGATAATGTGGCCTTCACTTCTTCAAGACAATTTCCACCAAAGAACACTACTACCATTCTTACACATCTTCAAGCACTCTTCTTCCCCGATTTCTTTTTAAGAAAAACAGAGAGGAATTTAAGACACACGTCTGCTTATCTTACGGAGTTGGTCGAAATACTGCGATATGGACTTTCTGCGTATAACGAGGAAGATCTAGTCGAAGATGCGCTTCAGAATGTATTAATTAACTTCCTCCGAATTCGGTCAGAAATAAAAGAAGACATCGTTGCGGCTTACGCTGGAGATCCGGCTGCACCTGGTCTCGCTATAATCATTCGGAGTTATCCTGGTATTCAAGCAGTCATGGCTTATCGACTTGCACATATCTTATACACAACAGGGGACAGAGAGTATTGCAGAGAAATGATGGAAGAAATTCACTCTTTAACGAGTATTGACATACACCCCGGTGCAAAAATAGACTCCCATTTCTTTATAGATCACGGCGTTGGTGTAGTTATAGGGGAAACTGCTGAAGTTGGGAAGTGGTGTCGGATGTACCAAGAAGTAACCCTCGGTGCTATAAACTTTAAAGAGGAAAATGGTATCATCAAACGTGGAACAAAGCGCCATCCGACTGTTGGTGATAATGTAGTCATCGGTACTGGAGCTAAAGTACTTGGTAACATCACTATAGGAAATAATGTGAAGATAGGTGCTAAGTGTTGGATAGTAGAAAGTATAGAAGATGGTAATACGGTCTTTATTTCTCAACACCCAACACAAACTACTCGAGAAAACAAACACATCACTGTTGTAAATGACAAATTTGTACTTCAAAAACTTGAAGACAAAGAAACTCAAAAAAGAAACAAAGACAGTGACAGTATTACAAAAGAAGACGAAAAAGTCAGTTCTTTGGAAGAAACTAGTTCTTCTCCAGATATTTTAATGGAACTCTCGTGTACCCTCTTGTCCCATAACTTCCCTATGAAGTGCAACGTCTGAACTTAGCCTTAATTTATATTTGTTTTAAATTCGATTTAACTGTTTTTGGTAAATAGAGCATTTTATTCAACAAACAAATTTGTTGAAATTCAACCGATACAAATACAAATGTAACAAATAGTGGAATGTAAAATGTAAAAATGGTGGTGTGACAATTTGACATGCCAACCAGACTATTCTTTATTTAAAACAAAAAACAGACAAATCAATTCGCCGACAAAAAGGAAATTTCAAAACAAATGTCATACCTAAATAATGACAAAAAAGAATAAAATTATTTCTTGCTAGCTTCATACTCTTCCTTTTCTTTAGTCTGCCACTCGTTCAGTCTGAGCCATGGTCTATCGCTTGGATTGTGGTCCTTCTTCCAATTCTCATAAACAGAAGAGGTCTTCGCAATGTTGTCAATAACACCGCCGACCATTGTTTTTGTGGCTTTATTGACACACCAAGCAGGGATCCACCCATTCCACGAATTCCAACCGAAGTAGTAGAACATAGTTCCCTTGTCAGTGGTTTTCATGTAATAACCAGATTTGTAACTCCATGCTCTGACGAATCCAGACTTTTCTGGGACAAGTGGATGCTTGTTGGAGAAGTTGAAAATGACAAACTCGGTCATTTCTGGGTTGTGCCACCACGATCTTCTGTTGACCCAGTCGCGGTTTGAAATGACAAACGGCATTCCAACTGAGTAGTAACCAATGTCGTTGGCCGCGTCAATTTGTTCAATAAGGAACCCCTCAATCATTCTGTCGTCCCATGTTTTTCTGTAGTCTGGGTCGTGGATGGCCTCGTAAATAACTTGGGCTGGGATGTCCTTCATGGCATCAGAGACAAGTTTAATCTGAATCTCGGCAGTGTTTGATGGGTTCTTGAAGTGGACCTTTGTGTGCTCATCAGTGTATGACTCAATCCAGCCTTCTGTCTCGTCAAAGAGTTTACGGAAATCGTCAAAGTCCTTACGGGTCGAGATTGGTAACTCTGGGTTGTGTGAGAAGACGTTCAAGTCTCCTGGGAGTGTTGCAGCCTTTTGTGCCTCAGTCGTTGCCATTGAATATTTTTTCAGTTTTTCGCTTCTTAAATAATGCATCTCTCACTTTCCTAATTTCCCATATTTTCGTTCCTAATACACCTATCATTTTGTCAATCTCACAAATAATAGAACTATTTATTTGTTTTGCTTTTTTCATTTGCGAGTTTGGTGCGCTTTAGTGTAAAATTCATGGTTTTTTATTATTATTTTTTTTCAAGATGACTTTTTAAAAATCTTTGTTTTATTTTCTTCTTTTGGATCTTGTTGTAGTAGTATTAATATTATAATATTTTTTACTTTTTATTCAATTATGAATAATTTTGAAAAAATTATTACTTATTTTTTAAATTCAATTTATTATAAAAGTGTTATAACCAATCATTATTATATTATAGTTTGTAAACAATATAAATTAATTATAAAAATAATATAATCAGAATCTTAGTCAAAATTCAGAAAACGCCAAATAAAATTAAACAAAATACCTAAGATAAATTTCAGAACCAAAAAAGTACCATAGTACGATAGTAAAAAGTTATAAAATGAACTACAAAGAGTTAAGAGGAAACGATTAGGGTTGTCTTTGAACAACTTCAAAGTCACTTTTCCTTAGATGTCAGCGCCAAAGTGGTTTGTCCCGACTAAGTCGAATGGCACAAAGATGCCCGAGTACTATCCGACCGACGACATGATTGTGGAGCAAAAGAGAAAGTTACGAACAAAGAAGGGTCCAAAGCAAACTCCACTTGACAAACCCGCTGCCAACCTTGAGCATTTGAGAAAAAGTATCGTCCCAGGCGTCATCTGCATCATTGTTGCTGGTAAGTATGCTGGTAAAAAAGTCGTTTACTTGAAGCAATGCATTAAGTCGGGCTCTTTGATTGTCACTGGTCCATTCAAGCTCTCTGGTGTTCCATTGCTCCAAATCAACCAACGCTATGTCATCGCTACTTCTCAAAAAGTCGACGTCTCTAAGGTCAACACTGAAGGTATCGATTTCATGTTCTTCAAGAAGAATACTCCAAAGAAGAGAGACCACTTCAGAAAGGTCCTCCCACAAGAAGAGATCAAAAAGGACTTCGAAAGCAAGAAGGAAATCCTCTTGAGCAAACAAAAACAAGTCGACGAAACTCTCATCCCAGAAATTAAGAAGACTCAGTACCTCAAGGAATACATGAAGACTCCATTCTCCGTCAGAGCCGGTCAATTCCCACACCTCTTGAAATTCTAAGTAAAATCGGTAAGAAATACGCTTTTGTGGACATTTTGTTATTCGTATGTTTTTCTGAAACATTCTTTTTAATAGTGTTATTAAAATGTTTTTTTATTTAATTTTTTGTTGTTGCTTTAAACATCAAAAAATAATTTTCAATAAATATTATAGTCCCTCAATTTAGCCTTATGGAAAAAGCTTGCCTTCTGCAATTATTTTACCATAATCAATTATTTTAATCACAACAATTCTATAATTAATAGTATATTATTTAAAACAGATTTCAAAAAATGAAAATTAATTAAATAATTAATTTCTAGTTTTTTTAATTAAAAATACAATCCAAGAAGGCAATTTTTTTCATAAGGCTTGCGTATTTTGTTATTTTACAAAAAATTTTGTAATTAAATTAATTAAATAATAAAATAAAATTGTAAATTAATTACGATAATATTTCAAGTGAAAAAAATGAAAGGAAAAGACTAATAAACTCAAAAGTAAAACTGAAATCCTACAAATTGCTTTTAAAATCACTAGAAATAAGAAACAAACAATAGGTTTCTTTCCCATTATTTTAGTTTATTTTTATGTAAAATAAACTCGAAATGTTTTGACTTTAGTTAAAAACAATTTAAAAAGAACACTCAATTTTAACATGAGTAATATTCACAAAAAAATCCAGTAAAAAAACGGGGGAATTAAAATACCAAAAAACAGAAGGTTAAAAAAAATTCTTACTTCCAAACTCGTGATGAATTACTACCATTAAGATCAAACTGTCCAATGTAAAAATAGAACGACAAAAAGCATATAGAAATGAAACAATAAGGATATTACCCGATATTTAGCTCTAACGAGCACTTTGCAAATAATAAACATACCCAACGAAAAAGTCAAAGATACCTCAGAAAAGTCGACCTATGAAATACACATATATCAGGTGAACTACTGTCAACAGGAACTTTAAAGTCAAGATGTCCCGAAATTTGAAGAGTCCGTTATTTAGGAATGTGGCTAAGTCACTTGACCTTCCTATGGTCAAGAGTGACACATTTGTCCCCGCCTTTTCTGTGAAGAAGTCGCGCGAATTTCTCGAAGAGAGTTTTAGTCTAGATGAGATCAACGAGTTGGTAGAAATTGCAAAGTCACCAAGGAAGCCCAAGATGTTACTCGACGAGTATGAAGTGAAGATGTTAGAAGGTCGCCGGTCAAGGAAAACTGATGAGAAATTAGTCGACGAGCTTGATATGGTTCAGTCGAAACAGTTCTCAGAAGCGAATGGCAAAGAATCGCCTTTAAGTCAAGCCCGCGAACGTCTTTCCCTTACTAAGAAGAACAATTCTTTGATAGCCAAAAAGAAGAGAGAGTCCGGTCCAAAGAAGAACACAACGCCGACTAAAAAAAACATGAAAACAACTATATAACTAAATGTTTGTAATATCTTCTAGTTTCCATGCTTTCTTCATCTTTTTAACTGAAAAATGCATTTCACAGGCTAATCCGGCTAATGTCACAAACATTACAAATCTTGTACCAAAACACTTCCCTCAAATTCCAAGCGTCAGAAACCATCGAAATCAAAACAGAAAAACCGATCACATTCATTAACGTCGGAACAACTACAAAGCAATCAAATGACGGAATCACTGACACCCCGTTTTATTATGACGTCCCGATGTCACTTTTCGGAAAGAACGCTCGACAAGCTCTTAAGCAAATAAAGACCTTCAAAGACATCAAATTTGATCAGAAGAAACATCCCTATTTGGCAGAGACACAAAACATATTGAAAGGCGTCTTTGTCTGTGAAAAGGTCGGGAAGAGTTATCAAGTGACGTCAGAACAAATGATCTTGGACGATAAGAACTTGTTATTGAAATGTGAGAGTCGCGACCCCGAGTCTTTGAGTCGAACTTTCGAACAACAAATTCATTATGACACAACACTGTATTACGCATCGGATATGTACGACATTACTAATGATGTTCTGACTACTGACGTCACTTATATGAACAGTGATATTCCTTTCTTCTGCTTATTCCCTCTTTTCATCACACAAAATTCTTTTATACTCAGACAAGACGATTCTTCGCCAATCAAAAGGGTTGTGTTATCCCCACTTACTCTTGTACTGCCATTTTTGAGTAACTTCTCCGTGTTCAAATGCTTTCCGGAGAGGTGTGTACCATCGCTCGATACAATGACGGAATATTTATTAAGTTACTCTCTCGGAGACTTACTTCTGAAGCTCAAGTCGACATTTCCGAAACGGAAGAATGATCACATTAATGACCTTTTGGATCAAACAGTAAGGATTTTACAAGACAGTGAAAACACTCTACTCATGTCACTGAAGTCTCCATTCTTCTATCAAGCAAACACGTATAAGAAGATCAAAGAAGTCGATATTGATAGTTTGGGCATTCGCCCGTGTATCAAAGAAGCTGGAAGAGGCGCGGTCGGAACCATTTTCCAGTCGATGTGTCGGAAGTACGCGATTAAAGTGTGTAAGGCGGAGTATGAGGAATTCACTCTTCGTGAGGTCAGAGTACTGAAGATGCTGAATCATCCGAATATACTCAAGTTTGTAGCGTATGGATCAAATACGTTAATCACTGAATGGTGTTACTATGGATCGATTGACGACTTCATGAAAGTGAAACGATTTGAAAATCAGGTGTTACCACCGAACTACTTTTTACACGTTGTTTCGCAGTTTAACGCGGGGTATGACTACTTATACACTAATGTCCAAATGGTGCATAGAGACATCAAATATAACAACATCTTCATCACTATTGACCCGTCGTTGGGAAGTAAAGAACCCGAAAATTTGGTTGTTAAAATTGCAGACTTTAACACCACGCGAGTTGTGTCTGACGAAATGCACACGAAGATAGGAACACCGCAATTTATGGCACAGGAGATATATAAGGGGAAATATGGAACGAAAGCTGAGGTGTATGCTATTGGACTGTTTTTGTATTACCTTTTGGCGGGAACACTGCCGAGGTGTTGCTCTAACTCGTCGATTGGAGAAACAGTCCCTGTCTCCTTTGTAACGGGGATCAAAAGAGTGAACACCTTTTTGTACTCGCAAATGGAAATACTCATACAGAAGATGGTGGAGCCCAGAGAAATATACAGAATAGGTTGGGAGGACTACTTGACCGCATTTAATAGCATTCAAAAGAAGTGCAACATATTCTAATTGATGTGTTATGGTGTTTTTTAATATGTAATTAGCTATATATAGATGGATGAGTTATTATTATGAGGCACTTTAGTACATATTATTAATAAACAGTTGTATTATATTTTATTATAAAAAGTTTAATTAAATTTATATAAAAATAGGAGGAACCAACAAGTGAAAAATAAAATTGTGAAGAGAATGAAACGATATGAAGAGGATCAAGAACTTTTGAAAATAGATTTGTTTTGATCAAACAGAATTTTAATTGATAGAGAGAGGTGTTGGAATTATTGGAAAGTATACAGGAAAGAATATTTTACTAATATAATAAAAATGATGTTATGTTGGAGATTTAGGTAGTTTTTTAAAACATAAATAAACTTTTTCGTAAACTGTCATTTGTATTATGTCTTGGACACTTTTTGTATGGTTGTTGTGTGTTTCGATGGGTCAAATGTCTCCCGATTTGCAAGAATCACTTCATAGGAGATTTGAACACTTTTATCAACACCAAATGGGTTACATTCCCAAGTTGGATTTTCTTATTACAGAGATGGTAAAATATCCACAACACTTTTCTGATCAACATGTTACTAGTTTGGACAGACTTAGAAAATTTGAAATTGGAATGAAAGAAACTTCAAGATTATGTGCAAGAGCTGACCCAGTCACAGAAGATACAGTTCAGACTTTTTGTATGAACGTTCAAGGACTTGGTTCTGATTTTAAAAGGTACATGCTGTTTATTATTCAAAGTATGTTCACATTTGTTGAAAGGACAAGTGAAAGCAGTTTTATTCCAGAACAAGCAAAACATAGGATGTTGAAATATTTACACTTGTTAATTCCTCAGATGTATAGATATGCAAATTTATTGGATAGAATTATTGACGCGAGAGAATTTACTGGCAATCAAGTAGTATTGGCAGCTAGACAAGTTATGACAACTTTAATAAGATCAAAAGCAACAACCTTTGAAAATCCATTTGTTCCTGAAGCAACTCCAAAACCAACAAGTTTAAAATTCTTAAAAAAGAAAAGACAATAATTTGACTTAAATTGTTATTTTTTTTCAATAAATAAAAAACTTTTGAATATAGTTTTGTTACTTTTTTATAAAAATACATCGTTAAAAAAATGTGTGAATGTTTTTAAAAACAAGTAAAAAGTTGAATTTATGATTTAATTTATTATTTGGGTGCACGTAATTTGGTATTATTTTTTATTAATATTTACAAAATGAACACAATTATTTTAAAATAAGATATGATAAAGTAATGATATAAAAACAAGTAGTTTTCAAAAAAACACGATTTAAAGTGAAGTCGATTAAATGGTACAACTTGAAAGGCTGTGTGTACTACTGTTCAGCTTCTTTTGCTGCCTTCTTGGCGCCCTTTCCATGAGCAAAGCCATGAACGCTTTGTTTAGGGACTTTCTTGGTCTTTTCGTGTGGTTTGTGAACACCCTTTTCCATTGGTTTCTTGCCGCCTTCTGTTGCTGGTGCTGCTGCTTTAGCCTTCTTGTCCATTGGTTGTGATGCTGAATAGCACCCCTTATATAGTCCGTGCTTTCATTCTTTGCTACACACAACGTGGAACCACGCGCTGACATTGTTCTCTTGTGCCGTTTCTTGTCAAATAACGCAACAATCGATATATAAATTGTGGTGCTCACACACGTACCGTCACATCGGGACTTGTGGGGAGTCAATAACAAAATGCCGCGTTCTAAAATGTGCAGCACAATTGCAGTATCATTGTGTATTGTAAGCTGTACCACTCAGTATAGATTGTCCCATTACTGTGCTGACTGCCATGGTAATAACCGGATTATTTCATACATCATCGGCAGGCGCGTCTTGTGATGCTGTTTTTTAGACCAAATACGCGCTAAATGCCCAACATTGTGCGTATTTGCATTTGTGTGATGCCACTTTTGGACAAAATAGAAAACTCAAAATCAACACCACGCAAATACAACTCAATATCATTTTTTACTAGTAACTATACTATACATTACGTGATGATATGGTACATTGCTACCAACGAGCACAGAACGCCGTGCTGTTTTGTGAACATTTCAATGTACCATACGTGTTGGTACAGAATACCATAGTCTATAACTATACTATAAATAGAGAACCGCCATACGTGTCAGCTATATTGGGTGCGCCATCTTGGAATGCAACGCCGCGTCTGCCGCAACCACCGCACTTTGAAAAAAAACCAAAACAAAACTATACCAATACAATATAACATGGTATAATCAAGGGAACCATTCGATCCGGCAGAATAAAAGTAGTGTGCACGCGTTGTCGACTCAAATAATCAAGTCACAGATCGGCAGATCTGCCAGATCTACAATTTGAAATGGCGTTATCCCGTCATTTAAACAATTTCCCGCGTAACATGGAAACAATAGTTGAGGTATGGCACAGTGCTCTTTATTGTTTGTGTGCATTTTCAAGTACTATCTCATTTACTATAAATGTACTATATAGAATCCATTTTTTTACATTTTTAATATTTTTTATATTTCTCTTATTATTAATTTATTAATACAATTTTATTATTGTTATAATAACTAAAATGTATTAAATTATTATAGAAAAAGTTAAAAAATATTATTAAATTACTAGTTTTTAATATGTATTTGTTTATCTTTTTCTTAATCAAGATGAACATTTTTATTTGATTTAAATACTCAACAAATTGATTAAGTTCAAAAAATCATTTTAACATTTAACTTTGATCAAGAATAACTTTATTTATATTTTAATATAAATTGAATTAAACTCTTTAATATAAATGGTTGTTCTCGATGGATTTCACATGATGGTTGTTTCTCAATATTTTGGCCGTATTTCTGATTTTATTGAGCTCTCTTTTGTTTGCAAAAAGTTTACAAACATAATGGAAAAGTTCCACTATAACCCAGTCCCACTTTTAAACAACAACATCAATCTTTTCACACATCTTGAAACACTATATTTATACTCCAAGACCGACGACTTGTTCGAGAACAAAAATTTCTACCGCCGAGTGTTTCTTCCAAAAATCAATTACAGTGAATTTGTTCAGTTAAAGAAGAAGACGAACGTCAATGTCGAATGTGTTAACGTGATGTACACAAAGGAGGATGTGAGAAAACATGGACTTGTACTCCCCAAAGAAATCAACCATGTCGACCAATTTGCGTATTACCAAATCAGTATTCCCCAATTTACTTCATTTGAAACTTCTTTGAAGACAATAGGGCAATTCGCATTTTCGTTTTGCAATAACATCCAGAATTTATACATCCCAAAGAGTGTCACTTCAATTGACTCGTATTCCTTTTACAAATGCACTAATTTGAAATCCGTCAGTTTTGGTTGCTCCATCTGTCGAATTGGTGGACTGGCATTCTGTGAGTGCAAAAGTCTCGTCGATGTGAAGCTTCCAGAGAAATTGGACAAACTCGAAGAGGTGACATTTTCTGGATGTGCACAACTCAAAACAATTGAAATACCAAAAAGTGTCACCTCAATTGGGAATCGCTGTTTTCTCAATTGCACAAACCTCGAGAGTGTAGTAATGGGTAGCACATTAATAACTTTTGGTGTTGATGTGTTTTATGGGTGTATTTTTAAATTGCCAACACACATCAACAAAGAAAGGTTATAACATGTGTTATTATTAGAACTAAATGAATTGAATGTTTTGTTTGTTATTTATAATATCAAACATCTTTTGCTAATCTCATATCAAATATAGAATGTAAAGTCAAAATCACAATCCTTTGGTACATATGATAATCAATATTTTAATCCATTTCAAAGTGCAACTAATTACAAATAAATTGATATTAAAAAATAGTCAAAATATATTATTTATTTATTATAAAAATCAATCATTTACAAAAATGTAATTTTTTTAATAATTAATTAAACCATTCACTTTAATTAAAAATAGAAATACATATTTTGTTTTTCATGGCAGTTAATAAACCAGTTTAAAAATGTCTAAATAATATCACTTGAATATGTTATCACAATATCATAAAGACACAATCTAAAGTTATATTTAAACTGTCTATTATTATTAATTTGTTTGATTTTACATAAAGTATAAAGGAGGTTGACAGATATGGATTCTTTTTTAGAATTACACATGACCATCAAAAAATGAAGTGGATTGGTTAATTAATTAATTAATTGTAAGCTGTAAATAATTAGGAGATACACCCACTATTGTATATTTTTAATCTTATAGATTTCAAACAGTGAAATTGAGTTGACCAATTCGTTTTTTGTTTAGTGGTATTTTCATTGACAAATTGATATTTGATTTTGTGAATGATGTGCAAATAATTAGAAATAACGATTTTATTCAAAAGAAAAATTTTTTCTTTATTTTATTTTGGGTAATAATCAAATAAAAAAATTGATTCACTAACTTTGTCAAATTGTTAATCAATCTAAACAATTTTTGTTTATTAAATGAAAAATAATGATAATTATTAATATTATAGTTATTTAATTATTAAAGTGTTAAATATAATATTTCATTCAATAACAAATGATTAAAAACAGTGTTTTCACATTTGTCAAGTCATTTTTTTGATTAGTTATTATAAAAAAAAATAATTTTTATATTAAAAAGTTTAATTTTTAATTTAAAATTTTTACTTAAAAAACAACAGAAATAAAGCCCGACACTTGAAAAACAGAAACAATTCGATCTTTGCTTAAAATAAAGGATTTAAACCACCGCAATTCGATGTTCTTTCGCACTCCCGACAATTAAAATTGAATTATTGAAAGCAAAAACAAAACGGTTTGAACGGTATAAAAATAATCAAACTCACTAGAAAGGTAAAATGAGGTATTCGATAGGTGTGAACAGACTTTACAACCCACTTAATACAAGTCCATTAAAAAGACCAACAAAAAAAGTGTCACAGACTACAAGTCCCGTCTCTTCTTGTGTTAATATCACAACCCTTCCTCCTATAATACCAACTCGTTTATACGAGAAATCTACAGAACAAACAGTAAGGTCGTTTCTTTTTGTTGAAATATCTCCTTTACTTGACAAGTACTTTGACTTAGTTTGTTGATCTTTATTTTTTGTATTAAATACGACTTGAATTAACACAAAGATAGACTCGAAAAAAGCGAATCATTCCAGACCCAATGTATTATACAATTTTTACAGTGTTCGTGGTCGTCTTGTTGATTTGATGCTATATTTTGCACAAAAAGATGTCAACACATTTTCTAAAGATGATTTGTTCACCACAAGCACACCATTTACTGATTTGTTTGATATTTTACTTGAAGAAGAAGGTAACGAAGTGCTTCGTGCAACATCATCTCCAATAGTCGATGACGTCAATATCAGTGACAATGGAGACGAGATAAGTAACAGGTATGTCTATCTACTCACCAAATATGTCCCTTTGATAAAAGAATCCATTCGGGGTGTTGTCCGGAGTGTAGCTGAAATAGTTTATAACAAGTATGGTGAAGAGATGGGGCATACAGCAATAGTCCGTCTCATTTTCGAGAGGTATTTATTTGTTCCAATATCCAATTCAACTCGTCACATCACCGCATTCTATAAATTGTTGAGTGATGGTTTCTTTGGAAATGTTGGAAAAGCAACTGGACAAATGGGAAATGCAGTGGATTATACAATTGGAATTGTTTTGAGCACCCCTCCACACTATCAATCTCCTTATATCATCTCAAGACATGAAGAAACATTAGAACAACTTTGTGAAGTTATAAAGGAAGATGCTTCATTACTTCGAGTTGGGTTTAAAGGTGATTTTGATATAGTCTTTGACACTGTTAGAAAAAGAAAAGAAGGCAACATCGACTTACTTGTCGCTTCAAATGAATTACAAGAGTGGAGATCACAAAGACTTGATCGAAAGTGTTATGCAAATATGTTCTTGAAAGAGCAAGTTAAAAAGGCTTTACAAATTAATGACTTTCTCAGAATGAAAATTTTGCAGTTAAAGAATGGGGTCTTCTGATTTTAAAATCAATTTTGAAAATGGTACTCAAGCCGAAAAATGTTTGAACGCAACAATATAAATATCTTTTATAAGTAACAAATGAAACGTATTTTTAATTTTTTTAATTTTTATAAACTTTAATTCATTATAAGCACTTTAAACTATATTTTATTATAAACAACTATTATTGATTTGTTTAATTAAAAATGTAAAAAGATATAAATAGAATACCAAGTCATCAAATCATTTTTACAACACAAATTCTGTAAGCATAAAATACTCGATCGGTTGGAAGGAGAACATAAGGTGGGTTGTCTGTGTAGTCTGGGATGCAACAGCTTTTGTTTCTAAAATCTTTTTTATATACAAGAATCTCACCAAACGCAAATGCACAGAGTTCGTCTTCATCGTTCCCAAAGACATAAAAAGCGTGTTCGTGTCCATTCATAGTGATTTCTATTGGTTTCAATCCTTGTGAAAGTTTGTATTTCAACATAAATATAAAAGCATCCTCGTCACGAACCCATGCAGATTGTTGATGAAATGGCTTGGACACAAAAGCCCCAAATTTATTTCCAGTTCCATCTGTAATAATGTAAAGAAGGTTGGAAATGCCATACAATTTTGAAGCAAATACAGATTTATTAATGGACCAATCATCTGTTGTTGAGTCAAATAGAACTTGCCCTATTTTCAATCCACACCAGTTCTCTACTCTCTCCGCTTCCATTAAGTCCAGAATTGCATCTGTACAACGTGGTTCTCTCAGATTAACACAGTCTGATCGATTTTGAGGAAATATTGGTGGTATTGGGGTTACAACGTTCTGCCCAAGTCCAAGACCAATACTGTATTTTTTCATTAATGGTTTATTTGTTCAGTTCTTTTTAAGGCAACCTTGTATATTATCAAATAAATACTGGTTTGTAAAGTTTATAACAGTTTTACTTTGATGTTGTGAAAGTTAAATTGTGGCTTATACTGCGACCAATCTTATTAATCCACTCGCTTTTAAAGGAAACAAAGATATTTTTATATTTTTATTGGTTTGTTAAAAGAAACGATGTAAAGTTTTAAATGATTTAACAAATCAGTCGTGAATAACTGAAATGTTCTAAATTTTTGCAAAAATAAGCACCTTTTTCAAAGCGACCTAACAATTAGGTTATGTTGTTGAAAAACAACAATAACAATATGTATATGGTAAGGTTAAACATACAAAATATTAACGTATATAGAATAAAAGGTATTTGTTGTTATTTCTATTTTTGAATGTAGTATGAAAGTTGTAATAACCCAAATATAAAGCATTTTAAAACAAAAGAATTAATTGCATCTGATGAAATCTTTGATATACTCAACAAAGTCCGTGAAGTTAAGTGAGTTGTTCCCGTTCTTGAACGCCATTTGCATCACACGCGTCCGCATTTGTTGTGAGACGCTCTTTGTACCACTTTTGTTGTCTGTTACTTTGTCAAGGTCTGCAACACTAATAAACCCACTCTGCTTTGTATCAAAGACGTCAAACAATAGGCGAATGACACAAACAATTTTGTCCACCCCAAAATCATTTGGAGTGTGCTTAGCAATGATTTCAAACTCGTGGCGATTCAGTTTTCGATCACGAGCATCAAAAAGCCCAACACCGTCCGCCGCACGGAGGATCAAAGTATAGACCTTCTCAATATCACTGCCGGCAATTGAACCAACTATCCCACGCATTCCAATTACAAATTCATCCGGCTCTATATATCCACTTTTGTTCTTGTCAAAAACATCAAACATGTCAATCCTCAGAGCCATATCTTGCTATTTTTGAGTTTTGATTTGTCAACACCAACATTTTGTTGTAACAACTCTCTTTCCCCATTACCAACCAATTAAATGCGCTTTCATTTTTATACAGTAGGAGGAAATATGGGGATGCTCGAAAAAGGAGGATGCTCGTAACTATTGGTTAATTTCAACTGAAAAATAATAAAATTACTATTAATTTTAATATAAATTATTAATCAAAAAATTAATAAAATGAAAAACCCAAATAAAATTATATTAGTTATTTATTATTAATAATATTAAATTAATTAATATTAAGATGAGCATCTTCTTTTTCTCAGCATCCCACTTTTTCCATTAACTGTAATAAAACTATAAACATGTGGTACAATTGCTTTAACCTTAGGATTGCGGATGAATAACAAAACTAAAACAAAATACCAAAAATCTCAGAATGGCACCCTTGTTATTTTTATTACATTTCCTAAATTCGAAAAAAAAATAAAAAAAACTAAAATCGTATCATTAAATTAATAATATCAACACATCATTTGAAATATAAACAAGTTTGAATTGCATGTCAGAACAATACAAATCAATTTTTGATATCGTAAAGTCTCAATTTACGAGAATTTGTTAACAATGAATCACACTTGATTTTTTAAGTTTTTTTTGTTTTTTTTTCATATTTTTCATATGGTTTAAAAATAAATGTTATTTTAATTACTCTACCGACATTGTAAGGTTAAATAACATCAAAGAATATTGCAACAAAAAGATCTCCAGATCTTAATTTAATCTTCATTATAAACTTTTTAAAAAAGTCTTATCTAATAATAAAATTATAACATTATTATATAGTACATTTATAGTAAATGAGATAGTACTTGAAAATGCACACAAACAATAAAGAGCACTGTGCCATACCTCAACTATTGTTTCCATGTTACGCGGGAAATTGTTTAAATGACGGGATAACGCCATTTCAAATTGTAGATCTGGCAGATCTGCCGATCTGTGACTTGATTATTTGAGTCGACAACGCGTGCACACTACTTTTATTCTGCCGGATCGAATGGTTCCCTTGATTATACCATGTTATATTGTATTGGTATAGTTTTGTTTTGGTTTTTTTTCAAAGTGCGGTGGTTGCGGCAGACGCGGCGTTGCATTCCAAGATGGCGCACCCAATATAGCTGACACGTATGGCGGTTCTCTATTTATAGTATAGTTATAGACTATGGTATTCTGTACCAACACGTATGGTACATTGAAATGTTCACAAAACAGCACGGCGTTCTGTGCTCGTTGGTAGCAATGTACCATATCATCACGTAATGTATAGTATAGTTACTAGTAAAAAATGATATTGAGTTGTATTTGCGTGGTGTTGATTTTGAGTTTTCTATTTTGTCCAAAAGTGGCATCACACAAATGCAAATACGCACAATGTTGGGCATTTAGCGCGTATTTGGTCTAAAAAACAGCATCACAAGACGCGCCTGCCGATGATGTATGAAATAATCCGGTTATTACCATGGCAGTCAGCACAGTAATGGGACAATCTATACTGAGTGGTACAGCTTACAATACACAATGATACTGCAATTGTGCTGCACATTTTAGAACGCGGCATTTTGTTATTGACTCCCCACAAGTCCCGATGTGACGGTACGTGTGTGAGCACCACAATTTATATATCGATTGTTGCGTTATTTGACAAGAAACGGCACAAGAGAACAATGTCAGCGCGTGGTTCCACGTTGTGTGTAGCAAAGAATGAAAGCACGGACTATATAAGGGGTGCTATTCAGCATCACAACCAATGGACAAGAAGGCTAAAGCAGCAGCACCAGCAACAGAAGGCGGCAAGAAACCAATGGAAAAGGGTGTTCACAAACCACACGAAAAGACCAAGAAAGTCCCTAAACAAAGCGTTCATGGCTTTGCTCATGGAAAGGGCGCCAAGAAGGCAGCAAAAGAAGCTGAACAGTAGTACACACAGCCTTTCAAGTTGTACCATTTAATCGACTTCACTTTAAATCGTGTTTTTTTGAAAACTACTTGTTTTTATATCATTACTTTATCATATCTTATTTTAAAATAATTGTGTTCATTTTGTAAATATTAATAAAAAATAATACCAAATTATTCATTTCAAATTATTTATCGAACATAGAAAATAATTATAAATTCTAAAAATGAATGAAAATATTACCTTTCAACTAATGAAAGGTAATATTGTATATTTTGAAATGATGTTGTTAAAAATTTTTAGATTTTAAATTTTTGGAATATTTGAATTATAAAGTGTATATATCATTCGAAATTTGTTATTACAACAACTTTGAAGAATTAATATTGATTGTTTAAACATTGAATGAAATATTTGCTAAAGGTAAATTATGATAATATTATAAGGTGTTAATTCCATTTTTTATTTACAAAAAAATTAAAATCTATTATATGACACAAACAAAATATACATTCTTTTGGTTGTCATATTTTATAATTTAGTCGTGTGTTTATTGATGCTTTTAATAATTGCTTTTGTATTTGTAACAAATGAGAAACAGCTCAAACTTTTTATTTATATTTTTAAAAAGTAATATTTATTTGTAACTTTTGATAATTTAAAATTGAATTATAAACACCGCGCCAATCAATATTGTGAAGTTGTTAAGTGGTCAATTTTCAATTTTTCAAAATCACCACAACCATATTTACGAATTGGCATTACGCTCCACGTGCCGCCACGTCATAACTATAAATAATTAATTGTAATATGAAATGTTTTTTTATTTTATGAACTGAAACAACATTTCTTCACCTCTTTTGATGTTTTGATACGTTTTTTGGAATACCAAATCCACAAACCACCACTTCTTCTTCATTTTTATAACAAACTTATTATTCATAAACGTTACATAATTATTGATGTTAAAACACTTTTTGAATTTTTATTAAAAAACATAATTAAGGAATAATCCAGACTAAAATCCCGTAATGTGATACACTAATTGGCCATTTTAATTTTGCTTTGTTTCAATACTATAAAAAATTGTTTTTATTTTTTGTTTTTTGCATGAAAGAAAATGTAAATGGATCTTCGTCAATAATGAATTAATTTATATTTATTATATTTTTTTATTATATTTTTTTTTCAAAATGAGTATCATATTACTAATATAAATTAATAATATTTTTAGTATAAATTATAATAAAGAATTTATAATTCCACAAAAAGCAAATAGATTATTCAATAAAAAATTTGTGAATTTGACTCGCAATTTGATAAATTAAAAACTCGAAGAACATTACATTTGTAATTGTTCGTTTCAATTTTAAGTATTATAATGCCATTTAATCGGGAAATCGGTAACCTTCAATAATAATGGATTTGGTTTTGATTCGCTGAATTATTATTGACCAAATTATTAGTTTCAACCACCAGTTACTTTTCGGGACTAATCCCTTAATAATTTTTAAAACGAAGAAATAATGTGAAAAGTGACTCAATTGAAAAAGTGTGTTAATGTATTAATAAAACAAAACTTCCAAACTTTAAAATTTTTTCAAAAAACAATTAAAAAACGTCCTGTATTTTTATCAATCGTTCGGATTGCCCAATCTTTTGCAACTTCTGGTGTTTTTGTTATTAAATTACTTCACCAAAAGTGATGTTTTCAAAATAATTTTAAAAACCCATTTTTGCTGCATTTTCTGTATAATTTAAAAAGCAAACAATTCACTCATATTCCAAATACTCAATGGGAAACACTTCAACCACGTCGTCTGCTCGTTCAACACCAATACCCAAAATGCACAGAAAACACGTCAAAGACTATGATTTGTCACCACAACAAATGTTTTATAAAGTCGACACAATGACTCCAGACTCAATTGAACTAGAAACACAACTCTCTCCGTCTCTTGAAATAAAAGGCAAAACCTACAACAGATCAAAGTCAGACCACTTTCTTGTCAAAAGAGCCAAAAAAGCAAAACTATTGAGAGCATTTTCTAAAGGAACAACACCTCATTCACACAAAAAACAAGAAACTGCCTGCCAATTTGTAGAAGACTTGGAAGACTATGAAACTACCCTTTTTAACAGAGAAAAAGATTTTATGACAGAAATCATTAAAGAGACTGGTAACACTCAGTCAAATATCATTTTTGACTCAAGACTCTCTGGAATGGACCAAAGAGAATTGAAAGCTCAAATAGTTGGCAATGAAAAATTGATATTCCTCTTTGTCTCAAAAACAGGAGAAATTTTTGGGTTCTACCAAAACGATTTGGTGTGTCCACAGAGCAACCAAAATGTACTCAACGCGACGTCAGACAACTTCGTGTTATTTGGAAGACCAAATCCATGGGAAGGACCCGTTTTTATCACAAGAAAAGAGGAGAAAATGAATGAAAAGAAGACATTTGTTATTCACCAAGATACCCATGGGATGCTCCTATCTTGTTTTTCTGCTTTTTGGATTGAGACAAACGGGAATGTAAACTTCAACATGTGCGCCAAAAATTATTACAAAATCCCACAGACATCCACAAACCCACTCACTGGAAAACCAAACTCAGAAAAAATCGTGTGTGAAAGAATTGCTGTGTTAAAATGTTTTTAATTGTTTGAATTGTTATTTGTCGTGTTTTTTAATTTCTTTGAGAACTTTTTGAACTTGAATTGTTAATTTCCAATAAAATAAAAAATAACTCGACCTCATATTAATTGGTTTATTTAAAATTTAAAACTGAAATAATAATAAGTTATTAAAAGTTGGATGAAAAGACTTGACGTGTTTTCAATGCAAATTGTCACAAAATACTTAGTAAATTCCACTGACTTTATTAATGTTGTTTGTGTGTCCAAAAAGTATCAATACGTGCTTGATAGAATCAGAATCAACCCAATACAGATAACACCAAATAACATGAAATTATTCCCAAATATCCAAACACTGAATTTGTTTTCTCCATTCGATATTCAACTCACAAACACAACAATCGAACGACTCCAATTTTCTTATCCTATTTCTTACGACAAATATTTGGAAGAGAAGAAACGTTTTAATATTTGTCATTTTGTGAAATACACAAAAACAGACAGAGAAAAGTATGGCAACACGATCCCTCAAAATGTGTATTGTATCGACAACAACTGTTTTGAAGATTGCGAACAACAAGTGATAAAGATCCCATATAGTGTCCGAGTTATTTTAGATAATTCTTTTAAATACGCACACATCCGAGAAATATACATACCTAACTCGGTAACATTTCTTGGTGATAACGCGTTTGATGGATGCACTAATTTAACACATGTGGCACTTCCATTTTCACTCAAATACATCCCTCCGCTTACTTTCAACAGATGCGTGTCTTTAAATAAAGTTGACATACCGTCATCTATCACTGGGTTTGGTTGTGAATGTTTTGGTCGGGGTTGTGGAATAGAGTCCATCGTCGTCACACCAAATATTTGTGTTTCATTTGATGCATTTGAATACTCCAATTTGAATCACATCGAATTTGTTGGGCAATCAATCATAGCAGATAATGTGTGCAACCACTGTTTGTTATTGAAAAGTGTAAAAATGGACACCACCGTGAAGATTATTGGAAGTTACTCCTTTTATCAATGTGAAAAACTTGAAGAAATTGATGTCCCGTCATCACTTCAAATCATCGAAAATTCCGCTTTTAGAAATTGCACTTCTTTACGTAGATTTGTAATTCCACAAGGGCTATTGTATATTGATTCATTAGTATTTTGTAATTGCTCCAGTTTGGAAGAACTGAATTTTAAAGAAAGCACCAAGTTTTGTGGTATTGATACGTTAACCAATTGCACTAAATTAAGTGCACTGACACTTCCAAATTTCAACGGTAAATTGACATTTGCGATCAATAAAGACGAAGAGCAAATAGTTAATAAATTTGGGTATACTGCACTTGATGTTGTTATTGATGTTGATGACGAATGTCCTCCAAATTACACCAACGAAGAAGATAAAATTGCAGACGAGAAATTACATGAAGTGAAAACCAATTCAAATTGCAATGAAGTTGTGTTGTACAACCTCGAACAATGTAAAGTGTTTGATTTTCATGAGGCAGAAAAAATTGATGGGGAATTTTTCCAATATAATGATTATCTCCAAACGGTGTATTACCCATCAACACTTGTGGACTTTAATTTGAGAAGCATTTATAATGAGGCACAAAACCCCGTTGAAATCTCAGAGAATTGTTGCATTAATATGTACAAATATTTTTCTTATGATACAACTCATAACTTTGTGTTTCCGACATCCATCACCAAAATTGGAAAACACAGCATTTGGTATGGAGTTGAAAATACATTTATAGTACCAAGTACTGTTGTTGAAATAGGCAAGAACACGTTCAGTGAATATAATTATCTTGAAGAACTTGTCATACCAAGCAGTGTCACCAAAATAGGGAAAGGGTTTGTAAGTGGATGTAGCTTGTTGACAAGTCTTGTGTGTGAAAATGGCACCTCGTTTGATTTAAAAAATATCACAGAAAGTGACGATATCATTGTACAAAAGTTGACAGAAAATACTACATTGACCAAATTAGTTATTCCAAATGGAGTCACTTATGTGTATAATTATATTTCTAAACTCGTTGATTTAAAAGAACTTTCACTACCTTCGACACTGAAAAAAGCAGACAAATACCTGTTTTTTTATAACAAAAAGTTGACCAAAATAGAAACAAATGGAGTGGATAGAGACATTTTCGTTGTGAGTTACGAGTGCCATTTACGACTGAAAGCTCTTGGTTTCAATTTTAACAATATTAAATTAACAGAAGGTGACATGAAAGAGTTTGGGTATATCTGGGATCCACAATTGTGTTGGCAAGACAAAAGGTTTGTTGAGCTTCAAATGGAGAAAATGCAAGTTACACACACCATTGACACATCAAACGAACACCACCTCAGATACTTAAAATACTCTGCTGATGTGAAAATTGCGACTTGTTACAACAAGTGCGTGAAAATGAGTGACAATGTCAAGTTATATCCACGCATGTTTGTCGACTGGGTAAACCTCACAAGTGTCATTCTACCAAACAATGTGGTTAAAATCCCGTATAGTTGTTTTGTTAATTGTTTCAGTATGAAAACAATTGAATTGCCCACAAGTGTTACAAAAATATCTGAGCGTTGTTTCGAAGGGTGTGTTTTGTTGACATCCATTTCTTGTAACACAAATGTCATTCTTGGAAACAAGTGTTTTTGTTCATGTGATAGTCTAGTTAGTATTCCACAGACAAAATACTTCAGAAATTCTGTCTTTGAACGGTGTACCTCATTATCTGAAATTGCACTCTTTGATGGACTTGAGACAATCCCACATTGTGCCTTCTTTAGGTGTTATAAATTGAGTAAAATACGTATACCAACTTCAGTCACGTGTATTGGTAAATTTGCATTCAAAAATTGTATATCTTTGACATCATTTAATTCTGCAAATGTGTTACTTGTCGAAGATGGTTGTTTTATGAACTGTGAGAAACTGAAAACTGTCTATTTCAATCAAAAGAATGTTCAAATTAATTTTGACGTTTTTTCTGAATGTACTTCGCTTCAAGAAATACAAATAGGCAATGCGTCTATCACACATTGCGACTTTGAAGTGAGTTTTACAACAAGGAAATACTTCTTCGATAAAATTGGTGTTGTGTGTAATAATGTCGTTTTAACACGACGAGACGTCGACGCATTTGGTCTGTCAACGCTCAACGAAACGTGTATACACCGTGTGGACGAAGGGTGTTTCTTCAACAACAGAAGTCTAACAAAAATCATATTCCCTTCTCATATTAAGTCTGTTGGATATTACAGTTGCTTTAGTTGTGTCAACTTAAAAGAAGTTGTTTTACCTGAAGGTATCACAGAAATCCCAGCACATATGTTTGACTTGTGCACATCACTCAGTTCCATAATTATACCAACAAGTGTTACAAAGTTTGGAACAAATTGCTTTTTCTCTTGCGACTTACTCCGTGATAACCCATCAATCCCCAAAGAGGCTTTTGATTATGGAAAAGCCCACAAATTAGGCTCTAACAATTTAGATTAATTCAATTAATTATTATACTATTTAATTACAATATAACAAATATTGTGTTATATTGGAATGTAATTGCTTCACATTTACATTGTAAATAGTAATTGTATTCCCAGTAACCATTTTTATTATTATTATTTATTAGTACTATTTATATAAGAAATGTTCACGATAGTGAAATGATAAGAAAAACGGATGAATAAAAAGAGTGTTATTTGCTTGTGATGAGTTTGACGAAAGCCTCGACGTTAATGAACCCATCCTCGACTCCAATTTCTTTCAACAAATCGTCGACCTCTTGTTCACTAAGTTTCTCTCCAAGAGTAGTCAACACGTGTTTGAGTTCTGAAGCGGAGATAAAGCCGTTACGTTCCTTATCGAAGATCTCAAAAGCTTTCTTGATGTCTTCAGTTGAGTCTACTTCTTGTCCATAGTCCAACATGATATTCAAGAAAGTCGCCTGATCAAATTTGCCACTGTTTTCCTTATCAAACTGTTTGACAATTTCACTAATTTTTAACATGGTAGGGTTTGCACCTAAAGCACGCATCACAGTCCCTAACTCCTCGGCCGTTATTTTGCCGTCGTTGTCCTTGTCGAACAACTGAAACGCCTCTTTGTACTCTTGCTGCTGCTCCACAGTTAATTCCTTCTTGTCAGTCATTGCCATTTTAAAGTTCTACCGTTGAAAAAACAATTTCTTCTTGAAAAACAAAAATGTTTTTTGATAACATTTTGTCATATTTGTTGAGTTATTAAGTGTACTATATTCTATAATTATTTTACTATAAAATTATTGTAAAATAAATTGTTCCATAAATAGAATAATTGCTGAATGTATAGTATTAATTAATAGTAAATATATTATAATTTGTGATATCTAGTAAAAGTAGAAGAAGAGTCGGATGACGAACGAACTATGTTCTATAAATTAGTACAAGAAGTGTAAGATTATACCAAAACGCCTTTTCTTTCTTCAAATAAATGAAAAGTGTTTGTGCTAATGTATTAGGAGTGTGTTTTATTCTTACTTGGTTAACAGTATTACTGTTTTGTAGTTCACTTTGCGTGGACTTGCTGAGATGACAATTTGAAGAAGGCAGTGTCTCTTACCGCACCACAACTACTGTTTGATTTGTACTGAAACGCTGTGGTGTTGAAGTTCTACCAACACGAGTCGGGAGGGTTTAGTCGAAAGTCAACACAAGTTTGTTCCCTTCAAATGTTATTCAAAATGTTTTTACGTGTTTGGACTCTTTTTTTGCAATAACAATTTTTATCCCACATTTGTTTTCTCTTTTTGTGGTGTCCGTGATTTCGGGAAACCAGGAACTGTTGATTTGGTCAAACAGAGCTTCCCCATCCCCCACAAATCGGACACATTGGGGCGGATTTCTATCTTCTGAAAAGATAAAATAAAAAGACAGAACTCTAAAAGAATGTTCTAAATATGCTTCTTTCCATAAATTGTCGAGATAGTTAGATTTTTCTAATAAAGCGATGGTAAAATTTCTATAAATGAAATGAGACAAAGGCCCAATTAAACTTGAGGCAGGGTATTTTTAGGGTATAAAACTCAGTTTCCCCCGAACTGAGTTCAGGAATTGTTCTAAAAATGGGAAGGAATAAGATTAAAATAGAAAGGATAGAGAGTGAGAGAAAAAGAACGGCCACGTACACAAAGCGGAGCCACGGGTTGATCAAGAAGGCGATGGAATTGTCCATTCTTTGTGACTGTGAAGTCTCTCTTTTCATCTTTGCCAACGACAAATTAGTCGTTTATTCATCTAAAGACGTTAAGGACACACTCATCAAGTTCGTTGAGTTCAAGTCTAACTACTTCTCGTATTCGAACGCAGACTATCCGGCTATTTGCCATTCAACAAGCATCCCTGAAGACTTGTCGGAACAAAGAGCAGTGGGTGCTAATGGAATGGGTGATGGAATGGCTAAAGACGTAATGGCCGCAGACAAAGGAAATACTTCTGGTAATCCACAACGACCACCAGTGCCGCAGTCACAAGTCGCTCAAGGAAGTATCCTCCCTCCTCCTCAACATGTCCCGATACCAGCAGATTTCTATGATAATAACGATCGAAGGAATTCACAGTACATGTATGACCAGCAGAGGGTAGTCCCGCCTCAAGGCGATTTATTGCCACCGGATTATCACCCCGGAGACCCCTCATTCAGTTATCCGCCAATGTATAGAGGACCTGGTGCTTACCCACCGATGGGAAATTACCAACAACAGCAACAAGTGTATAAAGGAGACTCAAAATTCAAGCCGGTAGACGCAAAACGCCCCGATAGCGTGCCTGATGACGGTCAGGGTATGGGCCAGATTAAGAAACCACCTGAGGCGTGATGCTTATGTTCACAATTTAATTCATTTGTTATGATCGTGTTGAGCGGGTTATCGTCATTTGTTGTGAGTAAGTGGTAAAATTCATTGGGTTATTTTTATGGAAGAGTCTGAATGTGAAAGAGGAAATCCATTTTTGTTGGAGAGAACTCCTATACTTGATAGTATCATAAATTATAGAATTACTACGCACCATCGTATTTTGATATTTGGAGAACTCTATAAAAGAAAACAATAAAATTGCCCAATGAGTTTTGAATATTTAGAACGTTATCCGAATTTAATTTGGAGACATCACTATAAAGTTACATCATTACAAAGTATATTTTTTCTTTTGAAAACGAAGAAAAGAGGAGTTATAAAGTGGAGAGTGGTGGGAAAGAACATGAGAATGGGGTGCAAACAAGGTATGTGAGTTTTTTTGATTGTTTAATTGAATCAAAGAAAGAGAGATCATATATCTAGTTGAGGCATTTTGATATCTTCATCAAATTAATATATATATTTAAAATCATTTAAAAACATAATTAAAAACAATAGTGTGGAACAAGAAGAAAGTGTGTTTCAAGACTAAATTTGACAAATGTCATGAATATATGTCAAAATGGGAAGTATGAACCAAAAAACAAACATTCTGAAACAACTCTGAAGCCAAATAGTCAAATCTCTGAACATAACAAAACTTCATTTTACTTGTTTGCAGAAAAAAATAAAATGCGGGAAATAAGAAGTAGTTGCCAAATGTTGTTTTATAATAGTGATTGATAAGAAACAAAATATAGGTTGTTGACAATACAACAACTTTGTATTGTCAAATAAATTATTGTGTAACATTTTCGATCTTTCATTTTTATATTAGTTATAATTTTACTATTAAAAGGGGATTTTTCAGTAGTTGGATTTTCTTGTGTAATAAATGATAGGGGTAAGAGTGGTAATGGAATTTCTTAGAAAACATCATAGAGTACAAGTGTTAACTGGGTTTCCCGATGTTATTGACAAAAAAATACTCAAAAATTTGAAAAATGACTAAAAAACTCTTTTGTTATTGCCACGTTAAAAAATAGCCTCAAAATAGTCTCATATTTTATCTTTTGTTTTCGTAAAAGGAAAAAAAGTTTGTAAGGCTTTTGAAGTGCTTTGATTTGAAGTTCTGATATTTGGAAGTGGGTTCTCAGAAGCAAAAATAGACTTCCCAGAACAAATGGAAAAAATTCGTGTTTTGAGGTGAAACACTGAAAGGTGGATGCGAGCAAAAGAACCAAAAATGGAATACAGGTGTGGAGTGCCCATAGTTTTCAATACCGAAAACGTCAAACACACTTGAGACGACAACCCCCTATAAAAAGAAATCTTCTTGTCCAACTTCAAATCATAATGGCAGGAAGCGCATTTGAAGTCCGATTTCGGCTTGTGCAAGATGCTCACAATGTTTTCTCAATATGTAAAGAGACTTGTGAAGCCAAAAGAGTCCGCAACATTTGTTGTGCAAAACGCGAGTCTAAGAACAGAGATGCAGCTCAACAGTCCTTTTTAGTCGGGGCTTTAATTGCTTTTGGTTATGAAGTCTCGATTAACAGATTATACAAAAGAGGGAACCTAACGTTTCAAATGTTCACCATACCTAACATTAGAAAAAATGGTGTGAAAGTTTTTGATGCAGACCACCTTGGATTTGAATATAAAACACTCAAGGAGAAGAGACAAATCCTCGACGCTATTACAAACAACACAATGGTGTACCTTCTCGAACAAAACAGGTGTTATTTTGAAGAAAGAAAGACAAGAAAAATAACACGAGATGATGGCATTTCAATGAAGAGACTGAACTCCGCTATAATTAATGGAAGGCATTTCGATTTGAAACAAATCAACGAAGCCGGGTGCCACTTCAATCAGACGATTCGAACTAAAATCACCACCAAAGAAGGGATGACCATTAAACCTTTTGATTCTTCCTTTGAAACCTCTTCAACATTTTCCAAGAGCGAATCGTTCTAACTATTTATTTGATTATTTGTTATTCTTTTTAGTTTTACTTCAATTTTAAGTTGTGCGTCAAAGTGTACGTGGAAATTTTAAATTGGTATAAATAAAATTCAATTCCATATATTAATTTTACCATCCCACCCACAAGACACACACTGATTACCAATGACAGGATTCCATGCAACATCAGCGACAGTCCCATTGTGAGCCTTTGTATAGCATTTTAATACCTTCCCCTTCTTCCAATCCCACATGAAGATCTTCCCATTAGCATCCCCAGACACAACAAATTGACCGTCACTCGAAAATGAAGGGCGGCAGGACCAAGCACCACAGTAATGCCCGCGAAACACTCTTCCAGCCATCATCCTAAACGGATCACCTCTGAAAGAGACTATCGAGTTATTCATGGACTGCCCAAGAACATACTTTCCTTTGTAATCTGTAAGACAGGATATGGTCTCTACAGAAGGGTCTTGAACACTCTTTGTCACAGAACCACTCCCATAGTCAAAATATCTTACGACACGATCTTCACAAGAACACATAATCCCCTTTCCACAGGAAGCCACGTCAAGGGGAATTGAACTGACAACGTACTCATCGACGTGTGTTGGCACACGTTGGTCGTATTGATATATACGTTCATTGACACAGCCAGCAAAGATCTTGTCATCACAAATTGCCATGTTTTTATATGCCAATTTCTCTGCAGTCAGATCTGGAAGAACAGAAAACCCACACGATATCTTTTGCGCATTCAAATCCCATACTTTCAAAGTTCCATCTAAAGAAACAGTCACTACAGTGTTGTCGGAGAAAGAGAGTCGCGGAATGGTGGAGTGGTGGCCCAATAAACTTGCAACCAATTTTCGAGAAGAAATGGAGTATATGTATGCAACGCCATCACTCCCCCCACACGCCACCAAATCGCCACTTTTGTGAACAGAAATTGTAGTTAAAGTTTTGCATGGAGTTGCGATTGCGTGTTGACATTTCTTTGGTATTTCGCACTCAATTTTCTTGTCTATTTTGTCCTTTTTCTCCTCTTGAAAGTTAAAAAGGTCGTGCTGTATAGTTTTGAAGGTCCCGCTTGTGGGGGATGTCTCTTTCGCATATTCTTCAATCATTTTTTTCGTGGACTCTTTCTGTTTTTCTCTTTTCTCGTGTTCTTCTGCAAGGAGTTTATTGATTTCATCTTGTGAAAGAGGTGATGAAGAGTCGGGCAATTTCGTCTTCTTAATTTTTTGTTGTTGTCGGAAGGATTTTTTAAAAACTTTTTCAAAATCGTCGTCAGTGATTTCGGTCGCACTCGACTTCATCTCTTTCAAAGTTTTCTTTTCATTTTCTAGCAAAATTTTATAATAATAAAAATTATTATTATAATTAAATAAATAATAAACTATAATAATTCAATCCAAAGTATAAAGTATAGTAAAAATCTCTATTTATAATCGATGGACACAAGCACCTCATCCCGCTCGACTAATCGCTATGTGTACAGCAACGCAACACAAAGTGTTCGTATGACGATGAGCAAGAGCAAACAGACATTCGCGACAATCAACACCCGTACAACTGGTGTCAGTCGTCGTTCAAAACTTTCTTCAGGGCGGATCGACCCCATTCAAACAGACGAGGACTTCGAAGACATCAACGAGTTCCCCAAAAATAGAATCATATTTTTGGTCTCCGTCATTTTCCCTTTTGTCGGTTATTATGGACTTTTTGCACTAACAACAAACAACAGAAGGGAGAGATTGTGGGCAATTGCTATGGTCGCCTATGCTATATTGATGACCCTTATCTTCGCTGCGTTCATCGCCATTTTTGTCAGTCTTTATTAATTCTATTTATATAGTTTTTCTTTGATTATTTTACTATAACAAATAGTTTATTTTATCAACAACACATTAAAAAAGTTATACTATATTAATTACTATTTAATTATAATTATAGTATAAAACTATTAGATAATTAATAGTAAATTAATTATAATGTATTAGTAAAAGAACAACCCTAAAGACTCAATTGAATACAAACACGCGAAGCGAATCAATTAGTTTTCTGGGACTTCGATCTTACCAGCCTTGATGTCAGCAATGACTTCTCTTGGTGATCTAGAGTCGACTTGGCAACCACATGAGACGGCGGTTCCGAGGATTTCACAGACGGTTCCTGAGAAGTTCTTAGCAAGAGATCTTGGTCTCATGGTTCTGGCAATTTCGTAGACATCGTCCATAGAGATGGAGCCAGAGTGAACGGTTGGGACACCTTTGTTCTTCTTTCTGTCCTTTGGTGGCTCCTTAAGAGCTTTCAAGATAAGAGCAGAAGCAGATGGGATAACTTCGTAAGTGGCGACTCTGTTAATGACAGTGATTCTGACAGTCACTCTCAAGCCTTTCCATGCAAGGGTTGACTTAGCAAGATCATCAGCAGTCTTCTTTGGGTTAAGACCCAATGGACCAACTTTTGGACCAAGGGAAGCACCGGCGGCGGCATCACCAGCAAGGACTTTCACGACAACTAAATGTGAGTAATTATGTTAGAAAGATATTTATCGACCTTTTCCAGTTTTTTAAGCTGTGGATGACAAACGCTCTTTCTTTTGATTTGGATCGGCTTTAGGTGGCATTTCACTTCCCTTGACAGTTCAGTTCTTGGCCCATTTATATAAGCGGAAAAATTCAAGGGTTTCATTGATAGTATATTCATATTAGTATTTATTATACTTATATGAGGCCATTGTTTTAACTAAATTTTATAATAATAATTTAGTTTAATTATCATTATTCTTTATTTATATATTATTAATAGTAACTATATAAGATACTATAGACTATAGTAATTATAATAATAAATAATTGGAAATAAATTATGTAATTATAATATAATTAAAATTATTAAATTTTACTAAATTTTACTAAATTTTTAAAAATAGAGTTAAACTATATATTTTTAAATAATATACCTATTGAATAACATAAAATATTGAATTAATTGAAGTCAAATTCCAAGTCATCGACAAGCTCTAAAGTGCTTGTTTTTAAGAACATGTGACCTATGCATACCAACAGATCAATGGTGTATATAACCCACATCGCCCACTTTCCCGACAATATAGTGAAAATAAAATATATTGTAAAGTAAATTGCAAGTATCACAAATGGCGAAAATTTTAAGCACATAAACGCGACTGGACTTTTGTGGTTTAAAAAGACAAGTATGAAAATTAGTGACACTAATAGATGAATCGCTCCTAACACACCACTCACTAAACTACACGTCACTCGAGTTTGACTTGACTAACTCTACAATAACATTTTGAATAACAAAAACAAACAATGATGACAAAAACATGATGAAGAACAATACGATGTAATTGATCTTAAAGGTATCAATGTTGTACTTTACTCGCTGCATCACTCCACTAAATTTGAACTCATAGTCAACACTAAACCCCCAAAACAGTCCCCACTCTAATTGAGTCATCCCATGCATCCCACGATTGTCCATGAGTGGTACGTCTTCCATCTCTATTGCTGGTACATCTTTGATATTTGTTGGTTCGTTGTCTTTTGCTCCTGTCAATGGAACTGTTTCACTCATTCATTTTAAAGTTCTTTTCTCTTTTTAGAGATCTTTTTTTATCACCATTATTTGTGATGTTCTTATTGTTCAAACAATTAATGTTGTTAATTTGTTATATTACAACAAGTATTAATTTATTTATTATTTGGAAATGTTATTAATAATCTAATGGAATATTAAACTTTACTATTTATTTAATTATATTATAAATATAACATTTGTCATTTCTTTTTTAAATAAATTATGTCTACTAAAAAATTAGTATTAGTTTATAATTAAAAATATTCAAATTTTAATATATTTCATTATTATTATTTTTTAGTAAACTTTTTGTAATATCTTTAAATTTAATTTTTTAGTTTGGACTTACAAACAAATAGAACTTGAAATAAAACCAAAATGAGATTGAGGTATTTTATAACTGTTCCAAAAAGTAGTTAATAAAAAAACAAATCAATATTTATAGTAAATTAACTTATTATTAATGATATTATACAAGTATTAAGTAATTTTGTATGATGTAATTAAGTTAACAACATTTTTTATTATTATTGAATAAAAAAGCGGATTTATTTGGTTATAAAGCAATTATTGAAGTAAAATGAAAATTAATGAAAGCTTGAAAAGTTGATTAAACACCAATTTGTAAGAAAAAGACCGATTTTGTTGATTTGTTGCAGACGTGTAATAATTTGAGATGTTATAAAAGTGGACTTGGACTATAAAATATAATGGCTGAAGCAATTTTCAATCAAATTGACATTAACAAGGACGGAAAAGTTACCTACGACGAGGTGAAAGCTTTTGTCTCAAAGAAGAGAGAGATTAAACATGAGAACCTTTTCAAAGTCATTTTCAAAGCTGTCGACCTTGACAACAACAATGAGATTGACATTGCTGAATTCACCAAGTTCTTCCAATCAATCCAAGGAATGGATTTGAATGATGCGAAACTCGGCTTGAAAGTCCTTTACAAGTTAATGGATACTGATAATGACGGTAAATTGACCCGAGCTGAAGTTCTTGCTTTCTTCACAAAACTCGGTGCACAAAGAGTCGTTGACCACGTCATGAAAGCTGACAAGAATGGTGATGGTTTCATCACTCTTGAAGAGTTCACTTCTTTTGAGCTCCAATAAACGCTTCTAAGCCATTTTTCATTGATCCTTTTTGTTATACATTTATTATAATTTATTAGTTAAATTAACTATAAATATTACTACATAATTTATACAATAACTATAGATTAAAATATTAATAGATATTGATTAATAACAAATTTAATAATAAATGTTATTAATAGAACTATAAATATTATTTATTGAACTTAATAAATCATCCCATATAATCAGTAAGTTTTCCACCAATATTGGTGGGTTATGGTGTTTTTCTAATAAACAGGTCCCCAAAAATGTTATTTTTTATATAATCAGACAATTAATACTATTATAATAAATATTATAGTTAAATTACTATATTATTATAGTAATTATTCAACAATACTTCAAAGACTATTAAAGTAACGTTTTTAGAACGACAGAAAACACCTCGAACCCATTTTTGTAATAGACCCAAAAACGTAGAAAAAAAGAAAAACTGAATAAACAGGGCGATGTCACAGATCGGGAATTATTACCTGTTCACACTTCCAAGTGGAACAAACACGGCAGACGCGTTTAATTTTGACCGATTGCAGTCGAAGTCCGAAGGGATGGCCGAGTGCTATAAAAGTGTCATTCCACCACAACTGAAATTTGAGACGCTGGACACTTTAATGACTCTTTCGGACGACTTGGTCAGAATGGATGTCTCTGTAGGGACTACAGTGAGACGGATGTGCGCATGTTGGCAAGAGACTAATAAAGAAGTCACATTCACAGACAAATGGAACGAGACTGATTTGACTCAATTCAGATGGGACGAGACTAAATACCCATATACGGAGTCAGCTAAAGTCCTTACACAACGTATATATAAAGACATCCAACAGATCGAAACTAAACTTCGAATGTTCATGTCGAAATATCAAACGACGATTCGTGAGTTAGCCATCGAAAACAAAAAAGAGTCCGGGACCTTATTAACAAGAAGACTTGATTCATGTGTTCCCGATGATGTTATTGTCGACTCCAAATATTTGGTTTCGGTGTTTGTAGTAGTCGCGAAAGCACTTAAAAAGGAGTTTCTGAAGAATTACGAGTTGATGAATGAGTTTGTTGTCTGTGACTCTGCGGTGTTGGTTGTATCTGACGACGACTTCGATTTATTTAGAGTCGTCATCTTCAAAGACTTTTTGAACGACTTCAAAAGTGAATGCAGAGAAAAGCACTACACTGTGAGAGAATTCAAGAGAGAGACTACAAGCGAAGCTGACTCGAAAGCAAGTCTTGAAGAGAGTATCAACAACCAGAAGAGCAAATTAATTATGTACTGCGAGACCAACTTTAAACATGTGTTACATGCTTGGTTCCACTTGAAAATACTTCGTCTGTTTACTGACTCTGTTTTACATTATGGCCTACCTACTAAATATGACTTAATTGTGATGAGAATGAAGAAGAGAGAGGGCAAAAAACTGTTCAAGAATTTGGTCGGCAAAAGACCATCACTGGGATTCGAGTTGAACTACCTCCCAACGCGTGACGACTTGGGCTATGAACAAGAAGGTGTCGAACAAACGTTCCCATTCGTTTTCACTCTTGTCGACGTCGGGTACTTATTCAACCCGTCTACACTCGCCACTCGATAATCTTGAAGTGATTTATTGCTTTGATTCGTTTCATTTCACTCGATTCTATATATTTATAGTTTAATACTATAAACACTAGATTTAAAACAGCAAACAAAACAAACGCTATATTAATAATTAAACAACTTATTAAATATAGTAAAAAAATCGAAATGGTACGATCACTTATTTCTTTTTCTTGTCTTCTTTGGTCCACACTGGCTTTGGAGCAACGAATGGGATTTTTTCAACACCACCACAGAATGGTCTAAGAACCTCTGGGATGATGATTCCATCTTCAGTCTGATAGTTCTCAAGTACACAGCAAAGTGCACGTTCAGTAGCGCAAAGAGTAGAGTTGAGCATGTGGACGTAAACCTTATCCTTTCCTTTCTTGTCCATCTGCAATCTGACGTCGAGCTCTCTGCTCTGATAATCAGTGCAGTTGGAGCATGAGACGAGTTCTCTGTACTCATTGAAACCTGGGAAGTAACCCTCCAAGTCATACTTCTTTGCGGCCGAGTTGTTCAAAGCGCCAGAAACGATGTTAACGACTCTGTATGGGATCTTCAAGCTCTCATAGAAGTCGCACGAATTCTTAATCATCTCTTCTTGCATATCCCATGACTTGTCTGGCATGGTCATACAGAACTGCTCGACCTTCTCAAACTGGTGGACTCTGAAGATACCCCAAGTGTCTTTACCATGAGCACCAGCTTCCTTTCTGAAGTTAGTGGAGAACCCCATGTATCTAATTGGCATCTGCTTTGGCAACAACCATTCTCCGGCATGTAAAGCAGTCAATGGTTGTTCCGAAGTCGCGATCAAATACTTCTGGTCATCCGGGTCGACGTTTTCTTTACCGGTTCCGACGTGATACAAGGTATCATCGAAATCGGATAATTGCGCTGTTCTTGCCATTAATTCTCTTCTCATGAAAAATGGTGTCTGGATTGGAGTGAATCCACGAGCCTCCAAAAATTGAGTGGCGTAGTTGATCAAAGCTTGATTCAACTTGAACCCCCAACCCTTAAGATAATACCCTCGGTGTCCAGCTACTTTGACAGCTCGTTCGGTATCAGCACCACCAATCATGTGGATCAATTCGTGATGGTGGAGTGGCTTAGCATTGCACTCTCCGTATTTCTTCTCGACTCTGTTGAACTTCTCATCAACTTCGACAGGGACGGAGTCGGGGACTATATTACCAACAGACTTGATTTTGGCATCAACTTGTTTTTTAATGTCGGCAACTTCCTTTTCAAGTTGAGCAATTTTGGCTTCCGCGTTCTTCTTGTTGGCATTGAACTTGTCAATGGTCTCTTGTGTGGGAGGATTTTCTTTGTTTTTGTAGAGCATCCCAAGCTCTTTCTGTTCCTTTCCTAACTCTTTTCGAGTCTGGTCGAGCTCAAAGCCCTTTTTCTTCCAGTCGGCGTCTAAGGCAAGTACCTCGTCGACGACTTCTACTGAAGCGTTTCTTTTCTTTTGTGACGCTTTAATGACGTCGGGCTGTGTTCTGAACAAGTTGATGTCAAGTCCCATCTTTGGTTTGAAAGGTTAGATGCCCTTCTTATAAGAAATAGGTATTATGGTAACTATACCATTTAGTTTGGACCATAGAATCATTTACATAAACGCTTTGATGAGGTTTCGCCACGAAGAGCTACTTGGAAACTACTTTTTTGAGCTTTTCAAATGTTCTAAATTATTATTTAGTATTGTTTATTTTATTATTAAAATAATATATATATATTAAATAACACATTTATGGGAAATAACTAATAAAATTATTTACCCATTTTTGTGGTTTTTATTTTTTTATTTGGGTTTTATTATTATTATACATATTATTATATTATAGAATTTGTTTAGACAACCGGTGAATCAACCAATTTTTTATTATTTTTATTCGTTGAATTGAAAAAACAATTTAACCTCTTTTTTATAATACTTTATATTATAATTTTATTATTAGTTAAATTAAAATATTATAATAAAAAAACTATTTTACCAATTAAAACCAATTTTTTCTATAATATTATAATAGTATCAATATAATAACAATGAATTATATAATATATAATAAAAGAACTGTTTCGAATAATTAGTATAGAATGTGAACTTAATATCTCAAGTGAAAATGAAATGTTTCAGCCCAAATGAAAGTTCACCAAAGGTCACCCCCCTTTGTTTTCCCGGTCCTACACACACGTTGAACTCTCGGGCATGTGAGTGGAATTGTGGATTAATTGCGGTTGCGTATCAATCGATCATTCACATAGTCAATCCAATCAGTTGTGCGTTTTGTTATGCATACAACGGTCATACGTCTCAAGTGACTTCAATTGCATTCAAAACAAATGATTTCCAACTCACGACACAGACTCCAAATGATGTCGACATAGTCATTGCGTCTGGCGATGTCTCCGGCAATGTTCAAATATGGGGGATATGGTCCACCATCAAACCACTTCAAATCAATCACTCCGAGAATTCTCCTGTTGTTTGTATTCAATGGGACAAATGTAATGCCTCAGCAATTATCGTTTTATATAAGAATGGTGTATTAATATGTTACGACACCATATCGAAACTCAGTTTATGGGAAGTGAAAGAGTCATTTAAAGATCCAATCGGTTTCACCAACTCCGTCTATTCGAGAAGTTCATTTGGAGTGTATGGTGGACAGACAATGTGTTTTTGTAACTTGGCATCCAGTGTGTTTAAGGGGTATGAACTGGGGCAACCAACAACTAACATTCTTCGAGTCGGGGAAGATGTCCTTCGTCTTCGCTTCTCGAACATTAGACGACAAATCACGTACATTTTGTTAACAAATCACTTTTTAATATTCGACACGATGCTCCAATTCAGTTTGTCGACGATCGACTTACCAGAAGAGCCGATGGATTTCTGTATGATATATGATGAATCCCTCTTTGTTCTTCTCACCAAACAAGGGAATGTGTATGTCTACGAAATAAAGAATGGCGTCCAATTTAAGTTGTGCGGGAAGATGGAGATCACACCAATACTCTCACGAGACAACAAACAGCGCAAATACACAACTTTGGGGATTGTCACCGACTCCACTGATAATTCGAATTTGGTCATTCGGATGTTAGAAGGACCACTCATTTTACTCAAATTACGCGTTAACCCCTTTTTCATCGAAGTGCAGGGGATTATCCATACGATGGCAAGTAACTTAACAAATATAGTTTCGAAGCAAATCTACAGTTCTGGAGTAACAAGTGATGGTACAGTATATGTGATGAGGGGCGGAGAGATATACCGAGTCATAGAAGTGACCAAAGTCAAGATCAACGGAGTTGTATGGATAGGAGAGAACATCGGGCTCTTTGGCGCAAAGACTAAAAGCCATGATGGTGAGCCACAAAATGGGATAGTAGTGATAGACCCGATGAATGGGGAAGAAAAGGCGTTTCTCAAATTGCGGAATTTCTATGGGGAAGTGAAGAGTGTTGTGAGTGACAAAGATGGGAGTGTGTTATGTGTCGCGTACCAAAGCGGGATTGAAGAGATTTCATATCCGAGTGGAAACGTCTTAAATATGTATGAGAAGAATTCGACTGGAATTTGTTATGAGAATGGTATTCTAATAATAGACAAGAATGAATATAGACGATACGGCACATGTTGTGAATATAAAAAAGGGCAATTCACTGCTATAGCGTGCAAAGACCCGTTTGTGTTATTGAGTGACACAAAAGGAAATTTAGTGAGACTTTGTGCGGGGAAGAGTAAAAGTGTGAGTTTCTTTAAGAAGATCACTAAGATCATATTTAACCCCAAGAAGGACTGTTATCATGCTATTATACTTGGAGAGCAAGTTGGTATCATCGACGTGTCCACTCTTCAAATTGTGAGTGAAACGAAAAACTATTTGACGGTGATAAAAACGAGTGTTAAAGATGTGTTTTGGATGAATCAATATCCTGCTGTCTTGTTATCGACTGGAGAAATATATGTATTGGACATAGGTCTTCTTGTGTGTTGTAGTATGTTTAAAGACACTTCTATCAAACCGTCGTTGTATTGTTTGGACCCATTGAAAAGAAGAGAGATGTTTTTCAAGATCTTACTTGGTGTTGACACATACGAGAGTGGAGAACTCAACACCACCGACAACACAACCGGTGGAATACTTAACAAGTTGATTCAATTAAACAACGAAGTGAAAGACTTCAAACACGTGAAGTTTTGGGAATTAATGCAGTGGGTCATTCAATCCAAATTGCCACTCATTGGAAGTCCATATGTTGATATCGATGACGCTGTTATTCAACAAGATGACACGCTTTCGCAGTATACAAACTCACTTAAAAACTTTGCAGTGAAAGGTGGGAAGCAACAGATGTATTACCACGCGTATGCACTGTCGGACATGCGTGTTGGAAAACGTGAAGAGGCCTTTGCACATTTTTTAAAAGTGTTAAAAAGTCCGTATGATGGCGAATATATGAATTACGCGATGCGGGCTTGCTTATTATCATTGACGATGGAAGGCAATCCCGAGTCGCGACAAAGGCTTGTTGTGTCGATGTTTAACGATCCAACAGTAGACAAAACGCACCTCATTCAACTCCACAAGTTACTCAATCAAAATAGGGTTTGTATGTTCTTTACATGTTACATGTTAACACAATAGGAAGTCTGTAAGTTGTATATTGACCTTGGCAAATTAGAGGAAGCTATGGTCGTTGCGTCACTGTTTTTGGATGATGAAGAAAAGACGTATATATCACTCAGTATTGTATTGAAGTACATGTTTGACAATTGTTGGCCTAAGGCAATCGAGTTGTTGACATCTATGGGGCGGCTAATAGATGTTGTCAGAATGTTATTATACACGGGACACATCGAAGTGGCTGCAGAAGTCTGTATGGTCATCATTGAGTATAATGTGTTTGACTTGGACACATCACTGGTTTACACGTATCAACTCATTCATGTTCCTTACCAAGACGAGAGAAAGTTCAAGACACTACGAGAACTGATCAAGCAAGTGAATACCGAATTCATCCACTGCTTGTCAACATGTCACGATGGAAAACGTCTTGTGGAAGCTTTCAAAAAGTCGAAGTACGACATTTAACTTGTCTATTCTTAGTGTTGTCACACTTTTTAATAAATCACACAATAAGTATATTATTTGTATCTTTGTATCTGACATAAACTTTGTATGCGAAAGCATTTTACATCTTCACTTCGTAGAGTAAGACCTTGGTCTGCACTGACTGTATATATCAAAGAACACACGACGAATGTCATTTTTTGGTGCTGGTTTGTAACTGAATTTTTCATAGACATATTGAACAATTTCACTGTCTGCAGTCTTCTTAAATTCTTGATACACAACATCCGCTTGATACACAATTCCATCTCCAATTGTCCCATTCAGTTTTTGAATAAATAACATCAATTCATCAAATGATAGGAGGCAAGAAACAATGTCAGTGGTGTACTCTTTGAGTATTGCTGCAGTGATGTAGTAAAACATCTTTCTGTTTGGAAATGCAAAAATGGTCTAGTTATGACGTTCTATTTGTATAACTGAGAATAATACCTCTAAACTAATCATTTATTTATTAATAACAAAGTAACAAACATCCCAAACCCGTAAGAGATCCTTTTCATTGAAGAGTCTCTTAAACAACAAAGCATTCCACTTGAAGCAAAAGAAATAGGTGATATCCCGTTGTTGCAAATATTTGTAAAGGGGTGGTGACATCACTTTGAGGATACACCCATTCTTCTTAAGAGCTCTCATGATGGTGTCGTTTTCACAGAAATAGAAAGGTTGGATGATATCCATCACACATTTGAAAAGCCAAAACAACGCGTTTTCATTTGTTGTGACATTCATTAGACCAGAGACTATATAATTCATCCCTTGTCGGTAATTAATTCTCATATTGAAAAATGCGTATGTCATTAAAATGGTTTTTAAAAGTGTGGTATGACGCAAATCGTCAGTTTGAAACAAGTGTTCGTCTTTGTCTGTCCGAGTCACGTCTTTATCTATTTGTGTTTCAATCTGTTTGTATAACGCCCAATTCTGTTTTTGCTCGGGAATAACATTTTGCCAAACACTTTTTGTTTTTTCGTAAATCACATGGTAATGTGTCTCTTCTAACTTTCTTTCAGACGTTGTCTTCTCGTGATTCAAGTACCCCAAACAGAGTGACCATGAGAGTTCTCGAGCATCCTTCTCACACCCTCTATAATATAAAGTCCGTCTTAAAATGTCCATATTATTGTTAGAAATTCTTCCTTCTTTGTCCATTAGACTGCTAATTTGAAGGTTTGAAAGCGGTTCCATGAAATAACTAAAGATTGGAATTGAAGATGTGTCGGCTAGAAAGAAACAGAGTCTTCGAAATATTTTTAAACAACAATGGCAATTTATTTCTTTATAATGATGGGTTTTCAAACCATATAAAAATAATTAAAAGAATATACTTGTATTTAATAAAACTATATTGTGATTGTGTAACCGCAAGTGTTGTTAATAATGGTACCATTGAGTAAGTTGTACACTATATAAATTCGATTATACGTGTTTAAGTCATTGTTTTCATTCGTGACGCGGAATTTAATTATAATGAATAATAAGTAAAAGTTTTAAATTGTTATTAATGGTTCTAAAACGTTTTTAATAATTCCACTCTGCTGAGCTTTGCAAATTGAATCAAAACGTTGATGATGGTAAGTAATAATTGAGTTTTTAATGAATACTGACAACACAATCACGACTTGTTTTTTTAATTGTTTAAAACAATAATTAATTATTCTATTGTTATAAAATTTGTTATATTATATGAAATAATTAATTTATAAAGTTAAGTTAATAATAAATTAATTATATTTTACTGTTTAATAATTTTGTAATTTTTTTTATCTCCGTTATATAATGTCCCGAACAACGAAATTAATAAAAAAACAAGCAAAACGATTGAATTAAATTATTAGAAATGGTTGTTTAGAGTTGATTTCTGGTTTTTGTACATTCTTTAGTTGCATACCTTCGTCACTATCACCTGTTGTTAAATTATATATACGTTTTTTTTCGAATTAATAATCAAACTTTAATAATAACTAAGATAATTGTTTAGAATACTCATTTTTTAATTTTATTTATCTTTAAAATGAATGTTGGTTTAGTAAATATAAAGTCTTATTATACTTTGTTCTATTGTGTATTTTTAAAACAAAGGAATCAATATTTAATAAATTCTTATAATTATTTAAAACTTGTAATAGGCAATTATCGTATCTTTGTTCACACATACTCCGTAGTTCTTTATTTATAGTTTACAAAGTACATATCGTTTTATTCATAAATTTAATTGTCTCTAATTGTTATTATTTTATAAAAAAATGAAGATAATTATTATTCATTTCTTGTTTATGAATAAAAAATGAAGAAAAATCAAAACAAACACAAACATTCAATTATTGCATTTCATCAACGAAATTATTTTTCTAGTTCTTTATAATGGCATTTTAATTTGAATATCAATATGTGTGGGTTCTTATAATTCGTATTGTAGTGTAATTCTTTGGTTTTTTTCGTTATTATTGTATTATTATTATTCCAATTATCTATTATTATTAATTATTGTTTATTTAACAATTCTATATCGGCAAAACGTGTTTGTAGTAATTCCTTTTCGAATTGTTCTTAAATAATGTCGAATAAAACAATTAAAATGGTTAGTAAATAAAAATAATGCCACTGATGATTTGAAAAAAAAAATGTTGTTAAACTTTGGTAAGAAAAGATAAAGAATAACTCTTCTGTAATTATGTGTTTACCAAAATATTTAATTTATTTTATTATATTAATTATTAAATAAATATCTTATCTTTATTTATTTATATAACATAATCTTGGAAATAATCTTTAACAACCATATTTATATAATTAAATATATTATTGATAATTAAATAATACCACCAATTTTAATTAATTCAAAAACTATTTTATTATAATATAAAATATAATATAAATATGGTATTTAATATATAACTTCCTGTTCAAAACATGTTTTTCAAAATATCTATTTTCATTGAAGTCTAATGTTTTTTCTAACGACAAAAAGTGGTTGATCGCAGAGTTGAAAAAGAAAACAAGATTTCAACGAAAACCTACAATCTTCAAACCCAAAAATGTTTAAGTTTGGTAAAAAGCGCAGCACAGTCACCTTAGAGAAGTGTTTAAAGAATTCCTCTCACTCCACACCAGTTGTTGATTTAGATGATTTTTACTTACAATACCTTGACCAAACTCATCAAGAGAAATTTACCAAAGAAATTACTTCGCGCTTTAACTCCAAATTAACGCTGAATGAATTATTCCATTTTTTTATATTATCTCGTCATATCATGGTGAAGGACCAGACACACTACTTTCTTAATAATCTCGTAGAATTGAATTTGAACTTTGAGACTCCTCTAATCAATGCCAAATTGAACGATGACTCTTCATTCTTATTGAGGTACTTTGCTCTTCATCTTAATGATGTCGTTAAACTCTATAAACTACATAATATCATTTTGTGCACTAAACCAGTTTACTCAGAAGATAATGATGAAGAGACCATCCACAAAACCCTGGAATCTGTAAGTTTGTTGTATAAACTATATCAATTGTATATTCTACTATAAAATAAAACTATACTGACATCAAGAGTATTTCAGTAAGATGTTCGAAACACTTGCGTGGATTGACTGGAGCGACAACGTCTGTTATGAAACGGAACTCAAAGTAATTACTATGGACATCATATTGAGAGATTTCAGTATCATGTTTTATCACTTGGTCGTCCAAATGGCGGTGATAGTCAACAACATCTTTACATACCTTGCACATTCGTCCGAAGAAACATTAAATGCATTAACACAATACGATTTGCTGATCCAACAACTTTATAGCATATTAAAGAAACAGAAAGTTGTCAAAAAGGATAACGTTCCTTCCATTTTCTTTTCTGGTCTCAACCCATTACTTAACTTCTCTCGGAAGTGGAAAACATCATCGGATTCCGAGAAAGCTGAAGTTGAAAAAGAAATTGATGAATTTGTGTCGTCATTCATGACTGAGAATTCAAAGAACTTAAACACTTTGGAACACTTCATTGAACGTGAGAACTCGAGTATTGAATTTAGAGGGAAAAAGAAGGTGAGTCTTTGCGCATCACCAATTGACCCGTTACTCCATGACGACGAGTCTCCAGTGTTCAGAGTTACTTCCCCGTCGATGGCCTTAACTATAGCGCGTTCGAAGTCGACGAACACGGTAGACACCCATCAAGTATTTAAAACCCAAAAAATATCATATCTAGATTAATTTATTATTAAAGTGTGATTTGTTCTTCAAGAAAGGGAAAGAACGATGAGTTAGAGCTCGTTGTGTATCAATTTTCTTTCCTCCACTGTTTTCATGAGTGCTTGGATGTCTTCTAGAATGGCTTTAATCTCCGGGGTGTTGGCTAGTGCTATCACTTGCTCAGGCTTCACATTTTCAATGACTGGATTCTCTTTAAAGAAATTGCGAACTATTTGCGATCTGAATGTCCTTCGAACAATCGTTTCAAGTGTTTTTGAAGCGACTTCGTCGTGGACGATTCGGTTCAAATTGTTTAAGAAGGTCATTTGTTCTTTAGGAATAGAAGAGTGCTGGACATTGATGACGTCTAGGGTTGCCCACAATTTTTCATTCTTCAAGAAATCGATGATCTCATCGACGTCGGAGTCTTCCGAGTAGAAGTCGATTTGTGTGAATTGATTCATTAACGCAAAGACATCATTAGAAAGTGTTTTGTTTGCTATAATTCCCATAAACAAGTCGATATAGGGTTTGTTCTTCGGCGATTCAAATAAGTCTTGATAACTCCCGGAGTCCATCATCAACTTCATCATGTCATATAACGGATTGCTCTCGTCGTCGGATATTTTATAACTTCGCAAATCACCGATTTTGTCGTCATCTGTATATTTCTTGATTAAATCTTCTAATATGCCGCCCTCCGATATCCTCTCGAAGTTCTCGTTGACAACACGGATCGGAAATTCTCCACCAATTTGAGTGTCGAAGAAACTCCCCTTTGTGCAGTACATAAGAGCAATATGTCCGCGGGCCGCACGAGCGATTGATACGTAATTTAAATAGTCTTGTTTTGTGACATCTTCGGAGACGATAATAATTGCTTTCATATTTGCCTTTACAAGTAGACTCTTTGAGTCTTCTGTTACTGGTTGGAAGAGTGGGAAAGCTACTCGATCCATCCAAAGTCCCATCGACAAATTTGATTTGGGGGAATAGACGAGTAAATCGGACTCATCGGAGTACCTCATGTTATCATTGAAAATGAGTTGATACTGTGAGACACTCGACTCTGTATAGTAAAATGAAGTGTCTGAGAGGGGCGCCAATTTGTAAGAAGCTGTTGCGTACTCATTTAAAAAGGGGTTAAACAACACGTCTTTATTTCGTTCAAATACAAAGGAAGTTGTATATGCCTTCTTCGAAAAGACTTGGACAGAAGAGGAGTCCATGAAGTAATATATGATGGGTAATGTCCCTATTTCGAAAAACTGTTGTATCTTGGGGATGTCAAAACCACCTTGGAGGATCATATCCTTTTGATCGTGATGTCTTATAATGACAAATGCGGGAAAAAGGGAAATGTCTCTCTCACGAACAATTTGTAAAGACTCTTGTTTAATTGTGTAACAGAAGTCAACGTCTAAGTCCTGATTTTTTTGTGCAAAAGTTTGATATGTTGACACTTTGGTATCATCGTTCTCAAGAAGAATCATCAACATCACATGTTTAGACTCTTCTTGTAATTTCACCCGGTCTAAATCAGTGATGTGGCGCACTTCCACTGAACAGACACTAAAAACAAAGAGGACAAGTAAAAATAATAACATTATATATTTTCAGTTCGTTTTGTTTGTTGTACATTTTTCGTATGAAAAATAATATGTTGAAGATTGACTTTTATTATAAAAAAGTGTCTCATTTTGTTCGTTAAATTAGATTCACTCAGTTACCCATAAAACTAGAGTCAGTCTTTTAACGTTATCTGGTCTCAAACGTTATCTGGTGGACAAAAAATAGCTTCATTTTTGTCTAAACATCGGGCATTAGGTAAAGCGTGAAAAAACCCGAAACAATTGGGATGGATTTTTGGGACTGCTCCCCGAATTATTCCATTTATTATGGTCCAAAAGGCACCAGATAACGTTTGAGACCAGATAACGTTAAAAAGACAGACTGTACTCTTGTTTTTTGTTTTTACTTGATGTTTTTTATTTGGAATTTCAATAAAACAATAGAAATATTTAAATGTTATATATAACATTTCAATTGTTTTTTACAAAAACACGTGACTTTAATATAGTTTAATTCAAATATCAAAATACTATAATTGTTTTTAGATAATATGGTAAACTAATTAAAAAATATTATTAATACTAATTAAATAAAATAACAAATAAAGAAAAGACAAAAAAATTTATTTTTCTTTATTATTATTAATAAAATTAGTTAATATTAATTACTTTTTAAAGTAATAAAAAATAAAAATTAAAATAGTAATTAAAAATTACATTTTAAAATAAACCAAAAAATGAACTATAATAAACCATATATAATTGGTTTAAATACGATTTTTAATTTTCTTCAAAATAAGTTCATGTTTTTTATCTTTTTTTCAGTAAAAGGAAAAAGAGAAAAGAATAACCCTACAACAAAACAAATGACAAACTACAAATCAAAATACAATGCAACTTAATAGTATATGGGCAACTACTGCTGTATTACTATCGACATTTGTTACCATGTTTTCAGTACAGCCGGTGGGAACAATGATGAACAATATGAATAATGAGAATCAAATCTTAATCAAACCAGAGGGTTTACCTTCACCACTTCCACACAATGAAATTCCTAACATAATCGACACACAAGAGAGTCCCGAAAGTCAAGTCTTACAATTCATAAAAAGTGGTGTAAGTACTCTTGGCGAAGGGGCTAAGGATGCCGTCGTCTATACTGCAACTAAGTCAACAGAAGTCGTGAAGACTTCATACAACTTTGTTGCAAACAAGACTTCGACATTAATTGGGTCTCTTAAGACTTGGTGGAGTGAAACTAAAATAGTTACTCCAAAGGTTGATAACTTAGACGATATCCCCAAACCAAACGAACAGGTGAAAGAAGACGAAGTTATTGGTACTATAGAAAATGAAACGGCGGAATTCATCGATGACCACCAAATGCCAGATGACCATTTGGAAATCCAAGTGGATGACCATCACGATGTTCCAGTCGAGATACCACACACTCATATTGAAGAACCGATCCCAATTACAATACCAACTCCACAAGAAAAAGAGGAAGAAGTGATTCAAGAAATACCACAAGAAAAGCCACAAGACGTTAAACCATCAATTACCCATGAAGAGAATCAATTAGTTCCAACAATTGTGAAAGTCTTACACGACCTTTGGAACGACATTTCCAAATTTGCGGTGTATGTGTTACGTTCCATTGCGCGCTTTATTCTTTACGTGTATAAAAATGTTAGACATGTATTTGTTGATGAGTATAACACATGGTTACAACATACAGTCAATGCATTGGACGAGAAGTATCAAGTGAAAGAGTACCAGGGCGATGTTGACGATTTCTTGAAAAGGACGGGCCTGTATTCCATTGTTGAGACGTATGGGAGTGCCATGGTAAGTTTGGGGGTTGCCCTAATCTTCTCATTGGCTGTGTTCTTGTTTTGCTTTGCGTGGAAAATGATATAAAATGATCACTAGGTGGTCCGTATGTCACATTTTGTTTGGACTAATTGATCGTTCAATACTGTTTGTTAGCACTCTACATGAAACCAATAGACTCTAGCACCAATCAAACACAAAGAAATACTCATACAAATTATTGTTTCAATGCGGAGAATAAGGTCATCAACGCGGTGATACAGTTTTCGACGTGAATCCAAGGGTTTCTGCCAAGGGTAAGAGTTTTGTCGAATTTAGAAATGATCCCGATAACACCCAATTTGTATAAGTCATCGATGTTAGAAGACATACACAACCGGAAGAGGTGCTGTAATACTAAGGAAGGGTGAATACCTAAATCGATCAACTGTGAGAGTTTGGGGCGGATGAAATTGGAGATTAAATCGACGGATTGAGAAAGAACTATTGTTCGGATGATCTCTTCACATGTGGTCTTCCACACGGGTTTTGTCTCGTAATTGGCGACAGTGTAGACAAAAAAGGACATTAAAGAGGTTCGAAAGTTGCCAACGTTTGCATTCACAATCGACTCTATGCGAGAATCAGACACTTCGAAATTCTCTGTTGCTCGAATGTATTTGAGTAAGGCTATTAACTCCGGTTGTGTCGGAGACTCCACGCGAATGTCGAGAAATCGCGAGCGGAGCGGCCGCATCACAGAAGACACGTTTTCAGTGATAAAGATGTACCGCCAACTTCCCGTTTCCATCGCGCGACGAATTGCAAACTGCGCGTCACGGGTCAGTTTGTCTGCTTGTGGGATCACTAACGTCTTTTTGAGTGGACCAACTTTGGTTTGATCGATCAGCCACTGAAGAACAAGACGGTCGCGAAGTCCAAAGACGGACGGGTTAAACTCAACGTGGTGTAATGACGACCGCACGGTGATTTCAATTTCGTTGCCGTTGTCTAACTCAACTTTATACCTTTCCTCACTGATGTTTAAAACGTCGTTGCCATATATTTCGCGAAGGAAAAGTAACACACGCGTGTATCTCCCCGACCCGCTGGAGCCATGGATTAATATGTGAGGAGGGTTGTCTCCTCGTGTCTGTTAATTAATACTATTGGGTGTTACTTCTTTAGTTTTATTAATAGTAAACAAACCATATTCATTAACAACTCATTGTTCGCGCTTTGGTGTGTCAACATTTGGAAATTCCGCGGTTGGTATTTGTTCATCAGTTTCATCACTCTCTCCATCACTTTGAGGTTTTTGGAATACAGTTCAAAATTAATTTCTTTGTTTAATTCTCTAACTTAATTAAAATATAGTATATATTAGTTTATTTTTTTTTAACTAACAATCACTGATATTATTATTTTAAACTAACGAAGGTTCATTTCCGTTTAGTAAAAACTATAATTATAAAATATATTATTAATGATAAAAAAAAGAGTTTTAAGCTATTATTTAATAAATAATTTAATGAATAATATTTAATAAATATTATCAAAAATTGTAAATTTGTAGTTATAATATTATTAAAAAGTTACAAATAGAAAAATGATTAAAAATTAAAACAAAGGACAGAAAAAGACTAAATATGGACATTATTTTTCATAAAAGGGTTTGTAATTTATTAGTTTTTAATGAATAAGTGGTTATAAAAGGCGTGGTTTGTCTGTTATTTGGTTGAAAATGAGACAACCCTAAACAGAAAAAAACAAAGTTTATGAATAAATTTAGTTGTTTCTGGTTTTTCTGCTCACAGATTTTTATGTGAACTTTATTTGGATTATAACTTTTCTCTTTCCCAAAAACTAAACACTTTTATCGATAACTAATACTATTTATAATAATTGGTTTTTATATTATTATTATATAAATTTATATAAATAAAATTAATAAATCGAAGTTTTGAGATCATACTTCCCCAAACATTTGTTTTCCATATAATACCATAAAATGTAGTTGCGATTACTTTGTTCTGCCTAAACTACTCTTCTGAATGATACATTATTAAATAATCCCATTTGTTGCGGTATTCATTAAGTACCAAAACAACTGTTTTTCTTAACCCGCATTCTTCTTTTATTTTTACAACAAAGTTATACAAACTTTAAATAATAATATAGTTTGATAATAACTGATTATACTATAATTTTTGATAACAAAATAAAACTTAATATTAATTATTATAGTAAGTTATGGAATAAAACAGACTTAAATCATATTTTTACTAAATTAATTAATTTCTTTGCTATTCAATAAATTTGACGCGTAATTCATTTATCGTTTGTAATTGATTTCAGTTTGGTTTCGATGCTTAAGTCATTACCAATAATTAACATTTCAAATTCAATCATCCTGAAAATATTTGATTTTAAAAATGTTTTTAAAGTTTTTCATTTAAAATTCCTATATTATTTAACCTTTTGATTTTAAAACATAAAATCTAACCAATTGCTCTTTAGATTGACTCAATACAACAGTTTAGCACTTATCTTTTATTTGTTGTTTCACTATTTTAAATCAGAGTAATTCATAATAAAATAAGCAGACGGCACAAAAGACTCTATATTAGTTGAGAAATTACATTCCAAAAATGGGTTTGGTTATTTTCAAATCACACACACGAAAAATGGAGGAGAATTTAAACCCTCTAAATTATGTTTACTCATTCGTTACTCAATGGGAAACATCTCTGCAACTAAAGTGCGAACAAATCAATTAGCCCAAAAAATTGATTACTTGAGTTACGATGTTTCAGTTGAGAAAGAAGTTAAACTCTCTTTGACACCACAACCACCAACACCAAGAACAATGAAAAAGATGAAACTGATCCATTCACGTTCGGACCAGTTATTGACACCAACTCATAATTTGTTCAAAAAGTCTAAAACAAATGGACTTAGTCCAAAAATTAAAACGAACCACATATTACCAACTAATTCGGAAATTCAAATTGAACAGCCTTTTGAAACAAAAGAAGCTGAGTACACTCAACTTTTGACTCAAAACACAAACAGTACAAATCTTGAACTTATCTTTTATTCTTCTTTTGATGGATTTGATCCAAGAGATTTCAGAAACAAAGTTGCTTGTCATTCAAAAATGATATTCTTGTTTGTAACAAAACAACAAGATATCTTTGGGTTTTACCAAGAAGATGTTATCCCAACTTCTTCTGTAAATTCAGTTTTGAATGTGACCTCTCACAACTTCTTTTTAGTGGGGCAAAAGAACAAATGGGAGTCTCCTTCATTCCTTTTTCGTTCGCCAAAGTGCATGGCTTGTGAAGACAAATCTTTTACACTGCACGATGACAGAAGTCCACTTTTCCTTTCATGTTTCTCAGCCTTTTGGGTGAGGAAAAGTGGAGACATCAACTTCAACTTGTGTTTCAAAGACTATTACTTAGCCGCCAATAGCAGTAAAAATCCGTTAACTGGCCGAGCGTTTTCAGACCATTTGAAGTGTGATAAAGTCATTGCACTTAAGTGCAACTAACATGTAATTCATTTTTCTATTTTGATTTTAATTTCGATATATTAAAACACGAATCCAAATAAAAAAATCATTTGAATGACTCTAATTTCCCATAAACAACTAAAAATTGTTATCTAAAAAATAGCAGAGAATGGAGTCGACCACGAAAAATTTGTTAGCGATTCAAAACGACAAACACGTAGATGTCGAATTTGAAATCCCAACAGATTGCATTGGGTTTCAAGACTCCAAAATTAATGTATTCCCTCAATGTCAAAAGTGTGGTGCTTTACTCACAACAAAGTCGTTGTGTCCCATCTGCGAACAACAACACAATATAGCACCAGTGGCCCTACATGAAGATGGCGTGTACTTATACGAACAAGAAGTGGCACAAACACAAGACTCCGCCGTTGTTTTCTGTATTGACTGTTCAGGTACCATGGAAGGAGACAGACTCAACATGATGAGATATATGATCGACTCGCAAATTGATAATTTGCGGAAGACAAGACCAAACGTCCGTGTGTGTTTAGTAGAGTTTGAGTCGAATTGTCGAATATATGGAGACGGGTCAAAACCGCCTGTATTTGTTGACTCGATGCTCGGGTATGATGAAGTTGTTAATGTGGCCAGTGCAAACTCTGTACTTAAACCAATAAAAGAGTCTGAAGAATATTTAAAGAAGTCGGTTGATAGTTTAACACCGCGTGGATCGACCGCGGGATTAATGGGGATGCTTATATCAGTAGTCATCGCGAAAGCATATTCCAACAGTTCCATAATCTTTTGTACTGATGGGCAGTCGAACAGAGGAATTGAGATGAACTCGAATAACATCAACAAGGTCAGGAAACTTGCAGTGGACAATAAAGTGTCTATCAACGTGTTTTCATTTGAAGATTGCGAGCCTTTTACGATTCAATACGAACCAATGGTGAAACAATGCAATGGAACTTACAGGTCGATTAACAAAGAAAATGTTAACAGTGTTGTGCAAGGCGCAATCAAAGCAGAGAAATACGGACACGATGGCAAAGTGTATATGGTTGTACCGCGTTATGTCGAAGTGGTCGAAAACAGTGCGCAATTGAGTGACATTGTTAAAGGAATAAACATCCCAGTGAAGTGTAGGATACTGTCAGACGAATTGAAACAAAGAGAATTTGTAAGAGTTCAAGCAATGTTATATTATACAAATATGGCTGGAGGACAAGCAGTATGTGTGTATCAGAAGGAAATCCCGATTAATAACAACATTGGCGAAGAGTCGGTGAACAAAGTCGTTGTTTGTATGTTGACGGAAATTAAAAAGTTCGTCCTTCATAACGATTCGAATTCGGCTTGTGCAATTATTAAAACGCTCGAGGGTTACCAATTTGATGTTGGAGAGTCGGATGAAACCCGTTTGAAAGATATATTCAATACAATCCAATACTTTTTACAACATAAAGCAGAACTCAACAATTTGGACAAAATCCTTAGCGCAATGCTTACTCTTAAACCCAACGATTTAACACTTAATTAAATCTTTTGTTCAAATTCACAGCAAGAAATATTATGGTTTAAATATTGTAAATATATAGTTAATAAATACCTTATAATTATAAAGTTATCAACTTTATTATTTGATTGTAATTTAATTTCAATGTTTTGATTAGATTATTATTTAAATAAATATAGATTATTTATAGCATAATATTTGATCCAATAGAATATTGTAAAATATATATTTTATTATTTATACTATACTATTTAATACTATATTTTAAAATTATAATACAGTAATTAATATAATAATAAAATAAGTACACTAAAACAAATCATACATAGCTTGAAGCCGCGCAACAACTTCGGATATTTTGAGTCTATCTTCTTGATCCTGTTTCCAACAATCTTCAATAAGCGAATACATCTCCACCTTCATTCCATCCGGCTTAGATTCTCTGTTCCCTTTCAATACAAAATCGACGACGTTCCATGGAAATTTGAATTGAGCTTCTGTATAGATATTACACCACCCAAAAGTCTCATACATTGTGACAGCAAATGAGTATATGTCCGTCTGCATATTATACCTCTTCTTTCCAATCATCTCAGGAGCCATATATTTTGGTGTGCCGATTCCTTTTGTGAATGTCATATTAGTGATCAACATATTAAAGTTTCTTGATGATCCAAAATCAGTGAGCTTCCCATTAACTGTTATGTCTTCTTCTAAAGAAACAACTAAAATATTGTCTGGTTTGATGTCTCTATGTAACACGCCATTGTTGTGTAAATACTCAATTCCTCTTGAGGCGTCCAACATGATCTTCACTCGCATTTTATCGCAAAGAAAGTCGCTTTTATGTTTTTTCATGACGTCACCAAATCCCCCAAATTCTGCGAATTCAGTGACAACACACACTTTGTTGGGAACGATCACAGCCCCATAGTAATGAATGACGTAGTCGGAATTAAACTTTTCAAGCATGTTCAGTTCATTGTCAAATTCATCATTATCAATGCAGTAGATCCTCTGCTTTAACTTTTTAAGAGCTACAACATTCCCCCTATAAAACCCTTTCAACACAATACCAAATGCACCTTCCCCGATCTTTTTCCCATCAATAATGTCTTCTGGGTCGAGTCGATAAGACGCTTGTGTTTCTGCTTTGATTGGAATTGAGTTGACTGTTTCCAAATCTGTTTTCATACTGTATGTGATAATGGCAATGTGTTCGTTGTCCAAATTTGTTGTAAATTGAGGAGTTATGCATATTTTAAACTCACATATTTCGCCTTTACGAATACAAACAATTGGCGGCTCGACTCTCATCTTCAGTTTCTCGGTCGAATTTGCTGTTGTTATTTGTATTTTCATCGACTTGGAAGTGGTGTTGCCGACATTCAAGAATTGCACTGTTTCCACACCGACTGGAATCGGTCCACTTTCATCTGTGAAATCGACAACATTTTTATCTACACAAACTCCACCTTTAAGTAATATCAAATCGATGTCAAGTCGTTTGATTTTGTTAATATGAATGTTCTTTTTGAGCTCTTTGATGTGCCGCTTTTTCATGATTAAATTGCTCACTTTGTATACAACAAATATAATAAAAATGGAAACTGTTATGATGAAGAGAATCAACACTAACAATAACCACCACTTGATATGATACACACAATATGATCCATCATTACTTGGACTTCTCCAAAATGTGCATTTATCACATTTGGAGTTTGAACTATGAAGACACTTTTCAACACTTTCAAAGTGGACACATGTGCCTTTAATTAGTATGTAACTTTCAACACATGAATGGCACACGTCTTGACTCTCACACGTTGTACACGTTGTAAAACACTTTGCACATTGATTACCACGTACTAAATAATATCCATCAGCACATTGTGTACAACCAACAGATGTCACGTCTACTCCACAACCAATCAACGAACTTCTTGAAACACACTCACCCGTGTCTATCTGATAATTGGATGTATTACATTGTATGCAGTTTAACCCATTTATACAAGTGGAACAAGAAATCGAGCATGGCTCACAGTCCAACTTTTCTCTATAATAGCCAGATTTGCACGAGTAACACCCACGACCATTCACCGAAAGAGTATCACATTTTTCTTTCAAAATTGTATTCAAAATACACTTATTTTCACTCAAATAATACCCATCTTCACATGAAGTACAGAAGTCTGCCTTGTTATAACAGGTCAAACAATTTGTATCACATACATCACATTGTTCAGTTGATGAATTATAATAAAAAGAGTCTTTGCACCTTGTACAACCTTTTGTGTGTTGTGTTGTACAATTTTCATCTTTGTAATTGTTACAATAATGAGATGAATTTTTGAAGTGACCTGTTGTGCACTCCACACAAATTCCATTCACTATTCGTTTGCATTGTTCCTGTTTCAAGTCGCATTTCCCGTTCTCGTCTTTTTGAACTGGTTCCGTACTGTAACACTCTTTCAAAACACAATTAAGTGTTGAATTAAATTCGTATTTATCATCACAAACGGTGCACTTTTCATTGTCACAATATTTACAATTTGGCTCGAGTTCATTACATTTACTACACCCACTTATTGTTAAATAAAACCCAGACAAACAAGTGATGATTTTATTGTTGTCCTTTGTTTTGTAATTCGAAACTTTCTTATCACAGCTCCACGAATTGTTAACATAAGTATCATTTGGTGAACACAATTTGCAATTATTATCGAACTCCAATTGACAATGGTTGTCGGGGACATAACACCTTCGTTTCTTTTCTGCTTTATACCCATCGTAACACTTCACACATGATTCACCATTACTCATTTTACAGTTCACATCTTTTTGGCACAAATTATTCTCAAGAATATACCCTTTTTCACAGTATGGAATCGTCTCTTTGTGGAACTCTAATTGACCGTTGTTATAATACACAATTAAAAATACTTTGCTTGTTTCATTAATTTCCACAAGAAATCCATTATCAGACATAAATAACATGGGAATAGTAGACTGTTCTATTTGTATTTTCTTTGGGTTAACTTTTCCGTGTAAATAAACAACAACATCTTTAACGTTTAAGGACTTAATCGACATTTTGTATTCTCCAATAGTAAAACTTGTTTGTGTTGCATTGAACGTACTGTTTATAATATCAACGCTTTGATTCGAAAAGTCCGAAGAAAACTTTATGGTGAGTTGATTAGAAATTTTGACATGGGCATCGTCCACGTTCTCTCCAAAAACCAGTTGAGTTGTAGTTGTCGATTGGAGATTAACAAATGTGTTGTTGTCATTTATAAAAACCTCGCTAAAGTCGCTGTTTGGAACTAAAGTGCAATTAACTCCGTAACAAGGACAATGTGGTTCTTCATATGCATCGTCACGAATCGTGTTGAATTTCATATGACAGTATATCATTTCAGAATTTCCATATCGCAGCAATTTACCATCTTGGAGTAAATGTGTACCACTAGGAATAGTAGTTGTTATGATTGTGTGACTTGTGATAATATCAAAATCAGAAGAAGACTCGATTGTCGAGATGTTAATTTGTTCGACATTTTGCACGTCAAAGAGGGGATAAGTGAACACGTCTCTATTCACATTTTGGAGTAAATTTAAAGTAACATTAAAAGTGTCGACTTCAAAATATGAATTTCCTTCTGAAAAAACGGATCCATTTGTAGACATGAAATAACCCACATTCACACTTGCAAATAATTTTTGGCTTGCAAGTGAAATCTTCGAATTTGTTAAATTAAAATATGGAGTGACTAAAATGCTTTGTTCAGTCACCTCAATTTCTGAATATTCCAATCCATTTATTAAAGTTGTTATATTCAGAACTGATTTTCCTGACAACACGATTAAACCATTTGCTTTCAAGTTCATAATTGGTGTTGTCATTTTTGTTTCGTCTTTTAATTCCAAAACACCATCATCTGTAAGTAGTAAGTGATTTTTAATGTTAAGTATTGAATAATTAAACATTATAAGTTTGGCACTCTGTTGGACTTGAAAATATCCTTTGCATGTTATATGTGTCGAATCCCTAATTTCTAAAATGCTTTGATCATATGTTCTAATATTTGATGATGAAACAATAGAAGAGTTGTCATTCATAATAAGTTGTGCATCTCCTTTTAAATTTACATACAATGTTTGAATAGAACTGTGATTGTACATAGTAACAAATGTTTGTTCTGTTGGAGTGAATTGTTGAGTTGCCTTAAAAACGCTTGAATTGTACATTTCAATAACAGGAGCTTTGGTGAATGTCGTTGATACAAACGAAATTACTGCGTTTCCCATGATTTGTATGAACGCACTGTCGCTTGCTTTAAAATTTGATGAACATAAAATTGAGCTATTATCTTGTACAACCAAATTCCCGTTATTAAACACATAAAGGGTTTTAGTAATGACAGAAACCGTATTTTTTAACACTAACTCAGCAGAATTATAAACTTGAAAATTACTCTTTGGTAACACTTTCACATTTCCACTCAAAGACCCCGAAGCTGTTTCGAAGACTGCAAAGTTATCACATTGTATCAGAGAGTCGTCTTCAATTGAAAAGATGCATTTGGAGTGAATATTAAACACCTTTGATGATGTCGTTGGGTTTATTGTATAAGTAGGACTCCCTGTTGAAAGAAATGATATTCCTGCTATGTTAAAACTTTTAGTGGGTTGGATGTATGGAGTGTTTTGGACAACTAAAGAGGAGTCTTGTAGAATGTTAAAAGTTCCAGAATAAAGAGTAGTGTTGCCTGACAGTGTGATACTTCCTGCAGTATACGTGGAGAATGAATTTTCGACAGTGAGTGTACTGTCTTCAACAACAAGTTCTGCATACTCTTTTAGTTCAAAATCGCAACACATAATCGTAGAATTATCAAGAAGAAAAAAACTGCTGGTGTCGATGAGAGTCACACCTTTTGTCACATCTAAAACACTTGAATACACCGTGAGCACAGAATTGTCAATAAGATCAATCGTTTCTGAAACTTCGAGTTCCACACCGTTTGCGAAAGTGAGTGAAAAGTTGTTTGAAAGTGCGACACGTGTTATTTGGCAGTCGACTTGTATGACACTTGCTCCAGTAACTCCAACAATTTGTCCATAGAAGTCTCCACATTTTTCTGTTGTTGGGGTTTCGCTTGAACTTGTGTTTGCAAAATTGGTTGATTCTGAAAAATCAAAAGAAGAAGATGAATCATCACTTAAAGGGTTTAAACTATCAATGCTTTTAAGTGTATGTGTTGTTTGTGCAAAGTGCTCACACAAGACGAACACCCAGATTACATTCATTATGTTTTATTTAGTTATATTTTTAGCACCAATATGATTAAATTGAATTTCAAATGACTGGTACAATTTACTCTTATTTTTAAGACGAAATAACATGTTTTAAATACCTAATATGTAACTATCAGGTTCAAAATATCATGAAAAACAATTTTTCGTTTCTTTAAATTAATAGGTTTCCTCTTAAAATACTAAATATAATACAAAAATAAAATAAAAATATTTATTACAAGTTGTATCACATAACTATTCAGTTTGTTTTAGTTATTCAATAATAAATTAATTAATTGATTTATTGTTCTCCTCTGTTTTGTGTCGCTAATCAAAAACATTTTTTTTTCTTTTTGGTTTATTGTTTAAATTTAGTACATTATTTTTTGTGTATTTAATTAAAATATTATTTTGCTTTTTGTTTTGTTTTTTAAATTAAAATTATATTATTTTTTAGGTTGAATTAATTATATATTAATTGTTTTAAAATAATACAAAACAAAACTAAAAAAAAAGTTATTGAAAATATGAAAAATAAATACCTTTTTTTAATTAGAAAGAAATATAAAGAATCACAAGTATTTACCATTTTTTTTCATTTATGAATTGTTAATAATAAACTATATTATTGTTATACTTTTATTAAAAAGTTTGAATAAAAAGTTAAATAAAAATAACTATTTATGTTATTATTGATTTAATAATAATTAATTATATATTATAAAATATGGTTAAGAATAATAAAATATTATATATAAAATAATAATTCAATTTATACTTTTTTAACTCTTAAAAAATATATAATTTTTCAATTATTTAATTTTAACATCACCACTAAACCCAATAGTTATCTAATAGACTGGCCAACCGATGACCATTATTTTCAATTATGCCGAATTTTTAAAGCAACGTTCCTTTTTGCCGAAACCAAAGTTGACCACACATATAACCGACTTTTGCTTTTACAAATAAATTATTAAAAACTAATTATTATTTGGAAGCGATAAACAAAAGTTAAATAACATTTTATTTATTTCAAATTTTAAAAAATAAACGTTTTTGGGAACACATGATTATTAAATATTATTTTTTTTAAATTATATTTTTTGATATTCAAAAAAATATAAATCTGTATGAACCAAAAACAATATAAATTTACCAAGAATATATTCTTTAAAAGTAATCGTTTTTTAAATAAATGATGTGATTTATAAATTATTTTCAATAATCATTTTCATTAATATTATCTAAATTGAATATAACAATTGGTTTTACAACATTATTAAATACATAATCATTGTGCAGTCAATCAATTACAATGTTATAACAGTAAAAATGTATAATGAATATGATTTGTAACTTTTATTTCAAAAATATAAATTAAAGGCTTGTCAATTTAAAATATAACGTTATGTTTATTTTTCGTAACTGTTAACCACTTATATGTTTAAATCGTTGTTCATTCTCAAAACAACATTTCAATTAAAACATATGCAATGTGATTATTACTAATGAATAATAACTTGCAAATTTCATACTTTTTATAATTTGGGTTAAATTATCATGATTTAAAATTCACACAAATTGTTTTAATCATTATTTACAATTTATCTAATGTTACAATTGTTTATTATGTTAAGAACTTTATTCTTTGAAATTACATGTATTTTATTTTTTTGTACAATATATGAAATAATGTTTAACAGTCTTTAAACCAATTTACAAGTCTGTTTAAATATATTATCCCATTTATTGTTTATCTCCTGTTGTTGTTATTGAATATCATGATGTTGGTAATTTGCTTTTGAGAAAAAAAAACTCGATTATCAATTTTACACATAATGAAAAAATGCCAAAAACAACAAGTTGTACATATTTTTCAATAAAATTTATTATTTTATTACCAAAATGAATATTTGTTATATTTTGCTCAAATAATTTTAATACTTCATTCTATTTATTTGTTTTATTATTTATTAAAATAACGAACTTTTGAGCTGAAATATATAAATTAAAGCATTTTTTTTTTAATTTCGTTTGCACGTATAATCTATATGACTAAATTTATTATTGTTTACTAGTTTAAGTAAAAAGAAAAGTAACAAGTCAAAATGCTCAAATGGTTTAAAAATTAAATTTTGGGGTTAATTTTAGTGCGGTTGGCCAGTCTATTATCTAAAAACCACTCAAGTCGTCAATTGATTGGTCAAAACCGTAAAAAATTATTTTACATTCAGAAACAACATTTTTTGGTTAATGTTTTAAAAACAAAGAATGATAATAATAATAATTATATTTGATACATGTAAACATTTCATTATCATTAATAAATTGTTTAAATAGACAAATTTGTCATTGAAAACTTGATTTGTCAACTTTTCAAATAATTCATTTAAAAAACAGAGGAAAAAAAATAATTATTTAAAATTATTTTTCTCTATCTCATGGTATTTTTTATAATAATTTCTAATAACTTAACTATAAATAATAAATATAAAAAGTGCACTAACCGGGACTTGAACCCGGATCTCCACCTTGGGAGGGTGAAATTCTGCCCTTAGACCATTAGTGCTTTCTTGATACTCATATTGAAATTGACTTGTGGGTGTGTAAAGACTTCAATGTGAAGAATCAAGTCAATTAGTGTTTTGTGAGATAAGCAGCAACGCCTTCTGGTGTTGGTTTCATTGTGTCTTTTCCTGGTTTCCAGTTGAGTGGGCAGACATCGCCATGTTCGTCCGAGAACTTGATTGCTTCGATGATTCTCTTTGTCTCGTCTGTGTTTCTTCCAATTCCGTTGTCGTTGACTTGCATGTATCTGACAATCCCCTTTGTGTCGACAATGACATACCCAAGTCGTGCAATGCCGTCAGCCGCATTGTACATGTTGTATCTCATGCTGATGCACTTCTTGATATCAGAAACAAGTGGGAACGAAAGCTTTCCAACACCGCCGTGCTCCTTTGGTGCCTCGGTCCACGCCTTGTGTCAGAAGACGGAGTCGACTGAGATGCCAACAAACTGGACATCCTTCATCTCTTCTGCAAGTTTGGAGTATCCCATCATCTCTGTTGGGCAGACAAAAGTCCAGTCGAGTGGGTAGAACAACAACACAATGAACTTGCCCTTGTACTCAGACATGTCAAAGTCCTTGATTGCACCACACGGACAAAGGCACTGAGCTTTGATCTCTGGCGCTTCTTCGCCAACTTGCACTTTTGGCACAATTCTCAGAAAGTCTTCATATGCCTTCTTTGCTGGACACTCTTTCTCACACATGAAATGTTTGTCTTTGCTTTCAGTTGGCTGTTTATAGAGTGGGTAACGTGTCACCGACACAGAGTACAATGACTCATTTCACTTCACGTGTCCAGAATGTCATCCTATTTTTGAAAAGATGAATTGCATTTTAATTGTAAATAGATATTATAGTATTTATTTGGTTATCAATATCATACAACTTCTTTGAGTAGTTTTGTGTAACTTTTGGTTTTAATTGTTACATGTGTGTGATTGGCTTTTTGTGTTCTCCACAATAATTACATTTCAATTACTTTTGACACATCTCACCATTTCACAAATTGTCATAATCAGAAGACCACATTGCGATAGAAACTTTGACACATCATCTCAAAATTTTTTTTGATATTTATAATAATTTATAAATTTTTAATAACATTTTAATATCTAACCTCAATACAAGTCAATTTCAATATGAATATTAAGAAAGCACTAATGGTCTAAGGGCAGAATTTCACTCTCCCAAGGTGGAGATCCGGGTTCGAGTCCCGGTTAGTGCACTTTTTAAAAATTCAAAATTTTTTTAAATAGATTTTAATTTTTTAATGAATTGACAACAAACAATTTATGAAACAAAATTGTTTGATTAGTGATATAAAAAATATGGTTAATAACAAAAACAAATATTTCAAAGATGTTGATTTAGTTGAGGTAAAATGGAAGAACAACAGTCTTTCCTTTGAACTCTTCAAGTCCTTCTCCTTCAAATGTTCTTTCAAATGAGATATCACAGACCTTACTTTTTGAATCGTCAACAATTGCACCAGCGTTCTTAAGATGTTTGACATTCAAAGCGTAAAAATCTTTTATAGCGGTATTAACATTATCAGTCTCTTCTTTAATTGAGTTCTTAATTGCTGAGAATTCCTCTTCTCTTTTAATTTCAAACACAGAGACTCTTTCAGCAAGTGGGAACGCGTCGAAGAAGAACATTTCTCTTTTAATAGCGTTATTCTCCTTGGGTTCTACTTTAGTGCCATCTTCTAGTATATGTGTGACCTTCTTCTTGGCTATATGGAATGGCAATTGTGTGTGTGCGGCCTTTTAAAGAACTCTGTAGTATAGCGTGATTGAGATGTGTCACTTCATATTCAAATCGCATTGTCTTATCTATCACTCTCTGTAATCAGTATATCACGCACTCACTCTATCT